CTTCTTTTAAAGGTTAAGCTAAGCAACGAAAATGAATGGGCGAAACGGTGATAAACGTCAAATTTCAGTCGAGATTAATATTTCCGTCGATCAATCACGTTGACAAGAAATCAAAACGATCAGCCGCGCAGAAACGCGGTTATCGAAGCGAAATATGCTCAATGCTTCCCCAGCTTACAATTTCCCCAACACTAGTTACTTAGTAAATAAATCACAAATGGAAATGCTTAATGGTGCGTCGGACATTCAGCGAATCAAGTGACAGTGTGTAACTTCCAAGTGTCGGACATCTTGGACGATAATTCATTATACTATGGCAGAGTCGGTTAGAGATAGTAACTGAGCGGTCAAGTAGTAATCCCCAAGAAAAAGTGTAGAGGAATAAATAATATTGTCGTTGGAATTACGATTACAGCCACCACCAATGAAGCGAACAATTTACCCCAATCGCAAGTCCGACGAGAAAACAACAAATCTTTGTTTCGAACGAGTTCACTCGTATTATGAGCGACATTTTTCATTTTCTGCTCGCGACCTCAACAAAGTGGACAAATAGCTCGTTATTAATGATGTTTTGGCCGTCTCCGCTAGATAACTTCTCGCTTAATACGTTTCTCTTCTGTCTGGTATTCTATTTACTACGGGCTCGGAGAAAACTTCGTCGAATTTTGACGAGATTCGAAATTAGGCATATTAAATAAGTAATGGATTTAAAAGTGAGATGTGAGTTGTGTTTCTGTTGCCCTTAGGTAATAAATAATGTAATTTAACAAGCGCAGTATATTATAGAACCCCCGTTATTTATCCCGAGGGCGTACTATAGCATATAATAAATATCGACGCAGTGCCTTCGACACATACAGTATATAACTTAGTTGTATGTGATTAATAATTAATTTATCTTCACAAGTACATGTCTGTTTCTTTTACCAAAATTCACACGAAACAACTTACTAATGAAATCATAGATAATTTACTATTGTTGCAAAATTGTTTGTATTTTTTTTTGTAAAAGTCTTAATGCTATAATTGTAAACTATATACTTACTTTGTAATTCGTTTTTGAAAAGTGGCGCTATCGAAATTCGCATAAAACACTATATAATAACTAATACAGCGTCAAAATGAAAGGCTCACGTCGGTAGGTTTGATAAATGGTTTCATTAGTCCATGATTAATGGTGTTTCGTACTACGGATAGATTTAAGTGAGGCTGGCACTCGGTGACAAGGTGAAGAGAAATTGCTTCGAGGCACCGGCGACGCTGGACGTTTGTGGAGTCCACTCCGATAACAAGCGTTGTATACAATACAATTTATAAAATATTTTAAAGTAGGCAAAAAGGACGATGACATATTTTACATTAAACGGTCAGGTCATAAACCCACGAGCTCCGTAATTTTCCAAGCCATAAAAATGTTGATGGATTACGGTCTGTACAGAGCTCAGCCACCGAACTCGAGCTGAGCTTAAGGCCCTCCAGAAACGCCTATCTCACGTAATATTATAATATAATAGTTTTTATAAAATAGTTTTCTGTGCAAGTATTTCATATTTACGAAACTGTGCAACATTCTAATGCGCATTTAGGAAAATGGGGATTTATTTAGGTACATATAAGTTATTGCATATATGAATACTACAATCACGGAGCTGTAAGGGATAATTTTAGGGGCACATTCTCAGGATTACTACTTGCGAACACGTGTTCATCTTTTATAATGACATTGTAATGCCCAATTTTGCTTCTTATTTAATAAAAAAAGTATTAGATTAACAGAAAAGACTCTGAAATCTTAATTAATATATTTTTTTCCACTGTTTCAGGTAATTTTGTCGTATACGGGCACACATTGCGGAAAATTGCATTACAAAGGCGATTAATTCTATTCCGGGTACATTTTGTCCGAATGTTTGGAGCGCTGCCCACTGCGCGTCACATCCCGTTGGCCACTTGATCTATGGCGCCCGCCATATGTGGGCTTCTGGGGAAAAAGGCTGTCATTAGAGGCGGCGATTATCCACAGCCTGAGAACTTCTCATTAATAACGACATATCCGTATAAGACGCCTCTTAATACAATTGCTGTAACGTTTGCGTTGGCAGGAGTCTTACCACCACGTATTTAATATTCACATATAAATGGCGAAACAAATACAGTTTTATTAGAGATACATTTTGAAACCGTTAAGTCATCTTGTTTTTGAAACACGCGACACGTGCACAAATGAACCGGTATTGGTTTTTTGTTTATTTCTCTACGCTGTGTTTTTATAAAAGCTCAACGTGTGTTCATTTGATATTTGGACGAAAATGCCGACTCTTTGACTAAAATAAGAAGTGGAAAACTCCGCTATTTTCATCACAAAGCGTTCTCTTTCTCGCCCTGCATACACTCAGTATAATTTACGAACTTCGAAACTTCCCATTATAGTCATAATTCCGACGTTAGCTGGGAGTACATTTGGATTTCTCGTTTCATATAATTCAATAAGATGTGTAACCTAAACAGGTACCTAATATAAGTATTCTTCAAGCGATTCCTGAAATCCGTTACAGATTGTCCTTTCATATATGTTAATAGACTTTATTTCTCATAAGCTTGTGCATTTATAATAAGATTTACATAATAAAAGAACTTAAAATACTACGTATACATATACGCGGGTGGCTTAAATAATAATAATTTACATAATCTACATACGGTTTTGTTCGACTATATATTTTTTCAACACCATCTTAAAGACTTCGTAACTATCAACGCTGCGAATACATAGAGGTAAACTATTAAATAATTGTACTCCTTCATATAGTATTGTTTTTTTGCCATAGTTTGTTCTTGGCTTGATTAATTCAAGCTGTAATTCATCTTTATTTCTTAAGTTTAAAGTTTTACTCATGTAAGTTAATTTAATATTGGAGTGAATGTTTTTTGATATAATCTTTCGAATTAAGATGCAAGTGTTATAAAAATAAAGATTTCTTAAATTTAACATTTTACTTTTTGAGTAGATTTCGTTAGTTTGAGTTGTATGTTGATAATGGAAAAGAATTTTTATTATTTTATTTTGAGTTCGTTGGAGGGGATTTAAATGAATATTGAAAGTTGAGCCCCAGATCTGTATCATATAATCTAGATGAGATTTTACTAAAGAGTTATATAATATGATGAGTTTTGCAGAGTGGAGTATGCAATTTGACGTTTTTCTCAGAGCTAATAGAAGTGATACCAGTTTGCATTTAACATGTTCAATATTATGTTCTTTCCAAGAAAGCTTGTCATACGTATAATGGCCGTACTTGTATTCATTCATAATCAAATTTGTGTCACCGCGTTGGTTTTCCTTTTATAGATTCTGTCATTATATGTTGTGGAAGGTTATTTTGGTTCGCTTTGTGTTCTATTAATAAGCGACGAATATAAGAGCAAGAAACAACGTATTTTTCCATAGATATGTACATGACGAGATAAGTAAAAGTAATTACAGAGCCTGCAGTTTGGAGAGACATGAGAGATAAATAGGTTCTCAGAAGCAAGAATAAAGTCTGATAGCCTGTAAAAAGTCAATCAGGAAAACAGATACAGCTTGTATCTGCTCCAACCCTCTAGCATTCATACGAGTCTCCTGGTATTGTGGCTTGGAGAGCCCCTTGCAGAATTGCCCTCTTTCTGTCACTCGCATAAAAGACATAAATTAAAACATATACCTACATACGTACACGTTCCACTCGGCGTTGCTTTTGATAATTTTTCACATAACTCGTGATCGCATTATTAAATAAAAACTAACGCTTGTCACACAACGCGAGGCTGGCTTATCGTAATCTTTTGTGGTAAGCCGGATGCAGCTCCGAGCCTGTATAAACTGTGCTCGTAAAATGCAGGCCGTCGAGGACTATGAATGTATATGAAAATTAAAGCTTTATGGGAAACCTAACGGCATTTATGTCGCCTATTAACGTGTACATATATGTTTTACCTCACTGATACAGTTAGGACCTTTAATTAAAGTACAAAAAATAACAAAGGATTCGTACCTGGGACTCGCTTAATGCACTGGATGAATTAGCCAGCATTTTGGGGACCTATCTGTGCCCACGACACTATGACAGAGCAATAGAAGTCACATATTTGTTTTACAAGAATATTTTACATACCTAATAATAAAAATGTGGGCTATAGGTAAACAGGAAGTTGGTCTTATTTGGCACTTCCTTTTAGGAGCTCAATTGAAGTAATTATTACTTTTTGCTCGACAACTTGCTCCTGTCCTTGCTCCTCAAAGTGGAGCACACGTATCGGTACACGAACTTCTACTTAACGTGCGGAAGCTTAAGATTTCCTTCCGGATTACATTCACGCTAAAGTACTCACGAGTGACGAGTATTATATCATAAGCTAATGTAGTGCTTGAGTCCCAGCCGTGGGAAGCAGTGTGAATTACGATCGTAGAACGTTGCATTGTCTAGGGGCCTCGCGTAAACTAAAAAGTTTGCTAACATTTTATTTCGCGAGATACGCGCGTCTCCGCCCTATTATCAGCCGCAAATTGCACAAAGTTTATTTGAAATATATCCTACACATTTCTCGTGTTTCATTACAAATCCTCGCAAACTTCTAGCTTTTGTCTGAACTTTCAGTGGAGTTTTAAAATTATACCCACATTTTTCTGGTGAATAATAATTTTACGGTTCATCACATTTTTTGAGATGGACGAAAGAGCGTTTGCAACTTTTTGAATTCTATTTAGTTTAGAGTAATTAAAATTTAGCATATTCTATAATCGATTACGACGGCTTTTATTAAAAAAATATTTAGCGTTAACATAAACTAAAACGACGAATTACGAAACACATTTATAATAATCAAATTTTATCACTTTTAAACAGTAACGCATCAAAACAGTTACTAAAACCTATGTATACTTATATACAAACAAATAATACTACAAAAAATAACTCACGAATTGTACGAATAATTTTCCGTCTGCGTTTGGGAGCTTAGAAGTCGAGATGAAAACCGAATCCGAAGCGGACTCTCCTCTGCCGGTCGATCAAAGTGCTGGCCAGCAATCGGATGACGCGCATCTCCGCCTCGGGCTCACTGAATAAAATGTCCTTCTCAAAGGTGAACCCACCGCACCTCTGCGAATCTACGAACATTTTCAGTTCCGACCCGTTCTGATAGTTCTTGTGCAGCGCGAGACTCAGGGTCGTCGACGCCGAGTGATTGACGATCGTGGCTATTCGCAGGTCCCTAGAGAACTGTTTGTACAGGCACAATTGGATGCCGCAGTTGCTGACCGTCGAAGACAACGTAAAGGACGGCCTCTCGTACCTCGAGCTGATGGAGAGCTTCGTCGCCAACGTCGACGTTTTCACGCCCGCCTCTACGCCCACGCTGTAGTCTGGCATGACTTTATACATGAACTGAGCGACGAGTCTCAACGTGCTCGGATCGACGTCTTTGACGCAAAACGAAGAAGAGCCGATCCATTTCTGTGTATTTTTCTCGAGAACCGCTTCGACTTCCGACGACACGAAGTCTTTTATCTTCGAGGTGACTCTGATTTCCAAATCGTCTTCGAGACTCTCGCGGTACGTGGCCGTCGCAGACCCGGCCAAGTCGACCACGAGACCGTCCTCGGCTTTCGTCGTTTCCATTTCTTTGTGAATAATTTGCGAGAAACATTTATGGGCGTCTTTCGATTTCCCGAAGGTGTAATGTTGCACGAGCTTAACTTTATCCATCATCTCTTTGAAAATCACCAGTTTGGCGCCGACGAAACACTTCGGGAAGACGTTCTTGGCCTCCGCGTGGACATCGCTCAGTCTTGTCAAAACGGTCACATCCGGTCGCAGTATTATTGCTATGTCCTTTTTCTTGGGAAGAAGCTTTTGTAAGTTAATCATAAAGTTTCCCACTTCCTCTTTAAACTTACTTTCTTTAAAATCCATTATGTGAGTTTATTTTTATTTATTTAGTTATTTATTGTACAGACTGACTGATTGAACGTCATCGGCTCGAGTTGCTTTTCTATTTTGACGGTTGTCGGCCAGAATACCGCATAAAAGGATTTATTAAAATATTTTATAAACTTTCAAGACTGTGATAATTTAAGAAGTATTTAAAATACTTGATATTATGATTTATTTATGTCTTTTTCGCAACTCACTTATTTAAGAATGCCATGCATGTCGATTTATTTCATATGTCCGCTGTATTCACGTGTTCAACGATTGAAAGACCGACCACGAGACCGGAGACCGGAGAATGAACGATGACCTTTTCGTATTTCGTTCATCAGTTCACGCTGCGTCAATGTTAAGTTGGGATTGTCAAATGTCAGATTATTATTGTTGCGTCACAATCACAGCATTAAGTGAATGTATCAGATTGTTTATTTTTTATGTAAATAAGCTTAAATTCAAACTGAGATGAAGTATTCAACCAGTTTCGGAAACGGGGAACACTCGTACAACTCGCCCGCGAAATATCGCTCTTAAGTAATTTTGACGGCAATTCGTTTCGCATTAAAAGTTTTCGGATTAAGCGCTTTGTTCAAAGGGTTGCAAGAAATGTTCAAGTAAAACGGATTACTGAATGGGCCGGTAATCAATTTCGCTTAATGAAACACTTGGACAAACGATAAATTTATATAAATACAGCTGAGTAAAATTGGAATTCGAACGGTACGTTTATCTTTGTACAGTCAGCAAATAAGATCTCTTTTCGTCGGTACAGTTGTGATCGCCACCGGTCAATGGCTATTGAAAAATTAATTTGTTTAAGTCCCTACAATCTAGACTAATATTATAAAGCTGAAGAGTTTGTTTGTTTAAATGCTAATATCACGCTGTGGTCAATAGAAGCGAGAAAACATAAGGAAATGTAAAGAAAAGGGAAAAAGTAATTCATCCAGTACCTACATATGACGTAACGTCTATAAGGCAAGCTATGGTAATACCAAATTACATAGATTTACATTGTCTAATTGCTTAGCACGTCCAATAATATTATTAGAGCTCCGTGCTTCCTGCTTCCCGCAAGTTAAACTCGTATTTACTGAGATAATATGCAGACACTGCGCTGTGGACTCGGACATAAGGGCACGTTACATGTGTTCGCTATGAATCGCATCCGCTTAGCTCTAATACTAAACCACAGGTGGCGTGCAATGGCCAATGTCCATAGTGGCCCAGGCCAAAATGGTAAATTGAAAATTTATTCAACTTCTAGCAATTCATTAATCCGTATAAACATCTCAAACTTCGTAATTAAGGACAATATGAATAAATGAGAATGAAAATGTTTTTAAACACTAGTGTTATGTGTCTGTTATTTTAGGACATAAAGAAACGCTGCTTTTACTTACTAAACGTTTTAGAAGTATTTACGTATTGTCTACAGTTGATGTAAGTACACAGTAGTACCATATTCACGTTTTATTTTAACTACGGCCCTATATTTCGGATGCTTTGTAAATTGTAAATAAGTATTATGTTACGCGTTTAAAACCGTTAAAAGTGTTTTATGTAAAGGCTACTATTTAATTAGTCCAAACGTTCACCTGCGGTGATGTAGGAAGCCCTGTTTCGGTATTAATATTCCCTGGTAAAGTCTAACCCCCAACTTAGAGTAACTTAGCTTGATCCGCGTTCCTAAGAGCTTAACCTACACTAAACCATTGAATTGCTTTCATTTTCTCAATTAAAATCTTTATGTTTCTAAACTGTGATTAATTATTACCTAAAAAAAATTAAACGATTTATTAACTTCGGACTCTTTTCATTATATTAATTTTAATAACATTTTTTTTTATTGAGAATAACATTTTATTAAGAAGTAAAAAGCTCGAGCACCGCCCACGTCGTGGATTAAATTTGTTTATTATTGAATAAAGTATTTTCTCCCTTACAATTTGTTCGCTAAGACCGATTCGCACTTGACCGTTTTTACACTTGACATCGAGGGCGATATTAGCATAACGCGTACCCTTATAATGTTATAACTTCAGAAAAGCTCCGTAAAAAGAAGGATCCGTACATTTTTATGAGAAAATCTTTGTCAGATATTAGGACCGTGAAATTCCATAAAACATACTTTCTTTGTATAAAAAGAAGGCAGATTTTTTAATACAACAGAGTTAAAAAATAAAAACAAAATACAGCCGCTTAGTTACACAATTACTGTTAGCTGTTAGTTAAAAAAAAATTGCATTCTTTTGCAGAGTAGCAGAACATAAGTGACATCTTCAGACACGTCTAACATAAATATAGCTTAAACCATTCGCTCAGTTGTTCAACATTTAAGACCGTTTTGTATAATGACATATTCATTCGGGTGATAAAGATTCCCTGCTCTACCTAACCGACATTTAATCAAACGAAACATACTTGAATACGACTCTCAATCATAACGCAATTTATTTGCCATAAAGCGATAAAACACGGACACAGATAACTGTGTCCGTGTTTTATCGACATATAAATGTCCAGCACTAAATGAGCTGTAAAGGTATAGTGAATGTGGGAGCACAGTAAAAGCGGGCGCCGTAAATTCCGCTCGACTTGTGATGACTCGCATAATTTTTATAGCTTAGCTCGTGTGGCTATGATGTCGAGCTATCGCAGATAACTTCTTCAATTATTAGTGATCCCATCTCAATTGAATTTTAAAAAGGTTACATCTAAACTCTCACGTCACTCCTGAAACCCTCATCTATAATAAATTATTCAGTAAACTACATAAAAATCAGTTTTCATATACCGATGTACACTAACATATTTTTTGATCTTATCACAGTTTATTCGAAAAGTCCTCAACTTACAAGATTCACGCTCACCCTACGCTGAATTCAGAAAAGGTTGTAGAAGAATTAATAAAAGTTTCAAGTGGAAAAGTTAGCTTCAATGGATAAAATGTCTGGAAATCGTTTGCACTTTTATCATCGTAACATTTTTTCGATACTCGTTCGAGTATTCTAAATTATTACTGAGTTTCGGAGTGAAAAAGCGTCCGTCTGATTAAGTTAGATCTGTATCACCGAGATAGAAAACGGTAAAAACATAGATACACAGTTTAAAAAATACGTATAGCTACTTTCTATTATCTAAGAACGTACCTCCGGTCCGGCCGCCATCTTCTGAACTACGTACGCTATTGTTGCGGTGTGTATGTATCGTTATTGGGATGAAAAATGCCCACAATAGTCCCAAAGGTCCCAATGCACTATATACGCGCGGAAACTATTAGGAAACAATAACTATTGTAAGGCAATCTTAATTACACACAATTGACAATCGCATATCAATCTAAAAACTGGGCACCGGAGAGCGTATGACAGCTCGCGGTAACTTCTACCGCTACTAATTTCGCGCTACTTCGGCCGTTGTATCGCGAAAAACCAAAACTACCAAATCAAATTATTATCCCAGTATAAAAACTTAAGCTGTCCTTTTTAATTTACTAATAAGTTCTTAATGAAATTCATTCAAAATATTTTTTATGTACAGCCTAAATTATTTATAACACACTTAATGCACAAAATAATGACCGCCTCTTTAGCCAAATGGTGAAACGTTAAGCGCGAGTAGGCCGGGGTTTGAATCCCAGGGAAACAATCATTGTTTCGGGCAGGGCACAGAAAACTGATCTTGCCTGTTAAGGAACGGATCAATTCGCCCTAAGTCCCACGAGGAAGAAACGGAATTTCACGCTATGTACAAAAAGTTTTAAATTGTACTGCAAGATAATGTAAAAAAAGGCGCTCAAGTCAGTCCTTTGTTTAGATATAGATAATACAAGGGACATAATTTAGTGGCCTTTGTCTCCAGATCAACAATGTGGTCCGGCAAGAAGTCCGAGGGTGGCGCCGGAACCCCGACCGAAGAGGACGTCAAAGTCGTCCTCGTCGGGGACACGCAGTGCGGAAAGACCTCATTAGTTCAGCGGTTCGTGTCGGACAATTTCGTTGAGGTAAGAGGATAATTAATTTTAGTACGAAAATGTTACTTTACTCCCGCTTCCGCTCGAGGCCAGTTTTAGTCTGTATTATACTCGTCGTATTTAAACTCGATAGTATGTTGACGTAGTACGAAGCGATTTAATGGTTTTTTTTCACAAAGAGGCAATTAAATTTCATATTAAATTTTTTGAGAAAGGAGGACAGGCAAGCGCGGAGTTCACTTAATAGAAGGTGACCACAGTCAAATCATCTAAACGAGATGTCGATCGAAATGAATCTATTTGGTTGTAGACATTTTATAATCCACAGAGTAAAACTGAAACGTAATTTTAATGGATTTTCCATCAGCAATATTACAGAGTCCAGTTATGGATTTTAGGCGAGAAGACGCAATCATATCTATTCGTTAAATGTAAAGGCTTAGTTTCACATTTTACAGCAAATTGGGATACGCTCAATTCTTTGAATAATAAAATATATGTCCATGACTTAGTTATGGTTTGTAGGAGACGCAAATAGTACACGGTTAAATAAAACGCGAGGTATATTAGTTATTAATTATTTTATATTTACTTTTACTAAACATTCTTAATAAAAAGTTAACTAATATATTTCGCATTGTAAACAGTTAAAAGTGTTCTATAAACAAATCCGGCTCTTCCGAAGTATCCACTTTGATATTCCAACTATTCTGACTTGGACCCACTACCCGTTTTAAGGAACACCACTACTAAAGCACGCAACAAGTTGTTATAGTTTTACATGTATGTATAAATACAGGCACAGTACATGTATACGGATAACATAAGTCCTCGCCAGATTCGCATAAAAACGTTGACCCAAAATCCTGAGGACAACGAACGGAGGATAACATTAGTTTCCATGCGGAGTCAGCTTCGCCCGTCCACGCAAATACTACCCTTTGTGTCTCTACTTAAGCATAATAAGCTCCTGTCTCGCACTGCAAGAAATGCAAAGTACCTCCGCGATGTCAATGGAGGATGAGAGGAATGGAAGTCGCGTCCTTTTATTCTGAATGGCTTTTAAATTGTTCTACCTTTACCGGTAGCAAACGGTGCTTTCTTGCGAACTTTGTTCGACGTTTTCTTTATTTACTTAGCGCATTGCAATTACCGTATATAATTTTTTTCTAAACGAAAATAGTTCATTTTTTAAGCTTACGTAGTACACATTGTAGTGCAAAATTTTACTATTTTGTGTATATGTAGCTCGACAAACGTTTCTATACAAACTTCTCACCAAATTGAATTAAACGTTTTTTTTAAGTATTGTCTGTAGTTTAGGTGTGTGTACTCGACACACGTAAGGAAATACTTTTAACCGTTTAAAACGCAAGGCATCCTTAGCGTTGGGCCGTAGTTTAATGAACTTACAAGATATAACTAATATATATCGCGTTTTAAACCGTTATAAGCTAAAGACTTATAGTAAAAGTTTGTTCCAAACACTTAATCCTCCAGAGTACATTTAAACTCTACGATACGCGGTAAGCTTTTCTGGATGTGCACCTCTACGTACGAGGAAGTTGTTCCGACAAATATTTATAAAATACCCCCGTGTGTGCGATATACGGATGTTGTTTTAGGACAGAGCAAACACGCTCGTCACTTGTCTTTCGGCAGTTTCGATTTCAGCTGCGCAGGGGATTCCTTATCTGTATTTACCAGTTTCATACCGCCCAATCATCTTCACACGTAATACGTACTCGTCAAAGGTAAAGGTGATTATAACGACACGAAAATTTTAAAACGATGACGTGTGGGACACGGTTGCTCAATTGGTTACAGCAACAGCACGGATCGCTGTGGATGGCGGTTCAAGTCCGGCCCGTTTCGTAAAATAATTTAAATCTATAATCAATTTTTTATTGATACGAAAATTGTACATATTTACTTATTGATTTTCTTTTGAAAGCTTAATATCCAATATATGTAAAATATAAGAGAAAATTGGAAAACGTACACGCTTTTAAATAACGCCCGACGTTTCCCCGTGACCACGGCTGCTGCAAAGCATCCGAAACGTCGGGCCTAAGTTAAAAATCATTTTCAAATAAGTTTAACTAATATATCGCGTTTTAAACCGTTAAAGTGTTTTATTTAAATCTGTACTACTCGCGTAAACTATAGACAGTATTTAACGTACACGCTCAAAGTTCTGGTATACGTTGTATCGAGCACGGTCTAATCTCTAATCATTTTCATATTTCGCCGAGTTGAAAAGCAAAAAGCACTTCAAAGACTTAAGCGTTCACAATCCACATACAGAACTCGTGAGACACGAGATGTCATGTTGGAAACACGTTTCGTGATCTTGACGTCGCGACGCCCTTCTTTAAGGATTTCAGCGTTTAGATGTAGAGGCTAAGAGCTAATAAAACTATAATATACGTAGAAAACTTTACACATCTCTTTATAAAAGGTGGGTCCGTAGCTTACTTTTAACGTGGCTGAAACAAAGGTCCTAAGTTCAAAGCTTGCTTTTGTTAATAATTTGTTTATTTGTAGCACAAGAATTTCTACTAAATTTTATAGATTCAATTACTATTGTTTATATTAAGACAATTGAAAAAACCAATTTGGACTTTAATTAATGTTTAATTGTATTGTCCTCTCGTTACTTGCTCTTAATCTAGGAAAGCTACCTACTCGTTAGTCCTTTCACCCAACTTCGACCGCTATATGAAGGCTTATGTCGTCCTTGGCTTCAAAATATCGTCTCACATTAAACTGTTCAGTGTCGTTACTACCTTTCGTGCATTTAATACATGAAACTACGAATAGTTATATCACCACTTAACGTTAATTAAAAAGTTACAACCATTCACAAAATGAAGACTATATAAAACGTTACGAAGAACTTCCACTCAAGATGGCGAATCTTCATTACTTGTCAGAGAAAAGTTTATAAATACAAGCATGTTGAACTTCTTTCAAATATTTCATTTATTTTCACAGCGAGCGCATAAGCTTCCGACTTCATCCAATAACTCTAGTTTTTATTTCAGGAATTTCTAGAAAGTTACAAGTTTTTGTTAGAGTAACAGTATTTATTCAGCGAGTTTTCGCTACAATACCCCGATTAGTTATTTCGCTGCATTTTTATTACGCAAATTGGCTCAGATGCCCCGTGCTATTTTGTGAAGAGATAACGAGTGTCTTCTATAATGTTTGATGAAAACATGTCTATTTTCAGGATTCCGTACCGAAAGGGTGAGAAGGAAATTCAGCGGTGTTGTGTACTGTCATAGCTATTAAATAAAATATACTTATATATATATTTATACCTATATATAAAATACTCATTATACATATATATATATATATATATATATATATATATAATATACTCTATAAAACTATTTAGATTGTTCGTCGTAATTCTACCGTTATTCTGACTAGGTAATTTACCTATCGCATACGATTTTATTAGTTATAATATGTTTAGAATCACATAATACGTACTAGTAACCCGCAAGAGTGTACATTACTCGGTTTTTTGATTTGTACATTTCAAAATGTAGGTACCTTACAACGTCGTAGGTAGCTCCAAAGCTTATCAAATGACTCCGACCGCAGATGGCGGGGCAACATTTATGTCGCAATAATTTTGTTTGCAAATTCACTTCTTCCACATTGGAGTACTAAGATTATTTTACACAAACCGGTTTTAATTGGTCTAATTAAAACAAATTTCTATTTTACCTACCTTTCTTAATTGATGATATTTTCATCTGTTTAAAACCCGTAATCTGTCAGACTTTATACTTGCTTAGTATGCCTTCGAGTGCCTTAAAAATTTTGCTGTAAGCCCTTATATCACACATCGGAAGAACGTGATCCGGAAATGGAATCGAGGATTATTGTGATCGTTTTCCGTAAAATCGGACATAATAAAAATAAAACTGAAGCGAAGTCCGTATCTATACATTGTAAATCTCTGCACTTTGTAAACTTGCCACCGGGTTTAATCAACATATCACGATGATTATTTCGTTCATATCTTCTTGTAAAATAACTATAAGGAATTTAAACCACCACAGTTTTTGTTATTGCCCGTTGCGGATTTTTGCATCATTGTAATTATCCTGTCCCTTACATGAACAAGATAAACTGTTGAAACGACCTTAGTAAAAAAACTAAACTTAATAAAATAATGATATGAACCCCAGAAATAGACAAACTCATTCACAGACGCGGCGTCATGTTTAAAAATAACTTGAAATTGGCGCCAATTTTCCACTTAACCTTAAATTACAACGACACCATCCATCTATGTACCTTAGCAATATTGGCCGCTATTTTTGCGACATTATCTGTGTTCGCAGAACATTTTAACATAAGTGTTTCAATGATAAATAAAATTTAAGAATCCCTCTCTAAGACCTAAACTAACGTATACTCAGAAGTAACATATATTTTTTGTTTACAATTGTCGTCGTTATGAAAAGACTCCATAAACCGGTAGAAACTTCATACGTGACTCAGTTTGAAACGTACAATATATCTAGGGAAGTTAGGAATTTCACGAATTCGGCTAACTTCTGCAAACTAGCGAGTCTTTCAATTTTAACAAAGGAAATTAAAGTTGCCCCGTCGGCGGAGTCGGGAACGTGACTGCTTTAAAATTATATTGAAAACGTAATTTCACACTCGTGAAGGTTCACTAGCATAATATTATGATAAAAATCACGTCATTAGCCGGCGATAGACATTTGTGACAATTTTAAACACGACACATTAGGTATTCTATCATAATACGCCGCAATATACGACAGCTCGTTAGGTTATCGAATTACACACACAATCCGAACCGAACCGATTTACCCGAACAATAAAAGAGATCAGTTGTGTAGTTCGTAATTTAGTTCAAAGTTTGTTGTACAACAGCTGTTCAATCGATGAGAATGTTTGCTTCGATTTTGTACTAAGACTCTAAAATTCTAAATGGCGCTCGCTTACTACGGTTTGTCGAATGTAAACATCGAAAATTCTAAGAGACTAGAAATTACATTACTAAGTTTAACCTAATATATAGTATTTAAAATACGATAAAACACGTATAGGTTTTAACATTTTATTTTTTTGTATAAAATGTTTTACCACATTCTTTTCGTTCAAATGGTTTTTGCGTATTACTCAAACAAACATCCAAATTGCCAAATGGGTCAAACTCTCATCATTCCGTCGTACCGGGAAGCGAGGCGCGTTGTCCTATGGAGAGTCCCTTGAATATAAAATGAAGTTTCATCTCAACCCATGTATTTTGCTTCGTCGTCTGTCCCTCGAGAAATTAGACGTTTGTTATCAATTCTAAGGAATAGAAAGGCGAAGAATATACTATAATTTTCAACTGTAGATGTTATTATCTAATGAAGCTTTATTACGGAAGCATTGTATTTGTTTTTTCTTGTAATTCTTATTCTCAGTAATTGCTACAACTTTTAACATTAGTTACTCAAAGCTTTAACATTAGAATTCTAGTCCAAACTCTCCCGCCAAAATTCCATTCGACTACCAATAGTAACAGCTTACATAAGGATCTCCAGGGCTCTACCAGGTACAGAGCTGATTAGATTTTCCCGAACACGAGCTCGATAAGGTATTAATTTGTTATTTAACGTGCTCCGGAATTGAATAAAGTGTCAATCAGGGAACCCTTTTACTTTAACGAAGGCGGAACATTTTATCTAAAGAGCATATTTTGTGTAACAGACTCTTTTTTAATTAGTTGCTAGTTTTATATGAATTTTCGCCTTTTCCATTTCGCTTGGGTTGGATTAATAAATAATGTATACAATCTTCAAAGAGAAAACACGGTTTATTTTCCGCGTCAGCCGTCAAGTGATTAGTCTGTTTTCATCCAGTAATGTCGGTTAAATATAGTTTAGCAATTGAGTAAAGTAAGAGCTCATATAAGAATTAGCATTTAACATAATATTATCTGCCCAGACACATAAAAGTGAAATCCCATCTCCCCTTGGACATAGGGCGATCAGATTTCTGTGCCCTGCTCGACCGTAACTTGTGTAACGCGTTGAATTTTAGCCCTGACTTACACCACTAAATAAGTACCGATTACCGACAAAGTAACGAGGAAACTGCTTAACTGCTATAAGCCGTTATAACGAGTTGAGAAGTTAAATCATGTTCCGCTTGAAAACCATTGTCGTGGACTAAGCTTTATTAATACGGTCTCGACTACACCTCGTCTCTGAAGCATTAAAAACATCTCTAGATTACTGTCGTTACATTTTAGGAAAGTCGATATTTTTTGGGTGTATTTCCCTGTTTTATGGACATTTATCAGATATAGTACAACACAAATAGCATTTAACAGATCCATGCAAAGTTTCTAAAATATCCACAGACAAAATAGAGACCAAACTAAATGAGGTCATATTTGTGAAATTATTTTATTCACTGCATGCGCTCTAGTGGTGGGCTTTCAATTTAGAACAAGCTTTTTATCCTATACCAAATACCCAAGGCCAAAATATAAGCGCGACATCGCAACTTGTTTAAATGTTATCTATAGCTATGGCTGCCCCATGCTTATCTGTGTCATCTTTCTTTATCATAGACAAAATAGGTTAATATAATGTTCAAATACTGGATTTTATTCCCTGTAGTTACACGTATGTACTGTTTATACTATTCCATATTTTCAAAGGGAAGATTGAAATGAGGTTGATTTTATTACATTAATTAAATCTCCGGTTTCCCACGAGCTTAATTATTACAAAATTATTCACCAAAATCCTTCCGCATTACATCATCGGCCAGTGATCACCATTTATTGTGAACTAACGCGGCTTTAAAACGGTACCGATCCCGGGGTCTTCTTAAAATAGTTTCCCATACATCGCGGTGGTCCAATAACCAGCTGGGGTCCGATCGACAGTTTAGGCTCGGAGCGGTTTTCCACTTGATTACCTTGGAATTTTTGCATTTTGATGATGAAAGGCATTAAGAGATGTTTTTATATCCGTCGCATTCAAGTACAAGTACATTTTCTTTTGGGTGGCTTTTCTACTCTACCTTACAGTTGTGATCTTTAGTAATTCTTTAATTAACAAATTATCTCTTTTTTGCTTCCGAAGTTTAGTTAATTGCCATTTCGGGAATGCCCCGATCAAACTTGCGCAATTCATTCGGGTGGAATGATCTTAATGTTGCCAGTAAATATTATGTAGATACGAATGGGGTAACTTCTGAGCTCTGAGGGGAATGTTCCGCTTGCCTCGGAACTTTGGAATATTCATGCGAGTACAAATTAAGGTTTAACGTTTATTATTATGTAAATAAATACGCTCGAGAACCGTAAGGAGCGAGTTATTAGGATAAAAAGCGGTGGTAAATGGAATGTATATTTTGAATTAGTGTTGCCCTTATAAAAATAATAATTTGACTATATGTTTAATATATTGCAGACGGGCACGCGTCAAACACAACTGCAAAAGTTATCGAAAAAGACGTAGTAACAAGTGTTTTCAGCTGAAAATTAACTAAATCGTGTTAAAGTTTTATCGTGTTTGAAGATGAAATAACCCGTATATAATTATTTCTTAATAAATTATTATTAATTACTAATTAAGGTATTTAATATTTAATTTTGTTGCTTTTCAGTTTAAGCCTCAAGGCTGGTCACTTACTTCTTAACAAATAAAGTAGACGCAACTGTCACAAAAACTACTCCTAAACGCTAAGCGTTAATAGAAAATGACGTAGGTTTCTCGACCCGTTCACTGCCTATGGGAATTGAGAACATCCTGTTACATTCCTTACTACTTATTTTTATTGAAAAACCTTATTCTCAACACGGCGATAAAAAGACGGCATGTTAATAGTATACCATTTTCGAGAAGACTGGGAAAGGATCCACATCGATAAATAACCAATTGACTAATGATCGACGCCCCTCCTCTTTCTCGTATTCGACATCGCTACGTTGCGAACATTTCTTTGTTTACTTACGATTCTTTATCAGTAGATCCCTCACCTACAGATAATAAAACACGCAGCTATTCAACGCATATGGCCGTTTTGTAAATTTGAAAAAATATCGTCCCAATTGTGTAAATATTTTCAAATACGTTGAATATGTTTTTTTTTTCAAAAAGCCGCCCCGTATTCGCCGCTCTCGGTTCCCCCCAATTTCAACGCCGAACTGCCAATTAAAGAGCTGAAAACAAAAAAAGGAACGTTCGATTTTTCATTCAGAAATCGAAAAGATTTAACAAAGCGCGGAATTCATTTGACATTCCCGGTTCGTTTATTTCGACATTGAGGAAATTATGGCTTAGTTTTTGTACGAGTATGAATATTTTGAGGCCAGGCTTTGATAACATTTTATTAAACTTAAAGCAGAATGACGCAGCAAGATAAGCAGACGGTGCAAATAGTAAGATATTGTAAAAGATCGGGATTGTTTAGATGGATGCTGTATGAGTTGGCCAAATAAATATCCTCCGCAAAGGAGGATTGGGAAATAGGTAAAATAGTCAGCGAAAGTTGATCTCCCCAATGGAAAACAAAATTATGTTGAACTATAAATACAGCACGTTTGCTTTATTTAATTGAAATTGTTATTTTAAACATTTCACCGTTATAAGTCTGCCGTGTTCAGTTCCATTCGGTCCGGCGAATAAATCCAGAGTTCATTGTTTCGTTTGAAACAATTCAACGGATTAATTTACTCCGTTTGATGGGGCATTCCGATGTGGGGTAACATCTGGAAACTATTCACTTGCGAACCTATTAGTACAGCAATTTGGCGGAATTACGAGCGAATACGTTTCGAGAAAGTTTTCCGATTAGTCCCTTAAGAGCAGCGACGTGGTAAAAGAGAAAACAAGAAGTTTAATCACCTAAAAAGTTTTCTTTCGAATAGAAAAGGAATTATATTGCACTTCTTGCATCGCACGGCATGGCAATGGAAGGCACCGCGAACCGTCGTTACACACTTCCTAAAGGATAAGCATAAGCAAGGAAAAATGACAATGAGCAAAGGAGTAATTTTGTATTCACCTACTTTTTCCTAAAAACTGCCTTAATCAGTCGAAATGCATTCTTGAAGTTTCACGGCTAGAAAGTCCGCATAAAACTCTTCAATACAATATTCTTTTCAAGCAAATAAACCTTCAGAGGTAGCAAATATATTGAAAGTCGGCTGAATCGAGAAGCCGTTTCAGACATCATTACGTTGCGATGGCCATTTGGCTTCAAGCTCTTCAAAGGAGTCTTTCTGCATAGCGAGGTTATATCGCCAGTGAAGGGTATTGCACTTCGATGGGTATTGCGCTGCGTCTCCAATGGGTACGAAAAACCTACCATTTTTAATAAAGTCTTATCAATAAAGCAATCAGTTGATTAGATGATTGAACGACGCGGTCTGTGTCGAGACTCAAATTGGGGATCGAATAAAGTTTTATGATTTGGTAATAATAATTAAGAACATCGTTAGGGTAGGGTTTAAGTTGCTAAATGAAGTCTTAAGGGTTTCTAATACTTCTAAATAGTTCAGGGAGTAAACGGCTTCGAGCAAGTATAGTCACAGCACTACGGTAAATGTGGCGGAAGAAATCAATTTCTTGTGAAGTCAGCGGGAGGAAATGTTTGCGGCTATCGATATCCAACGTTTGCAAGTGTTGCCACTTATGGAATTAATGTGTAAATAGCGTGATAAATAATTTAAAAGGTACGAAGAACTAACGAGTACATATTGTAATCGAAAAAATGTAAAAGAAAGTTAAACTATTTGACAAAATAAACACATATTCTTTTGTACCAAATCACAAGCAAAGAGGAAAATCATTAGAAATATGTTTAATTTAGTGTCGCGTTTGTATTGTATCCTTAACATTGATATTATTATTTTCTTTTATGTATATTTAATAAAATAGAAGGTTTAATTATAATAACAACACTTCATAAGCTTGGCATTCGTTTAATATTTAATATTTATTTTATTTCAGGCGTACGCACCGACTGGATTTGAGAAATATGGCTACACGTGCACGGTCGCGGACTATAGGGTCAATTTCTCCGTTTGGGATACTTCAGGTAGGTTTATAGTCGATGTAATCTAAATAATATAGAATACGCGTAGAAAGAAAAAAGAAGTGGCAAAAAACGTGCGCTGCATATGACTCCATTACGAGTACATACAATTTATTTATCGTGTATTTATGCTTAGTTTCGACAGCTCACGTATTAAAGAATAAAGTCAAATACATTGAAAAAAATATAAGATTAGATACTGAAGGAAGGAAGGCCCAGAGTCACGGCCCTTTCGGCAGCCCATATAATTATGGCCCGATAAAAGTCAAGCAGAAAGGCTAAACAAAAATTTAATTATTTAAATTTTAGTATTACTAGTATTAAATAATAATGTGTAGTTCTTTTTATTTCGCAAGTATATTTTTTATTTTCGTTCGTCTAATAAACGAAGTAGCATTTGGACTTTGCTAGAAGATATTTTCGGTAGTTTTGTACAGAAGTCAGAACGTAAATTGTCAAATCCATTTTGGCTGAAGGCGGGTGATATTTCAGGTTGTGTATCGAGTTGGATATCAGCCAAAGGTATTATGATACCAATGAAACGGATCCAAATTGAAATCCTCCGCCATTATGTTTAAAAAGGAAAAATTCAGGAGAGATTTCTTCAGACCGAGACTGGGCATTCAGTCACGATGAAATAATTAACAAATAAAACCTTCTGGTTATAATTTAAATATTATAAAGTTATCATGTATTTTTAATTAATCGTTAAAGATCTGTTTGAGCATTTTCATGTCCTACCAATGTCGTGTTTTAAGAATACAATAATCGAACGCACGAACGGACGTAAAAACGTATTTTATACTTGTATATAAAAAAAATAAGTTGCCGGAAAGAGATCGCTCGCTAGCGATAAGGCTACCTACTGCACTCCGTTCTAATATATGTATCATCTGTATTATTAATTTCTTTATGCAAAAAAGAAAAAAATATTTTTTATAAAGTATGTATGTAGATATTTCATTTATAATTTTTCTGTAATGTTAATGTTAATTGGTATAACTTGAGGATAATATAATGAATTTTATTTTTTACAAAAAATGTTTATACATAACGATGCTAAAATTGGATAGGTTAAATACAGCCGAAATAGCTCAGTTGGGAGAGCGTTAGACTGAAGATCTAAAGGTCCCCGGTTCAATCCCGGGTTTCGGCAGACTTTTTTAATTTTTTATTCTCAGCTAATTAACATTTTTTTTTCTTATCTGCCGTTATCATACTACAAACAAACTTGTTATAATTTTTTAGGTACTGCAGCATATGACACGGTGCGGCCGCTCGCCTACCAAGATGCTAAAATATTCATGCTGTGCTTTAATATAGCGGAACCGGAGTCCTTAAATAATGCCGCTGTCAAGGTATTTTCATTTACGTTGCAAGTGTATTCTACTTAAGTTGTGCATTGCTAACTTTTTTTTTACAAACATATCTTAATAATGGGAAAAGGTTATCAGCAAATTTTATACTTACAGTGGTACCGAGAAGTTCGCACTCATGGTGGGTCAGCTCCAGTAGTACTTTGTGGCTGCAAGGCTGATCTTAGACACGACAAGGAAACACTAACGATGCTGTCAAAACTTCGAACGCATCCAGTCACTAGCGAAGAGGTAAACATTACTTTTTTCTAGAAGTCATCACTTATTAAATTAAATTCGATTATATAATGTAATTACGTCGTCTTGTTTAATCAAACAAACAGCACTTAAATTTTTAAGCGGAACTTTTAACAAGGAAACTGCGCCTCCCGTTTTTTAACAATTGACTCGTCATACTTTTTTTCTGACACGACGCATAAATAAATGATGCAGTTATATTATCTATGTACTAATTTTGTTTTACATATTATGTACAATGTTAAAAACTTAATTATTTTTAGCAGTAGATGATGTTGTAGATTTAATGCCGCAATCCAATCCCAGTCATCGTAGATCTCGCATCAATCACGTTTATGTGATTCGGCTGTAAACAGTAACATCCGAAGCGTCCATCCAATTATTTCCAGGACACATTTGATATCGAATGCCGTTACCCGGAATTTACAACGCGTTGCCATGCGCTAGTTTTCGTTAAACAAGAGAGGGATACGCCGTGAGGTTGTGTATTTAATGCAAATGTTTGTACTTTTAGGCTCTTTCGGTAGCGAGACAGCTCGGAGCGACGACATACGTAGAAACCTCAGCCCGCGCTTCCAGCAAGGGTGTCAAAGATGCGTTTGAAGTAGCAGCACTAGCGGCTTTAGGAAAATTAAATAAGCAACAAATTAAGCAACAGGTCAGTAGCCTTTTCATCTCAACGTGAGGTAAGTCATGAACGCTTAATACATTTTTCTTTCTTGTATTAATTTCTACTTCTGTTTTTTTCTTACCAGAAGCAAGTGGGTCGTAGCAAAAGCAAACGCGATTTGAAGGCTGAACTGAAGGGCCGGGCGAAAAGTTGCTGCGTCATGTGATCCGTAGCCGGCCACCCGTCCAGGTGGCCGCACGACTGCTAGGCGACCGCCGCCCTCCACAATTTGCACTTGAAACTCGACGTCGCGCCACTGCGCCTATGAAGTATACAAGAAACAATTTCGGGCCTAAAGTAACGCCTTGTGGGACTTAGTATTTCATAAAGGAGAAAAGCGTTACGTATTGGAACAGAGTTCGGTTTATTAAAATCCTTTTATTGATAGGGTATTTAAGAAAAGGTGCAATGTTGATAACCCTCAGGGTTAGAGCGTAAGTCTGTGATATGCAAATGACATACGGTTTGATAAAGAATGGTTAAATTATACCAAATAATTTTATATTTAGCATAAATTTATCGTGAAGACGGAAAGACTCTGTGGAAGCGTACACAATATGAAAGAAATAAATATTTACTCATGTAGCTTTCATATAGAAGAACTGAATAGGAAGTAATAAACATTTCTTTTGTTTTTTTTTTGTATGTATTATATCTGGCCATTTATATTTGGTAGTACATAAAATACTATTTGGTATAATTTATAAAGGATTCGAACAGGATAGGTAACGCTCTCGTTCTCACCACTCACAAAATATTAAATAGGTAATAATAACGTATACTTTTAAATTTATAATAAATTAGTAGAAAAATACGTGTTTTCATATACATAAAATTGATGTTTTTCTATATTAACGCATTAACAGTGTAAATATATGTAAATGTTAAGAGATGATAAAGCCGATGTGCTCAGTTTTACTTTAGCATTTGAGGAGCATACAGTTCGTTTGTGATAAGAATACGTAAGTATTTGAACGAATATGCACAATGTTGGACAATATTTGTTAAGTTACGGAGGTCCATTCAGTCGTTAGTCCCACGTCCAATTTTGCTACTTTAGATTAGATTTTGTACATTAGTGTAAACGAATCGATGTTGCTTACGTTTAAGTGTCCTCGTTTCTATGTTACGGCATTGTTAAACGTTGTATTAGGCGCTATTAATATTAGGAATTGCTCTTTTTTGCCAAGAGGCTCTGACGTTTTGATGTGAAAATAAGCAACGGTGTCCAAAGCTTCTCGAGAATTTCAAAGAAACAATCGACTTGCCTCTGAATGTTGCTAACTGTATTATTGACAAAGTTTTGAAATTTAAACGTTGTATAATAAATAAAAGTTAAAACATTTCCAAGCATGCATTTATTCTTTAAGTGTTTACCTATTTTCTTGTAATAACATAGCTCACTGAATATTGACGAATACGTTATATTATGTGCATTTTTACGTTGTAGGTCAGTATTTTCAGGAGATATGTTCTGATGATTTCAAGTGGCTATAATTTATTTAAGTCGATAAGCTTTAAATTAAATGTTAGCTTTAATTACGGTATATTAAATTATATTAAAATATTAAACATATTTTTTGGAGTATTTCGAACAAAGTATAAACGATTATTTACCAAAATGTAAGTCTTATTTATTGTGAGGTACATATCATGATATTGTTAAAATTAAGTTGACAACTAAAAGTTTTTATTTTCTTATCTACGGTAAAAGCGGTGTACTTCGACTTTGAGGAATCTATCATCATATTATAGTCCAAACGTGGATATAAACAGATTTTAATATAACTCACAACAATGTAAATAATACATAAAGTCGTTAAGACCAATACTAAGGCGCATAATATAAATTTAAGCACCTCGTTAGAAAAATACTTTCAGTTATTATTGTATTCTCAGCTTACATGTACATATTTATGGTTCAATTTGTTGAAATTTGTTAGCGTTTTCACTAAAATTTGTCTACTGACTAGGACTAAAGCCAATATAATTGTTTTGTCATGAAAAATATCAAAGCATGTCTTTATACCTTGGCAGTTAATTACTTGATGTTGTTTCTAGACTTTTAAATATAGAGTTCGATGTTTTTGTACATTCGTTTTTCATTTATCCCAATTCGAAGAAAGCGTTAGAGAAGATAATTGTATGTTCGGTCCTGAAAGGTTATCGAACTAAGTATTGTACCGTGTTAAGATAATACAGATTCCATTTTACCTGAAGAATAAGTACAGCCTTCGGAAAATGGAAAAACAAAAGCAGTTAGCTCTCCCTAAAGAATAACGTGCCTCATATAATTTTACGAGTCCGCTCCACCAAAGGAAGACGACCGTCTCAGACAATATTACGTTCAATATCTATACAATTTATCGTAATTCGCGAATATTATGAAGATGTTAATATATTTCGGGGTAAACTTTGCCGTGGGATTTTCCTAGATTCAGTGCGATACAAACAACAATTTTATGTCAATTCTATTCTATGTATACATTATGGCTACTTGTCAATTTAAAAGAGAAAGATATTTATAAATGCGTTCCTTCTCATCTTCAGGGTAATAAGTTCAGAGTGATACTAGATTTCAAGAACCACTTTTGCACAAGATTGGATTTTTGTGTTAATGTAATGATTGAGTCTAACATTTTTCAAATCGATTTATAATTTTTCAAAGTTCCGCCCGGGTCACGAACCACCGTCTTCAGATCAAAAAGCACTCCAGTTTTACTCGTGTCGGTTTCAGAGGCTGGTATTTTCACCCACCATTAAGTATGGTAAACAAATTGCTTATTAAAGTTGTGTCAGCGAGCGCAAATACACTAAATCACAGCGCTTGCATTAAATAATTGAAACAGTGGACATTATAATAAAGCAGGGCTTTTCAATACAAAACAAACAATGGAACGTGACGACGAGGCCGTATAATGGACGAACGCTGAAATGCGCCTGATGTGACGTGGTTTGTGGTTTAGCGCAACAATTGTTATTTTAAAGTATGGTTAAACTAATTCTGGCATTTACGGAAACTCACAAACTTTCTACTATCATCTTGGTTTAACCCAGAACACATATGTTAATCATTTTCTACCGCCAAGATATCGATATGCTCTGAGTTCGAATACATGGGAAACCAAAGTCCGTTCAATTACTTTCCTATATATAAAATCGATTAATAAAACGAACACGAAATGTATTTGCCCCAAAGATGGACGCGGGACTACACTGTTAATCTCTTTATTTTCAAAAAGTGTAGTCCTGTTTAAATAAAACACTTTAACGATTTAAAACGCGATATATATATTAGTTAAACTTGTTTGAAAATAAAAAACGTAAATTTTCATTAATAACCCATTTTTTGTTTTATTTAAATGTGTACTACTCGCCTAAACTAGACACAGTATTTAAAGTGTAGTCGCGCCATAAAATCGGTTTTGCTTTTTTTTTACTAGCAGCACTTTTTGAGTCACAATACATATTTAATAATATCGGTACCAACGCGTAACTAATTCTTCTGTAACTTTTTGAAAACAGGTAGGTTCTTCTTTATCTATTAACATTTGTGTTTGAAGGATTCAAAAATAAACTATTGTTGCCTTATCCTATCGGACGCTCAATGCATGCCAACCCTCGACGCTAAGCGATTGCATGAGAGGAAACTATTTTGCGGAAAATGACGCCATTTCCCTGATCCAGCCGTGCCGAGAATGGCGTGACGTATTTGTTGTCTTATCGCCACGTTATATAAGTCATTCTCGAACCGAATACTATGTTATATTGGTATATTTATGTATTCTTTAGTTATACATGTTTTATTTAATGCTTCTTTTAAATATCACCACACTAACAGCGACGTTGTTTATCTTTAAATTAAAGCTGTTACGCGTCGTTCTTACGAGTCTTCTCTACAAATGTTCAAAGATAAACATATAATGTTTTTGACACTTTATTAGATGATCTATAGAGGAATCATTCTTTCTTGATACAAGTTGTTTGGGGAACCTTGAACGATTTTCGCAGCGTACATAACGGAAAACCGCAAAGAATCTTCTTTTAGTTGTTTTCACATTTCCCACTGTCTCTTCGCTTTTGGGCGCGAAATGTTTCATAGCTTATTGCCTGCCTCGATAAATGCTCTAACCAATAGCCAGTACTTCCTGAGCGTTCAAACAAAAGTGTTCAGCTTTAGACATATTTGTATAGATAGATTTAAAGATCCATGCAGGTCTCTTGGTTTGGGTGAATTAAAAATGATGTACTCACTTTAGACACACTTCGTGTTGAAGATAACGTGTCCTGGAGCAGTGTGCTAATGTTAATAAGAAATACATTCAGTTGCAAATGCCCATCTGATATCGCAATTTGCAGGATCCTTAGGAGCGGTGCCAACAGCTGCCAGCCAATCATACACCACTTATTCAATGGCGCTTAGGCGGAATCCGTTCTACGCTAACGTGAAACAGATTTGATACTAAAATTGTACTTTACATTTTTTGTGTATAATTCTGGAATGGAATCTCGATCTTATGACCAAAAACCGTAGGCTCCCAAATATTTCTTTTCTGATTTGTTTTAGTATGGTTAGGTGTCAATATTAATTGTAAAATATTTTAGGACACGGGCGGGACTTGAACCGGCGCCCACAGCGTTTCGTAGTGATGCTCTAACCAATTGAGCTACCTTGTCCTACACGACATCGTCCCATTTCTTCAACCCATTGACACATGCACCTCTGGTTGTTTAAGAGCTACCAAAGCGCAATAACTTTCTGTGTTGCCTATTCACTACAGTATGCCCCTGCGCCCAAATCAGATCGTAACCATATCTATAATGTTCGGATTATGGGCGACCTCTGTTCAACATCTCATTTTTTTTTGTGAATCCCCATTCACACTAATGAGACTTCACGATCCTCCGCCTTTGAATATCTCGAGCGCTCGGTTAGCGTAATTAACGATCTGGTACTTCAGCTTTTCACTTTTGAGAGCGTTCTATGTTTTTTCCACTGGCTATAACACCCTTCTATGCAATAGAAGCAATGTAGTTTAAGTAGATAGCTCGGGATATAAAAAAATTAAAAGTGAAGCGCCAGCTTTTTCTTGGTATTTTAAGTTGGTAGGACGAACTTTTGAAGGGTTTATTACCCTATATTTCAAACTTATCTTCTATACAGTTATCTAAAACCATATATTTACACAAACCCTTGAAAACCACAAATAAAACACAGACTGCTTAAATCTTTTTTAAAATTTAATATTTAATAACTAATTTAGTATTGATCGTCGACACTCCTCGAACCTCTTCAGCCAACGTCTTCCGCTATCAGACCTGTTCAGGTTGCCTTGACAGTTGTAGCCCCCGTTTCCATTCACCATCATGAAGTCGTAGCAATTGGTCACTCCATCGGAGTTGCAATCCTGTTGTGAGGATTCAGATCAATAAAGTAGTCCAAACAGACCGGGGCCACAATAATAAATAATTATATTTTGACTAATATTTCGAAGTTAAGGTTTTTTATTTTTTGGAATGCGTTACACTAAGTGAGTGCTCACTGCTTACTTTTAGAGTGGTGTCCAAACTAACCTGTCCGAACCGTGATAAATATCCGGCTATAATTCTCTTCGAGCAGCTGAAATCTCGGGCGCAGTCTTCCCAGGCTGAAAACGTCCAAAGTACCGTAAGTATTCATGGAAACTAAATCAGAGCATCTTACAAAGTGGAACCATTAGTCCCGCATTCGAACCAGAGGAACTATGACTCCACGTTACTTAATCTATAGCACAGTCACTTGCAAATATTTTGCTTATCTCACAAAAGGTCTAAAGCGAGTAGCGTGTATTACCTACTTTGGAGGAAATAACGGTAACAAAAACCAAGATAAGGTTGAGGGTTGACCGGTGTTCCCAAAAAGGATTTTCTAATTAGGATACAGATGAGATACATTATGAAAATAAGCATAAACAAAATACAAATATTTAAAATTATACAGATATGTCTACATTCTCTAATCAGCAGGTATATTAATAAAACACGAGGTACATATACAGTGTAAACTCTATATAGCGACACTGAAGGGACTGTGCATTTTATGGCGTTATAGAGAGTTGTCGTTAAATGGAGAGAAGAAACATTGTATGAAAAACAAGCTAAACCAACCAAAGCATAATTTCGACGCTTAAGAGAGTTTGTCGTTAAATAGAGTGACGTTACATGGAGTTTACACTGTATTAGTTAAACTTATTTGGAAATTATTTTAAATACGGCCCGACGTTCCGACGTCCCCGGTATTCACGGCTGCTGCTAAGCATCCGAAACGTCGGGTTTTATTTAAATGTGCACTACTCGCGTAAACTACAGACAGTATTTCGGTACCTATTCTTCAATTATTAACGAGCAATGTCTACGTCATTACCTAGTTTCTCGATAATATTGAATGAATTGATGATAAATCAATTTAAACTTATATTAAGTACAGGTGGGTCCAGTACCGTGATTTCTGTCGGGATCATCCTCGGGCAGAGTGACTCGCCCAGCGTCCACCCAGTAGACACGGGAGATGTTGAACGGGCCACAATACCCCCCGGTGCACTGATGCGAGGTGTCGCACTTCGTGGACACATGACACAGGCACCGGAGACACTCGTTCGACAAGTTTGCGAGGTACACCCCTGCAATTTCATGATATTAAATCAATATAGCCCACGAAGAAATCAACTTAAGAGAAAATTGTTCTACTGTCCTTCTTTTTCCCATTATTATGGTCTATAATGCAAATGCCTCTTTGATCTACTTCTCTGCAGAATATACGGGTCCCGAGTTCGAAGGTCTGTGAGGTCTAAAATATCTTGTCCTTTTTTGTGATAGTGGTGTAGTCCGCACGTACCTTTGCTCACAAAATATCATCGCTACTTACGTTTATAGAAAACTTTATTTTTCATTAGCTTAATTGCATTTACAATGAGATTTACATAACAAAAATACTTAAAAAACTACGTATACCTACATATACGCGAGTGGCTTAAATAATAATTATTTACATACGGTTTTGTTCGACTATATATTTTTAAAGACTTCGTCATTAGCAACTTTGGGAATACATAGAGGTAAACTATTAAGTAACTGTACTCCTTCATATAGTAATGTTTTTTTGCCATAGTTTGTTTTTGGCTTCATTAATTCATCTTTATTTTTTAAGTTTTACTGATGTAAGTTACTTCAATATTGGAGTAAATGTTCACTCCCTTGGCATGTGGAAATAAGTTTTCAAAACCGACAAGCAACCTTACAAGGAGACAAAAGGATATTTTTTACGTTATCCATCAGTCCCTAACATATACATAAAATACACTGACCTGAATACTGAATAGTTTTTACAAAGTTTCATCTCTTGTTTAATGTTGTATATGTATATGCAATGATTTTATCAACCGCGTTGTGCGGTAAGTTTAATGTTACTCGTACAATAATAATACAATTACAAGTGTCAAATAAGATGTGCGTTGATTGTCGATGGAAATTCGATATCCTACCACCCATTTAATATTATAAATTGAAATTAAAAACATGTTGGACCCATTACCCCGTACCATTAATCGTAGGACATTTCTAGTCATACCTAGCATTATAGTATAATCGACTCACAACTCACCCACACAACAGGTCCAAGACGAAATTAGAACCGCAACGAAAACGCCCGCTGTGACTTTCCTCGTCATCGTTCGGGTTTATCAGTACAAAATAATAGATCTACCTGCAAATAAATGTATTGTCATATTAAAAATACATTTACATTTACGTGATTGTGTTTATTAAGATAAAACTAAAGCGAATCATTTGCTTAAACAGGTTGATTAACGCTCGCACATGCAACATAATAACAGACATATTTGAATTATTATATACTAAAGAAACTACTGGGTCGAATTCAAAATTTTGTGCCGTATAGACCATTTATTATAAAGAAATGTGGAAAGTTATTCATCTTTGAGTGCTTCCGTTGTTACGCTCCGAAAGCGGTTTAAGAAACCAAAAAACATGATTGAAATATATAATAGTATCACCAATGATTTATTTATTAACCAATTATTATTAAAATATTTCAGGTCTTATCGAGTTTTCAAAAGCGTAATATTGACTTCTTAAAATTATAATTCATACAAAGGTCATTGGAATAGCGCTATTAAAAACCTTCATTTTTCCGCTTTATATACATGTACCTACCTTTTTTTCAACTTCTTTTTATAAACCTGCTTTAAACCACTTTTGATTATCTTACGAAGCCAGAACAACCACCACAATAAAGTAGTGTATAAGTAATTTTAACTCTCATAACGCCGGTCTTTGGGTAAAAAGAAAATATTTGACCATAAAGAAAAGATTTCAAGCAATAAACCAATACAAAAAATTAAATAAATTTACTTCACACAAAACAATACATATTTTTATTTATTTAAATAGATATGTTTAAATTATCATTGTAAAAGTCTTAATACAAACAGAGGGTATAAATTATAATTTGTTTAAAATATCTTCTTAACAAATCGAACCAATTCGTTAAGATCAAAAGATAAAAAAATCAATTTGTTAAGAAGATATTTTAAACAAATTATTCAATACGACTAATTTATCGATAACCAAATATAAAACCATACATATTTCGAATTGAAAAACCACCTTTTTACAATCCGTTACGAAACATGTAGATTATGATTGAATAAAATATATTATGTATCTATATACATTTGTCTAACGACATCTGTAGATTTATAAAAGAACACGGAAACTAACAAAGTGCTTATCACAAAGGTCCTGGTGTTCAATTACTTGGTAATTAATGACACAATTATAGAATAGATTGGCTCGTGGTGTACCTATGTGTGCGAGAAAATTGAACGCAATTCATCGTGTGCTACTTATTGTATAATGGATGTCTTCTGTGGAAATAAATGTACATGTATGGAAAGAATTTATATCTGCATACATAACGCGAACGCTATATTATTACTATTTTGTAGAAAATTAATTAAATCAAAAATTAATGTAAAAAGATTATTAAAGAAACGATGTCTTTATTACTGTAATGATTTTATTTTTGAGTAAAATAAGACAAAATATTGACTGAAACAAAATGACACTCACCCAATCTTTCCGATTAAAGAAAACACAATTACATTTATTAACACAATTAGCTTTCAATGTTCCTAAGTTTCATAAACATGACTCTGCTAACAAAACAGCACTCGGTGTGGAGCGAGTGTCCCTCGAGCATAAAATAAACTAAAGGAGTATTGTTTTTGTGCGTGCATATCTGGTTTCAAACTCGATCCTTAACTTGATTCGCATCAGAGCATACAGTGCTTGCAACTTTCAGTAATAATTAATCGCTACGGAATTGTAAGTCTTATCGCTCTTACGTCACACCATTCGATAAATTAAGGATGTAGACTTAAAGCAGAACCTTCAAAAATATTTTTAAATTTAATTTACCGCGTGCAAATGTAAGCGACAAACGTTGTCTCGATGTGGTATACACATTATTAATAATAGTAATTACTTATATTATAATAATATCTGATTAATATTTTGTATTACTGCACACAGATAACTGGCCTCACTATAGACTGCACGTAAATAGACTCTATAATGACGTACTATCTAAGCGAGAATGTCTTCTTGATTGGTGGTCGATTGATACTGTTTCGTTGAGTTTATAATACTCGTACACTACACCATTTAAGCATGTTTTTATCGTGTGTAATAACATTATATTTTCTTTATTTCATAGATTTGAGCACGTTATTGCTACTAAAGGATACAATGTGCTTCAACGTAACGACTGCTAGCAATCTCCTAGCGACAATTACGCATTCAGTGCGCTTACAATAACTCCTGTTATTTCCCCAAGGACTTTGCGCTTCCTGCCGAATTCCAGCAACGCCATGCAATGCTATTCAGAATGCTAAATTAAATAAATATATTATGTATTCTGCTATTTAAATACGCTATTGACATTTATGAGACGCCGAAGGGTAAAGGTAACTAGAAATGTTTGATAAAGTTATTGTTTATTCGAACTTATTAAAATTACAAATTAAAAAACGTTATTGTTTCTATCTGGCCATAAATAATGTAATCTAATTTTTATAATAGAAAAGATGATTATTTTTATGTACTCAGATGACTTAGGATAAAGCAAACTCGTCTAACAAAATGAGGATACGAAATTACGGCGATATGAACAACAAAGTTACAAATGAATATTCCGAGCAGGATGCAATGAAAATTCATAACCCATTTGACTTAACATTCTTCGAACCGGGAAACCTTAACTTTTTTTTTTTTTCTTATTAAATTTGAAAATTGAACAATAAAAATATTTGTAATCTTAATACAAAGCTTTATTTTATAAGTACGTATGAAATAAATATTTTTTAGGTTTCTTGTCCTGCATAATATTTATATGACAAATTTATTGACTTTTTCTAAAATGTTGCCCAGAATAGATAATGTTAAAACTCTTTCCATAGAATAGGATTCTATTATGCACAGACTCACAGAGAGGAAGTATAAAATTTAATGATATTACCCGCCATTTTGCAAACATGCTGTCATCTGTCAATTGTCATATTTTAATATTACCACAGATTACACTTTTGCGCGACGGCGGCGTTTATTTCATGGTGCGACGAACACGAGGAGAAATGTGATAAGATCTGATTTATTATTGAACCAGTCGTTTAGCTCTAATACATTATCTTCAATATATGTATATATTTTTAACCCATAAAAAGTAATCATTATAAAACAAGTACAAATAGTAGAAGTTAAATAAAATAAATGACATTTGTAAAATAGTACATACAATCATATTCAAGTAAAATAGTACATAGTTCTAATAAATGTCAACATTTTTTAAATTAGGTTTGAAAAGTAATAAAAAACAACTGCACTGCCCGGGAATCGAACCCGGGTCGCAAGAATGGGAATCTTGCATGATACCACTACACCAGCAGTGCTCGCGAATTGTTGCATGAATACATGTATCATAAGGCTCAATTTTAAATAATAAGTCATATATAAGTAAATTATCTAAGTAACCTATATTTTAATTTTATTTTTATTGTTTCCACTAAAAGTATTGTTTTCGATGACACATTTAAAATGCGCTTCCTATCTACGCAGTATGCAATTAATAGACTACTAAATCAACCTTGATAGTTTGAAGTTAGTTCTACTACAGCCCTACAGATGGAGTGAATACTCGCTGAAAGTGATTCAAATTATATAATAGTTTAATTTAACTTATATAATAGTTTTCATATTTTTTTTCTTCGACAAATATTTTCACCCTTTCGGCGTTTTTCAGAAGGTTTTAGTCAACCTATTTAACTCAAATTCGCTTCGTTTTAATTTTTTTAGTTCGTAAAGTGTACAACAGAGGCGCTGCAGCGGTTTCCGCATGCGTAGTCAAATTTTCTTTTTTTTAATGTTCCTGAAATTCATGAATGGCGTTCGTTCACAATCTGTCGCTAGAACAATAATAAAATGCATTATATTTGATTACTGTAAAATGTCCGGATACAGTACGATAAGAATAAGTAAGAAACCAATTAGATAGTGTTGTGAATTTATAAGGTTGGGTTTTCCCGCTTAAATTAGTAAATATCAAGTAAGTATTTTCACAATTTTAAATGCATTTTGATAAAAAATGATGCTATAAGTATTCTCAACTGCGTATGATGCCCGTTATTAGTGAAAAATTGGATTGACGACGTCCTCTTATGATTTTACATAGATGGCAATTTCCTTGAAAACAACTGCGGTAATTTTATCGATTTGACACTTAGCCCAATTCAATGTTGTGAATCGTCACTATGCGAACTTTTATACAAACTAATGACCTTCATATTTAAGTTTTGATTTGTCAAAAGCGCAATTTTTAGTACTGCATAGCATGCTTGAGTATACTCATATAATAACGGAAAATAAGTCAAAAATTAATTTAATTATAACTTTACAATTCAACTAAAAACGAGGATACGTATATTTGGCTGAAACTAAAATACTTAATTGGTATAATAATTTAAATCTAAGTTAGGTTACGCGAGATTTTTATTACAGGAAGTCGAGAAACGTCTGGGTTTTTAGGTCAAAAGTACTGTGTGCCAAACAAATTATAATATTAAGTGTAACTGGCGACGATTAGAGGCTGTTCTTTCGTTGCGTAGGCTTTAGGTCCAACTATTGAGTTAAATAACGTATTTATTGCCGTTATCTATGAATAATATAAAGATTGAAAATAAACTTATTCTATAGAAACCCTCGTCTTACAAAGCAAATTTATTAAGCATTTCTACTGTAGATAGGACGATGTCCAGCAGCCCATTCCCCTACACTTGCGAGCTATGCGGTGCCGAGGGACTGACAGACGAGGGAATGCGCTCGCACACCCTAGAAGCCCACGTGGCTGGGAGACCGGACTGTCCATTTTGCGACTGCACCGTACCACAGCCCCAGCTGGTGGGACACGTGCAGAGGGTCCATCTCCATTACCTTACTCCGGAAAGAGAATTGATGGCATTTATAGATGATCAAAGTCCTGGGTGAGTACGTTTGTCCTTAAATTTTTAAGATTTGTTTTTTCAATAGTAAACTTTTTGTGATATGTCTGTATTGTGCATTTATACCATTTGTAATGTGCATATGAAATACTGTCTGTAGTTTACGCGAATAGCGCACATTTAAATTAAATGTTTTAACTTATTTGAATTGAGTCAACCTTATTTGAAAATTATTTTAACCACGGCTCGACTTTTCGGTTACTTTGCAGCAGCCGTGTCTCCCCGTGACCACGGCTGCTGCAAAGCGAGCAATAAGTTTAACTAGTATATATCACGTTTTAAACCGTTGAAATATTTTATTTAAAAAATATGCGTATGTTCTACTTCAAATGTCAAGCGAGTGTGGAATCACTGAAGTCTGAACTGTGCCTACTTCCAGGTACAGTGTGGTGTCCCTCCACTCACATCTAATTTGATTCATTGAAATTATTGACACATTCCTCTGTATTTTATCGACTATGTTCCTATCAGAATCCTTCACTATGCTACTTTACATACAATACATTACATTACATAAAATATGTGTTTTCCAGTTATGATGAAGATTCCAAAATGACAACCACAGATAGTTGTAGCTATAACACCCCAGGCTCCATCAACGGTTGGCATAGCCCCGTGGAAGTATCGACGTCCTTCCACAACGGCGCTATTTCCAAAAACAATAGCTACTATCACAATGGGTACCAAGAAAAGGAAAACTGCAACCATAAGAGCGAGAAGGAAGAAGAGAGGTTCTCTCGCTCTCCCAAAAATATTAACCTCGCTAACGGCATGAAAAATATTAACAACAGTAATGGTGTCATCAAAAAGAAAAGTAAAGTAACATCTACGGAAAGAGGAGTCGTAAATGGATTAGACAAAAAGAGTAAGTTTTTTATATTTTACAAAAGACAAAGCTTCGGTTAATTACAGATTTCGTTTACGTTGTAAGGCGTTGCAGGTGTCTAATTTTTCTTACTGTACTTCCAAGATTTTGTAACAGTACATTTATATTATTGAATTGAATTTATATAAAATTACTTATAAAGCTGACTTTAATAAATTATATTTTCTATTAGGTTCCCATTCAAGTCCGACTCATAATAACATGAACAATTACGAAGGTTCTCCAAAAAGTAACAAGTTACCAATGGCGAGCGCTGGACAGGGATCACCTTTGAGATCACAATTGGCTTTAAAATTAAAATCGAATACACCAAAGAAACTTGCTCCTACCCCCAGTCCAACCGTTCAAGTAAGTAAAAAATCTTTTGTAATGTGACTTAAAATTTAGGACATAACCTGTACTGCTCCTGCTAAACCGCTTACTGTTTGAATACTTGAATAACATTTAATTTCTAATTAAATACGTAAAAAAGAAGCTATTAATTTAAGATTAGAGATATATCTGTATACTCTGTGCTGTTTTGTGTTGGAAACCAAAAGTGACAATTTGCTTCTACGAATTATGTGAAATAAGACTTTGACAGTTTTTAAAAACTCGTTTATATTTTGAATTTATATTAAACATTTAAATTTTTTTAAGTCTTAATAACAATTTAATTGTGTTTCATCCTCATTAATCCGATATATTTAAATAAAACTAAATTATTTACAGTGTCTTCTGTGCGACTTTACATCAGCATGTCCTCGAAAACTGGAAGAACACATAAACCGTGCGCATTTCGATTTAACATCTCCTTCGGTTATGGGAAATGCAAATTCTATTGAGAATTTAGACAACGCCACAGTGGGCCTAGCAAATCCAACCATCGGTCTATCTAATCCGACGGTCGGTTTAACCAATCCTGTTATAAACTTGGATAACCCGACGTTGGCTTTAAGTGCGATGGCGTTGTCTCCCGGCCCTCACAGCTCACCATTTCAGTGCCCCATTTGTGAGAAAGAGTTCGCAAATGGATCAGAAGTAGAGCTCCATGTCAATGTTGAACATCGAGACATCCTGAGTCCTCAAAAAAACGTAAGTGTTGATTAGTATGGTTATTTTTTTTATCTGTTAATTCTTTTGCAATCGATAGCTCAAGTTATAGTTGTAGAATAGGTCAGCTTTCAACAATTGCATGTGTTTGCACAATTATGTGGAGTAATATCCACTGTGGTTAAAAGAAAATACTTTTGAGCCATGAATGTCAATGTACTTTTAATTAATTAGTCCCCAAATAATTACAGGATCAAATTGATAATGCATCGTGTGATGATGTTGTCATGATGGAAGAAAGTCCGGTCAGCAACTGCCCCATTTGCTGTCAGCCATTACCGCCTTCACAGCATGAGTTGGTAATGCTTAATTATATTGTTAAAAATATATTGCAATACCCAACTCCAAATGTTATGCATATTCTTTAAAAATCAAATGGCTATGTTTTATTAGATACAGCACATAGAAGAACACTTCGAAAGAGGAGAGGAAGTAGGCAGTTCTAGCCTCTCTGAGGCGGACAGAGAGGCTCAAAAGACCAGAGAAGAGCAGGAATTCCAGTTATTGAGAGTAAGTTTTTTCTACTTTTACTGATATATATATTATTGTACTACTATTCTCCTTAAGAAGTAAGTTGCAACTCATAAAATATTAAGTTTCACAAACGTTTATTAGGCTCAATATGGTATGGAAGAAGATGAAGAGGGTTATAGTAGCCGTGCCGCTAGTAGTCTCCGGCGAGCTGTGTACAGTGGAGCATTATCTGTAGCCGGCTACTATGAACGCAGTGTGGGTCTCAGGAGGGCATCGGCATCAGGGCTAGATACAGGTTGTTCAAAAACTAGTGGTAAGTAGGATTGATGCAATGATATTTTCATATTTACCACTTGGGAGATTGATATCTATAAGAGTTAATTGGTAAATAATAGATAGAATAAGAAATAGTTACCATTTTCATAACAATATATTGATTTATAAAATAATGTAATAGATAGTTACAGCTGTAAGCTGCATGTTATCTCATGTAAGCATGTTATTCAATGATTACAGGAATATTGGAGAGGATAGTCCAACTGAATGCTCAAAATCCAAGTATAGTCAAAACTTATTTGTGCAGCGCAGTCGACCATTATGCAAGCACTTATGGAGATAGAGGTTGGGGTTGTGGTTACAGGTAAATTTCCTTGAAAGTTGAAAAATTGATTATTAAAATGAATGTCTACAACCAGAAATTATAGACCCACGAAATTTTAGATAGATGCCGCTGAGAATTACTTTTTACTAATTTTCATATTTATCTTTTAAAATTCATATTACACTTAAATAATTTTTAAATCTGAATAAAATGCTTTATTGAGAAGTAAGAAAATATGCATTGATGATATTGTTGTATTTACTGACAACTCCGCCCTTAACGTATCAAATAAGAAACACTACTATACGATATATATATTTTTTAAAAGAAGCTTATTTATATATATATATTTATATACGCACACATACTCTTTTGCGTCTGTGTGAATAAAATTGGCTCTGAAATAGAGGTATAATACTAATACTTGACATTGCCCGAAAGGTGTAAACGCTCTTAAACCAAAAGTCTTATATATAATCTCAATCTCTAACTTGCACAAAGAAGTGAGTAATTATCATTGTTCACAATATTTCTTGTCTTGGATAATAACGAGCAGCCGTCACATCTTGTCAGCAGAGGCCTAGAATCTGCTTCATTATTAAAATAACAGTAGTAGACTGCAGTTGTCTAATACAACGTTTACTTTTTGTTTTGGATTCAGTTAGTTAAAATTGAATGAAAGGATATACATATTCATGAGTCATTGAGCTATACATAGAATAACACAAAAGGAAGTGAAAAAGGTATGGCGAGTAATGGTGGTTTTAATAATTGATTCTTTTAGGAACATGCAAATGGTCCTATCATCCCTGCTGCGTCACCCGCCCTACGCAGCCTTACTGAGCGGGGTCACGGAAAGGGAGTGCGACTGTGTTCCATCTATACCGAGTCTGCAGCGCCTGGTCGAGCGAGCTTGGAGTCTGGGCTTTGACACGCAGGTGAGAGAAACTAGCTTGTTTCCCTTGAGATAGGATATAACGATCTAAAGAAACAGTTAATAATGATTATTTTTATTTTGTGAGTGTGTTTGTTTTTATGTTTTGGTCGATAATGTTCCAGGGTTCCGAGCAACTTGGATGTAAATTGCACAACACCAGGAAATGGATCGGCGCCTGTGAGGTTGTCACTGTTCTCTCTTCGCTCAGGATTAAGTGAGATTTGTTTTTTGCCAATATTTTTCTGAAATTCATTTTATCAAAAAGCATCAGTTTATAATTAATAATCCTATGCTCCTGCTTAACGAAATGCTTGGCAACTCGCCAAGGGTCTTTACTTAACTTCTCACTTACCACACACCACTCATAAATTAGAGAGAAGCTCAGAGATTCTGAGAGAAGGTAATATCGATATTTTATTAAATTATCGTATTCGGTGATTATATGAAGCTCAAAGGTTTCATAAAATTTTCTTTTATTCATCTATTTGATGAATATATCACTTAAGTCTCTCATCTTAAAATAGAAGGTCTGCCTCAGGTGTTCACTCATCGACTTCCACAAACCGACCTCCGCGGACGGCAGCCACCCGGCGCTTTTCGATTGGGTTTACAAATATTTTCATGACGACCCTCACACCTTCAAACCACCGTTGTACTTACAACATCAAGGTAATAGTGGCTCAGATTTTTAGAAGCATTTTGGACCCGGTGGGACTCGAACCCACGACCGGTTGAATATTAGCCATACATCCAAATTCATTGTAGTCTCATAGTAGTGTACTAATGACCTGAAAACTACGCTTCCAGGTCACTCCCGAACCATAATAGGGTACGAAAAGCACAAGGATGGCAAAGCGACTCTACTCGTGTTGGACCCTTCGCACTCTCCTGCGCAGGTATCATTTATTTTATGATCAGGGATCAAATATAATGTAGTGCAGTGCAAAAGATGATCCTTTTTTTACCAAAATAAATTGTATTATTTAAATATATCCTCAATCAGTCAACGTGCGGTAGACACATCTTTGTGTCCCTTTTACTGATTCCGTGAAACGATCTTTGCTTACATTGTTATTTGATAATCAATTAATCAATGTGATTTTTACAAATTGTGCATTTGTATAAATCACATTGATTAATTCTTTTGTTTCGTAATCCCCGAACGTTTTGTTGACTTCGTTTTATGGCTATAATATATATGTTTTAGAATTACGGATACTTGATTAAAAATTGGTTTTAGGTTACTTTTTTAATGTGATACAAGCCTTGCAAATTAAGCCTTGGATAATTAATAAAAATCTTTAATGAACACATAGATGGCGTTGTCCGCAACAATATAATACTAAGTAGGTAGAATTTTACTTTCTTTCTTTTCAATTTTTCTTTAAAGGTACGTCAAGTCGTATGCGGTAGTATGAGCGCCTGCGCGGGTGCCCTCCGTCTGTTAAGACGCGGGTCGAGCGCGCTGCGAGCTCGCCAATACCAACTGCTGTGTGTCACAGGCCTCATATCCAGCGACCAGGAGTATGAGGTATGGCTTACAGTTGTCACTTCAGATTTTTTGTCGGGCTTGTTGGCCCAATGGCAGCAACGTATGGCTCATAAGCAACAGGTCATGGATTCGATTCCCCACCGGGTCCAACATGTTTCTATCAAATTATAATTTTCCTGAAACATGTTAGATTTCGTGTGGATCTAGATGTATATAATAGGTGGTATGAATATAGACATTCCGTCTGGGTCACGACCAGCGTCCACAGATGAAGAAGAATCGGTGACAGCATATCTTACCTTCCATTAAGTGAACCCTTATGCTCGTCTGTCCTCTATCATTTAAAAAAGTACCGATTGTACTTAACACCAATTATCATCTCATTTCCAGGCGAGTAAAGTCCTTCAGTCGGTGAGGATCCCCTAAGATGTGTTGTTACGCGCCCGATATCTACAGGTGTATAGCGTATTTAGGTAATCGCTTAAAATAATAATATACAGCGTGTTTCTTTTGAATCGTAACTTTATAGCCTTTCATTGTTTCTATACCAGTTGGGGCGGATATTAGACAATAAAGGCGTTGGAATTCTTCGCTGTAGCGAGTAGTAGCAAAAAATATACTAAAGATATTTATACCCGGGTAGTGCCAGGAAAGTTTTTTGTGTAATACGGTCGACCTCACTTGGCAGGTCTGATCTTAGCGCGAAACTCTACGCGGAAATGCTCCTTGGTGCATGAGGTGCGCGGGACGGAGATTTAGGCTAGAGACCCATTGTCAACACAATCGACTGTTTATTCTATTAAATTTCGTATGGGATATTGTAATAAATTGATTTAAGAGCACAGTGTATGGTGTTATTACTAAATGATACCATGATAACTTTTAAAGGAAAATAAAATCATTAAAAACTTATTTTTCTTTATTAAACGACGTGATTTAATTAAATATTAGTTTTATATAATTACTATTTTTACCTATTTTTTCCTTCTTTAAAGCTTTTTATACAAATATATTTTTACGATCTAATTTTGTCTATTTCAATAGGATTCGATACAAGGGACGAGCATAGACATCTCTATTTGGTTATTTCGTAAAGCTTCGTACATATTCGGCAATTTTCGGTAAACAGAAGGGTGTCTCGGTCACTCCACTCCTTGGCGTTTATTTCGTTATCTCTGTCTTGAGCGCAGTCCGTTAGAAAAGTGATTGTTTATTATAAAATGTAATACTATTATTTTTCTTTTTTTATATTATTGTTTTGTCTCAGTATTTTAGTGAAGGATAAGTGTTTGTAGACTTTATTCTCTTTGAATCAATTATTATTATGTTACTTTTGCTTGTTATATGTAAAATCTTTAATTCATTCAAGTAACGAAAATAAATGGCAGTATTAGTTTTCTTTAAGAATGTACATGCGCCAAAGTTCGTCTAACCTCTGTTCAGACTTGGCTAGTTACGTTGGCCATATTATAGTGTAGGTTTGTTCCTTACATATTCATATTTCATACGTTTTAGACTTCCGGTGAATGCTTAGCTCTAAAAATCAAATACAAATGAACTAAAAAGTTAAATACTTCTTGAAAATCTCAAATTTCAATTGGGCTTTCAATATTTACGGGCGTACAAATTGCTTCCACTGGTAGTAAATTTAAAGTTATATATCTTCAAGTCACGATTTGTGAAACACGCTGTGTGTAAAATGTTTTGTTATATCCAAAAAGTACTTAAATTGATCTTCTAGAGATTTAAAATTAATGAATGCATTTATTAAATTTAATAATATATTTATTTAGTTTTTAAATAACATATTTTCTACCTCCGTTGTCAATTATTTTGTTGTCAATTTCCTAGATTCGGAAGATAGTTATCTTTAGTATGCCTATAAGTATTTTGTTTAAATATTTAGTACTTGTTTTCTGTATGAAAATAGATGAAAGCGACGAATACATTACGCGTGTGTGCGGTGTGCTTATCGTTTACATCGATGACTGTAATGTCTCGTATATTTTAGTAATAATAAATATTTAGCTAAATACTAAAAACATTAAATAAAAAACGTGTTTATAACAGTTGAGAACCTTTGATAAAATTAATTATGGAGTCATAAATAAAACGCTCAGTTAGTAATTTATGTTATAAAAAATTTTCCTTATCGTGCCGACTGAGACTCAGCAATGTCTCATATTTTATTTATTTATTTTTCAACTCATTAAGATCCTACAGGATTACAGGTTAATTTAAAACAGAGGTTCTCAAAGTATAGTATAGTCAATGAATATAATACAATAAAATGCTTCAGACATTGCCTTGATATGTAGAATAAGTAGCGTAAGGCACTCACACCTAACTTTGTCACCTTTTTAATTGTTTGCACATAGTTCCTATAGGAATTGGGGGATAGGATTAGGGTGGGGCGTCTGCGTGGAGACTGGACTGGACTGAATATACAAATATTTTAATCTTAAATCCAGTTTCCACGAAAGATTAGCGGAAAGGTTAAGGTGGATCAAAGCAATGGTGCCTATTTGTCTATTAATTAATTTTTAATACTATATCCTTACAACTTTGGAGTTTCAATTCTTGCGCACGAGAGTTCTACTCTTTCTGAGACACGAATTTGTAAGCGGTCGAAGCGCACCACATTTATCTAGTCCCTAGTTTACGGCATACGATGCACTATTTTACCTGTATATTTAATTAATATATACTTTATTGTATTCTTTCGGAAATTATATTGTATGTTACGGTTGGAATCTGCGAGAAATTCGTTCGTGTGTAATTATTGATTAAGAAAAACCTTAAAACAATTTGTATCGCAGAGATGGCGCTGCAATCGCTGACTGCGCTTGCTCTTCGTTATTTATTTATTTATTAAATCGTTTCCTAAATTCTTAAAGTTTTCCCGTCTATTTAAAATGGCTTTTACGAAACTTCACTTTGTGTAATATTGTTGTGTAATTATAGCGATTTGACCAAGTTGTTTTAATGTAAAATGTTAACATTGTTCCTAGTCTATTGGCAAAGTTACGAAAGTATGACGGAGTAGGTGAAGGAAACGAAAGCGGAATCAGCCTTCATTTCAGCGGCATCGGGTGACTTTCTGTGGCCGAAAGAAACGAACCTATTAAGGCTCGGAGCAACATTTAATGTCTATTACGCGACACTAATAAACGGCGCCCGACTTAGCTCAATGTGATGAAATGCAATAGGAGTAATTAAAGGTTTCTTTTCCAAATATTATAAGCGTATTTGAACTTTATTTATTTTTACTGCAATGACCTAAATAGTCCGAAAATATATTTTTACAAAAGCCGTACGTAAGCGTTAATTGGTGCTTTAAACCGTAAAAGTAAAGATAGTTTTCGTTCACTTCGTGCTACGTTTAGTGTAAGAGATGCTTAGCATTGGGGATATGTCAATAAGTGTAGACATAATGCACTCATTCATGTGATATTTGCGCGAGGACTGGCTCTCTGCTACATTTTCATGCAAGGGACGTTGTGTGCCAGTGAAGGCTAGTACGAACCTAACGAGTGAAATAGTACCTCCAACAATCGATTCCTTATATCAAAATGTAACTCGAACCTACATAAGGCTTCTCACAGTTTCCACAATAGTCCTGTGATCGAAACGATCGCTTGAAAGTCTCATGTAAAGTAGATTTTCTCGCGTTCCTATGAGAAGTCACTTGCCTTGTACGAGTAGGGGATGACGGTAGCTTTGTAGGGACAGCTAGGCTGTGCTAAATTGTTTCTGCAATAAAATATCGTAAGTTACAAATTTCTTGTTTCATTTTTTTTCTATTGCAGCTTCATATAAACATATGTTGTAGAGATTATATCCCATATCGCGAAGTAAAAATTTAGCATGAAACGGGCGTCTTTCTTGATGGCAAAAACCGCCGAAGTAGGAAAGGCACTACATCGCTGCTGTAACATTCTCTAACCCTTTCGTTTTAGCCATATAATTCGCCCCAGTGTCTGTTTGCAAGGTTGCTATTCGTCAATACTCAATGTCAACAGTTTGATGTCAATTTACTGCGTCGTTTATTTTCTCTCCTTTGAAATAATTGAAATGAATGCTGTTTCGATTTTTTTCGTCCGCGAGAATCGTTATTTTGGGCATCCGAATTCGTTTTTGCCAGCCCCTTTGTCACCTTTATAAACTTAAGCAAGTAAGAATATTAAGAAATAAACCACGGTTTTGGATTATCTATTGTCGTCGAATAGAAGAATTGTAATGTTGATTCTTCTATTCGGCAATAGATGTCGCTCGTCAGGCACGTACATCTATGATCTACTGAAATTCAACACTAGATGGCAGCACTAAACATTACTTAATTCATAGTTGTTTACTTTGAGTGGTTGGTTACCTCATAATTTATCAAGGCGTGATAGTTCAACATAAATAAAAATATATTTAGATCGAAAAGTGGAATTTAGTTCAAATTATTGAACTAGATGGCGTGCTAAAAACCGTAAAAGTAAACCATTGGAAGTTACAAATAATTGAATTATCTGAAATTATAAACCAACTTTAACTTTTACATTATTTTTAATAAATCTGTCACACATGCGTTACATTTTCACCCTTGGATTGTAGAAATTAGTATAAAATTGATATTTATAGTAGAAATAAAACACACATTATAATTTTGTGAAAACTTTATTGAAAAGAAATACAAATACATGTCGCTGCGACAATTAACAAAAGAATGCGCATTTTTACAATAAATGATCGAACAACCACACAATAGACCTTTGAGTCTCTACCAAAAAGACATCAAAATTGCAAAAAGTTTCGAAAACCTATCTAAACTGATATACATGGCAGACTTACTTGACGGAACATACTTATAATAATGTATCACTTCCAATATTATGAATCTTGAAACACTCCTTTTTTATTTTAATTTATTGAAATTATCCATATTCATATAGTTTGTATACACTCGCGCTTGAATTATTCCAAAACGGTTCGAAGTGATACCTCTTGTATACGACTTATAATATTTAAATATACACAAGGCATAATAATATAATGTTTGTTCTTTAAACATATAATGGTGTTTGCATCTAAATAGTAAATAAAACGATATAAGGTTATCGACTAAATCACTACGGGCTCACATACTGACTTTTGAATTTTTTTCCACTTTTATAGTGCTACTGCGGTTTGACAAAAGAAACGACGTAAATACTGATCGTAATTTAGGAACTACTGGTAGCCATTTAAATTCGATACTAAAAAGGAATACAGGAATCATAGACTAAAGCGATATGCCATAGACAAACCCCTTTATCACAGTTCTTGAAATGCACAAATCACGATGCATTGTCCTCTCAATACAGCTAAGTGCGAAACATGGCCTACTCTTACTATCTACGTCTTACGATACGAACGAGACTTGTCTATGGTTTGAGTCGATTCGGTGCGCACGTCCGCACCGAGACCACGCCCTACTGGTAAGTTACGAATGGCTGTGAATTTCCTAAATACTCGAGATAGAAAAAATAAATAATTGATACTTATCAATACTTAAACACTTAGTCGTTAGAATTCGTAGAATTATGTGTGGCCCAATTTGGTCCCGGATTTTTACTTCTACTCGGTGAAAAGAATAAGTTGAAATTTAAATATTTCCGCAGCACCGGATGGTGGGCGATTCTTATCGATGCATACTTTTTGGCGTCAAGCGAAGATGATACTTTCGAACTACACCTGAGAATTTCTCCCTTCGATCCTCTGAAGGGCCACACATCTACGTTTTCCACTCTAAACTTAACATCTAAATTGACACTGAGTCGGGTTTCTCCAATCACGAGACAATAGCGAGTCCTTTGCGCGCCGGGACGTTTTCATCACAATCGATACAGCCGTTTTGAGAGAAACTTTTTACAACGCGTTTTTAAAGCGCTTCTATTAACCAAATAGCATTATAGAAACAATAAATAAATTAAAGTTTCCATATACAACTCGCAAGTGTAGTTTTAAAAATTGTAGATTTTGTGAATACAATTTTAATCGACACTATTCTTAAAAATCAGTTCACGTTGTAAAGAGTTTCCCTTGTGTGTTCGGCACACACCCTAAACTAAAGATGTCCTTTGACGTGTTCCTGCGCAACCGTCAAAAGAAGTTTCGGTCGCTCGACCGTACTTATTTAATATTAATAAAGAAACGGATTTATAATCAGTCGGAAACTTGTCGTCGAGAGCAGCTCACCAGACTTATGTCGTAATTATTATTTACACAAACATGCGTCTGATTTGTACTAATTGATTCTAGCTAGATGGCGCTAACTTAAATAATGCGGAGGAGAAATAATTTACCAATATGGTAAGCGACTCACGAAAACCGAGTCCCGATGTTGATCAGATACACAGGGCGTCGTATTATGGAATGGTCGTCGCCACTTTGAAGCGAACAAAATAAGCCGAATTAATACGCAAACCGCCCTGAATATTTGGAAGGCATCGGAACCTAATTGAACTAGAGATTTACATGAAATTCGATAAATAAATAATTTCACTAAAACGTTGTCTTGTTTGTACATAACAGATATTCGAGTTGTCTAAATGCGTGAAACGCTCGTATTGTAATTTGATTTGAAGCGTATTAATAATGTGGATACCAGATACACTGAAGGCAGCTTTGAAATCATAATTTCCTTGCCATGTCTATTTAAAATACCATTAATTAGGCTTAGTTGAATCATAGTGATTATCACTAATCGGTACACCATCAAATCAAATTACAATTTCCCCAAAACACCTCACGCCTTCTGCTCGTTGAGCGGCTGTTCCTCGTGCTGCTTGTCTTCTTCTCTTTGCGGAGAGTTCCAAGGCTGGAGTTCGCCAGAACCGAAGACGGTGAACATGACAGCCCCACAAACGTAGGTGCCGGCCAAGATGAAGAATACAATCTGCCATTGCTCGTACGTGTTCTGGAAGCGTAAAGTACGTAAGTGATCACTGTTAAGCAATGTTCGCCAATATTTAAATGAAAATTGGTAATGTGATACTCACTTGGTGCTTCGTGAGTTCTCCGACCATGAATGTGGAAAGCCACCCGCCGAAGGACGACAGCGTATTCGCGATACCAAATATCGTTCCTGTACAAGAAGTAAAACATTAAAAATTGTTTCTCTTTAGTCCAGTACTATACATATTTGTGTGTTGTTATTAAATCAATTGACGTGACCCGCGTGGATAAATACTCACCGCTGAAGTTAGGAGCAATGTCCAGGCCGTTGCCCAAATAGCCGGCAGTCACAGCTCCGTTGATGGTCAAGGCCAGCGTGAAGATGGCAATGGACCAGACGCGGTCGTAACCGAAGAACGCTTGGGCTATCATGAATATTCCTGAAAACATTTTTTTTATAATTGCATTTCCGATGTTAACAAAAAGTCACAGGCATCAAAAAAGCATATTAGTTTTTAACGGGTCGCGGGTTCGTTCCCCACCGGGGCCAACAATATTCAAATCAATATATGATTTTTCTGAAACATGTTGGACTTCGGAGGGATATCTTGATATTAAATGGGTGGTAGGAAAAGCGGGCTCTTTAGGGTAAACACGAACCTGGTAAGCCGACGGCTAGTCCGGTGAAGAGCTTCCTGGCCGCCGTGGTGGAGAAGCGACCGCTGCGGCGCAAGGAATCGGCGAGCACGGAAGATGCCAGAGCGCACAAGTATTTGCCCAAGTACGGCAGCGAGGACAGCAGCCCGTTCTGGAAACGAAATGTCGTCTTTCAAACACAAACGCTGATTACACTAAATGGAAAATATATTTATAGTTTTTGTATACAATATATATTTCTATATAGAAAGCTTTTATAACACTCTTTTCTTGCCGTTTGAACATTACTGCTACATTGACTGCTTCCGTAAATGATGAAGTCTGATCAACTACTTGCCTGAAGGGGCAAACGAGATGTAACTATTTAAAACCTTGTATAAAACTATTGTATCGTTAAATTATTTCACGGGGGGTTTTATTTCTCAACTGGCACACGGGAACCACAGCTGCTGCAAAGCTTCCGAAACGAGTGGTCGTAGTTTAAATAAGTCGTAAGTTGCGTGATATATTTCGTGTTTTGAACAACTGAAACTGTTTTATTTAAATATTCACTACTCTTGAAAACATTAATATTGTTTACATGTTATTGCACATGAAGGCACCATATAATTTAAAAGTCGAAAATAAATTGAAAAAATTTTCGACTCCGTGCTGTTGCTCTGAACGCTGACGATGCCGGTTCAAGTCCTGCCCGAGTCGAAAATTTTTTCAATTTATTTTCGATTTTTAAATTATATGCACTACTCACGTAAACTAGAGACGATACCAATTAAAAACCACTTTCTCTAAATCAAAGCAATTTACAAGGCTCATTGCGCCTCAATCACCCCATCTAAGCCTCTCATTAATTTAATTATCTTAATGCTATCTCTGGGAACAGCAATGTTTATAAAATGAATGACGTTATAAATAGCCTAGACTAAAATGGGATAAGAAAATGCTAGGAATTCCGACCGGCGCCGTGTTACGCGACTAGTTTTTATACGATCGCATGTTCGTTAACCTCAAACGGATTATTTTATAATTATTGTTGATTCGCTAATCTCATGAACGCGCTGTGACCGATTGGAGGATACTTCCTATAAACGAAGAAAACGGAGAAGATTATTCAAATTCGTGCGTTTCCGATGCGTACGCCGCGCAACGGTTCCAAATAGGCATAAAATTGTATGACAGAATGCTTCCTCTTTAAAAGATTAACTTGCAACAACGTGACGCGACGTCGTAGGTAGCAGCAAAAGTCTTTTCGCGAACGAAGTCACTGTCACAGCTTGTATTAAATTAAAGATTTTTGTGACATCGCTTTTATGTAGGTTTCTTCGATAACAATTCATTTTTATAGTATATCCTTCATAAATATTTAACGAAAAATATATATATAATCCTTACTTAATATCTCATAGTCATTTTTGATGAATAAAGTGTGGATTATCGACGACCGCGTCTCGCAGGTAAATGACTCGGCCACGTGACGAGCCAGTGGAAACGGGTTTCGTTCAATAGTGAATCACCTGGCGCCGGCGCAGGCCGACAGGACGTACGGTACACTTACGACGCGACGTGGGCAATTTTACAATCTCGCTTCTTAAGGGGATTTTATCGTGCAAGAAACACTTAGAAAGTACGAGTTTATCGATAGCTTATCAATTATATAGGGTACGATTAATGGAAAAAGCTCTTCTTGGAAACACTAAATACGATATGTATATATTGTATGTTATGACAATAACATATACATATATCTTTTATAACTAGCTGACCTGGTAAACGTACTTTTGTCATACAAAGTATTTCGATAATGTTTGATTACCACAAACACGGTTCTTGTAAGTTATTCTATAAAGACGTTTTGGAAGCGCACGCAACGGAAACTCTCGCAGGGTGATGTTTTTTAGCCAAAAACCTTCCTGGATAGATGGTCCAATACAACTCTACAATAATGGTTCTATTCAAACCAGTAGTTCCCGAGATTAGGGCGTTCAAACTAACAAACTCTTCAGCTGTACAATATTAGAACAGATTAAAGTATTATAAAGAATTTAACTAGGAGACAAATTTCACCTCTGTAGTTCACTCGTGCAATATATTCAGCGACGCTCGTAAATTTGAGAAGCCATAAATAGTCCATTTATTTTTTTAACGATTCTATACAATCGCAACTGTACAGTCCATTTGTCTCATAATTACAGGAAACGTTCAAGGCTGAACATTCTCATAATCGTACGAGTAATTGTGGCCACAGCAAATATTTTATTCTCAATTCACACCTCATAAAGTTGACATAAAAAATACCAAATTTCGTGTTTCATATTAAAATATTGAGGTGTGTTCACACCTTATTACTATTTAGCACTTGTGTTTAAACACGTTTTGCATTTCCGTGGAAAATTATATATATGTATTACCTGAAGAAAAATTATTTCTAGTTAATACGCCGTATGTATTGATTTTTTTTCGGCCCCACGAGCATTTCGTCAATAATGAGATCGGCCGATAGCCAACAAGTTAACAATAAGACCGTTTACATAATGCGATGCTGCAAAATGCATCCTGTTGTTTAGACTTCCTGTCATTGAAAAACTAGTTCCGAGAAGATCTAACTGACTGAGGTGTTGTCTGTGAAACTGACGATTTTTCTGCGTCGAGTTTGTGCTATTATAAATATTAAATAGGCAATTTGTTAACAGTTTGGTCAATGAAAAAAAAAATCTTTGTTCTTCCTTTATCGAAATTAAGCAAGTATAGTTTGATCCTACATCGTATAAAAAAAATATTATTTTATGTCAATACAATTTCGTTATATTATGAAAGATAAAGTTAGCCGTCTCAAGAAATGCAACATCTCTGTTGTGAAAGAGGGTACGACCTATTTTGGGTTTAGACATTCAAGAATTTCGATGTCCTACTAATTAAATATCCAGATTTCCCAGACGAGATCGAACAAGTTTTGGAAAAATCCTAAATTGATTTTAAAACGTGTTAGACGAGATGAAAATCGTACCCACGACCCGTTGATTATCAAGATAGGCAAGATAAGCAACACCTGAGGCTGACCACTTCTTGGCTGATGCAATAGGATTGGACTTTACGCGATCTTCGTTTACACTTAACGAGTTGATTTGCTGCAAAGAAACGTATATACGACATCTTACATTATGTAAAACTATATAAATTACTCAATTTATTACAGTTTAATGGAAAATTGCATAACCGACACTCCCGCGCAGATATAGAAGGTTTTTAAATGTCCCGTCAATAATGTAGCTGCGACTTGCACTTTTCATTATACCAAAACGCGTACAGTACATGTAGTGTGTTTCTAAGAAAGAAAGGAAAATAAATTTCTTTCTTATTACTAAACCATTTTCGAGATAAAGAATTTTAATAGATTATTTCCTATCGACTTTTATGTCAACATTTGTCAGAAAGAGATTTCATGGAAATGAATACAAGGAAAATATGCTAACAAAAGTAAATTGAAACAAGTAAAAAAATAATACGAGGAATTAATTTCAATACTGTCTTAGCAAGATTTGCCTGAAAAGCCAACAAAAACTGGATCATTAAATAAATTCCTCGTTAATTGGCGTTTGAACCTAAATTACTTATTGTTTATTTATTTATTTTTATTGCGCTTTTAAGTACCTCTAAGCTATTTATCTTGACACGTGGCTGTCAAGGGCTATTCTAATAATTTATTATCAGATTTCCGCAATAGCACATCCACTTCGTGTAAGTAGATTGGCTTAAAATTCTATTTGATATAAATAAGCCCTACATTAAATATATGGAGTATAACGATAAGTTAATGCATTTTAGTGCAAGATATCCTATGCTTTAAAAGAACTATAGTTGCCCCACTAATGCGAGGTGTAAACTTTAAAAAATTTCCTAATCACATGTTTTACGTGGAAGATGTTGTATGCATACAATGACTTTACAAGTCGGATTGATTGAGGAAAATATTTATCTGCAAACAGAAAGCCACGATCGGACTATTTTAATTATTGGAATGAATCGATTTTATCGCCATTTGAGGGTCTCGCTTTGGATTTTCCTTACCACCAAAGGTAGCCATTCAATGACTTTGCAATAGTGATAAAACTTACAATCATCAATCGTTTATATTGATATAATGACGAATTAATCGGTTATACTATTCGTAGAGAACTAGCGACCCGGCCCTTCGCTTGGGTGCAAAGCTGATAATAAATACACTACAGAAAAATTTGAACGTTGTATATAAAAACCTTCCTCTTGAATCACTCTATCTATTAAAACCGCATCAAAGTCCGTTGCGTCGCTAAGATAGCGTATTTAGATAGGGACAAAATGCGACTTTGTTTTATACTATTAGTGATCTAACCACAAGGTACATTTAAATATATTTTTATTGATATATCCACTTACATGTTTAATAGGATATTGCAGGATGCTCTCGATGTAGGTCGGAAGCTGGTTGACGACGGTGAAGTAGCCGAAGACGGACGCCCCGTGCGTGATCACGATGGCCCACACCGGGAGGGACGTGAGGAGGCCGCGCCACGGGACCGGGTTGTGCTGATAAGAAGGCCAACGAAATTAGACGTTCTTTCTATACATTGATTACACGGTGACCAGGCGTCACGAGAAATAAAGAGTACAGAATAACGATTTTCATAAAATAATACATTTTATTATTTTATTTAATAGTATATACTTCGACTCGGGCAGGTCTTAAACCGGCATAGCCGTTGCTTTTCCAATTGAGCTACAGAGTCCTAAAATGTATTGTCATTTTATTGCGATCTGATCAATGTACTAATTGCATTGAGTTGTACAATTTTTAAGTAAAACATGGATTCATCGATTTCTCGCACTTATTTGTTCACCTGTTCGATTGTGTTCGAACGACTCGCAAATGCAAACCTTGCTCAAATTATTTAAGCAAAGTAAATTAATTACGTACGGTGGTTCATAAGGCAAAAATACTGGAATTCTCGACTTACCCCCGTGTTGTTTTCTTGGGGTAGTGCCTTCAGCAGGAAGCTCCTTTCGGCTTCAGATATGCGAGGGTGTTGGGCTGGCGAATCGTACACCACGGCGAACCAAGCCACGGACCACATCACGCCGATTATACCTAAAGTATAAAGTTGCAGAGTTATAACTGTCATCTGTTTCCGTCCTTTTAGTGACGATTATCATTCCGCTTATCGGCGACTTACCAGTAAAGTAGAAAGCCGACTCCCAGCCGAAGTGTGCGATGAGAAAACCGCAGATCGGCATAGTTATTGCGGCGCCGAGGGACGAGGCTGTAAGCGAAGTAATTATATTTAATTCATTTATTTTATTCATGTATGGGAATCTGATTTATATGTCGAAAGGGATTTTACACAAATTCCGTTTAAATATTTCAAAGATGCATTTTTAACCCTATGTTGTAATACCTTACGTAAGTGTATGTAAATTATACAATAAAGATAACTCTAAGTACTTAAAATAATTAATTCAGAACTACGAGTTAGGAGCTATTAATCGTTCAATTGGAACATGTCGTTCGACTTGATTATGATTACGTAATCGTAAACAAACACTGTCGCGGTATATTAGCGACTGCCCCCTGCATGTTTTCCTCTTCGGAGAAGTCTCGTGACGTCATGTGTTAGTAAAGTATAAATTAACTAACTCGTACATAAATACGCACAATCAAAAAAGCTAATTTGCTCATCGATTATAATATTACATTTTTGAATCAACAAAAACAGATCGTGAATAATTGAGGAAAGCCTTAGGGAAAACTCTCGAAGGTAATTTGAAAGAGACACCGTTGGAGCTCTATCTCTTATTTTATTGACTCACGAATCACGGTAGCCCTCGCGACCGCCCTCGGCACTCCAACTGGGTCTAGGTGATAAGGAAAATATTTGCATTCATCATTGTTATCACCCTTGGCCTTTCGCGGGCTGAATTCGTTCGCACTTCGCGAATGTCAGTGACACAGGAAGGAAAATTTTATCGATACAATGCGGTTCGCTTGATCGTCTGAATTAATTTATATTGCCTTCATAATTGCTTATACTTTTAAGGCAGTAGAATAAAAGTAGGCGCGCATTTTAGTAGAATAATTTTTAACTATTACCAGTTCGCTAAAATTATTTTTAATGCGTACTTGAAATTTTCTTTTGTAATTGTCCAATTCAACGAGGTATAAAACTAATTTCTTTTACGCGAAGACAACTTTTATCGAATTTGGATATTTCGACTTCACTATTTTGTTTATATGGTGAGCTAAGCAAAATAGTCGAAATGTACTTAGGTACGTAGACCAGACGACGTAGGTAAGAGCTCATGTAATATTATAGAGATAATAACTTTTGATATTTACATTCAACTCACCAAAGCCATTCATTGCTCTTTAAATGGAGGTGAAAAATATCACGTGAAACGCATTTAAGACGAACAAAATGTGATAAGTTATTAAAGTTGATGATATTAGGTTAAGTACATTAAGAGCAAAATGTAATTGAAAAAATCTCCCCAACAATGGACTCATAACGATTAAAATTTATTGCTTTTAGACTAACTGTCAATTAAGGCGTTACGAACGACTACACGGGTATGATATACTGTAATAAAATAAACATTAAAGTGGGGCTTTGTTATACTAATTAGGTATAATAAAAGCATTGTGACTGAATGTTTTTTTTTTTTCGAGAAATAATGCTGCTCGGCTTAGTAAAATTTGAATCTTTTAGTCTCCCCGTGAGAGCGGCTGCTGCAAAGCCCGTAATTATATAATCAAATTAGTTTAACTGATATATATCGCGTTTTAAACAGGTAAAGTGTTTTATTTAAAAAAAAATACTCTTTAAAAAGCTAACGCTGCTCCAGTGTGAGTTGGCGTCTTTGGCGGCTTAATGCGCCTTTCGAGACAGGGGCGTTAAAGTCTTTTATTTTCAAACACAAGGCTGATACTAGTTTCTTCTATCAATTCGATTGCATTTAAACTTACTAACAAATAGACCTTTTTGTCCGGAACATTCTAGAATATGAATATTACGAAACCAAAGCCAATACATAGGAGGCAACCACAGCTGATAGACGCAGAACGATCTTCTAAATGGATGCAATAAATTACGAGTGAACTTTTGCTCCGATTTAGTGCTGATACCAATCAATGAACCGTATGATTCCATCGGTGCTTATAGGTCATCAGGGTGACTATGTACAAGCTTGACTGAATTGATATTGTTTCGACCATCTTATATGTTTTCGTTTGTATGAAATAATTGAGGCAAAATATCCTACGAAGTTTTGAATCCATAGTCAGTCTACTTGTCGTATTGGTCCTCTGACCTGCAATGGTAATGTAGTGATTTGCGCACATTATGACTTATCAAAGCCATACTATAATCGCGATGTTTGTTTCTCGTTATGTATTACAAAACTCTATTCATTATATAATATATAAAGTAATGCGTATAATGCTATTTTTTCGCAAAACTACGTCAACCGCCTCATTAAAATAATTTTACACAAAACACGGCAATTATTGAACCAGCATTGCTTAAACCTACCACCAGCCTATACTTATACTATAATTTTAAGCTTGTAATTTGAAGTTATTTGGTGTTAGAGATAAATAATTTTAAAAGTATTTATATAAAATACGGTTCGACGTTTCGCATGTCTCTTGCAAAGGATGCATAACTAAATTATTAACCAATATATTTTGAGTTTGAAACCGTTAACCATGTTCTATTCCAACCGAGGTATTAGTGGGATGCAGTTCATTTCATAAATATAATTGTACATGGTTTGCGACCATTTTCGATTTAGCAAAAATAAATCCGCCATGTTGACATGCTTACGCAAACTCGTATTAACCTCGTTTGATTTTGTGTAGTGGGTGGCAGATTTATAGTTAACACAATAGTCTGAAGGACATATTTTATCATATCATTATTTCGTCATTTTTCATTAAAAAAGTAGTGTTCCTTTTTTTGAACCGGTGAACGAAATAGACTTAACTTGGTCCTAACTCCTAATCTGGCATATTTTTAATGACAAGTCATGATAATCCTTTGTTCAAAATATCGTATGTATTCCAAACTCTTATATGAGTGAAGTGCTATTTAAAAGAATCGGTAGAAACATAATGCTCAAAAATAAATTAAACAAAATTTACGACACGAGCAGGTCTTGAACCGGCATCCACAGCGTTCCGTGCTGTCGCTCTACAGCATTGAGTTACCGTGTCCTACACGTTATTGTCGAATTTCATCAATCTATTGATATGAACAATTGCTAGGATTTCTGCTCATAAATAACACGGTTATCGTGAGACAAATTTTCCGTACCTAATCGCTTTAAGACTTCTATAACTATCTACGTGCTGTAACTCTTACAAGGCGCCATATGAATCTAAGGCTACGGTTTATCCAAAGAGGCATATAATATTTCATTGCCGCCCGCATCACTCCAGCTAACGACACCACGTGAACATTCCCTACGAAAATAACTTTGCATTACACATAACTCTGCGTACACGCATAGCAACGGTTGCGCAAGGTTAAACCGCGCGGTCAGACTTGGCGCCGTCGACCAATCGCAGCGTCGGATCGCTCTGACGTCAGCGACCACGCCTGCGCGCGCCTCCGTCGCCATTTTAACCGACCAAATGGGAGTCCAAACTAGAGAGATAACAATGGACCGCAAAATACGTCGAATAACATCGTCCGCTGACGCAGAACTTTTGCGCTTAATAATTCGGTTCGTAATAGGCGCAATTCTTCGCTTTATTAATCCAATTTCGCGACAAGGACGCCCATTTAAATGAAGATGACGCTAAATAGTTTATTGCTCTTGAGTAGCGAAATTGTCTCGATTAAATTGATCATCATTGATGCGACAAAAAACTGTCGGTTCAACTCACCCATCATGTTAGACATGAATTTAGATCTGTCCATCGGCGGGACCCACTTGGAGGCCATGGGGAGGATGGCGGGCCAGGTCGCACCCAAGAGGAAGCCGAGAGCGACGCGCAGCGCTACGATCCAGCCGAAACCGGCGGCCGCTGCAGCGGGCGACAGCAGCGTGAGGATGCTCGCCAGCAGTGTACAGTAGCCGAACACTCGTCTGGATAAGAGAATGGGCTTTTACACTTCTATAATTACGAAAAAACATAACGCAAATTTATTTTAAGAATTTGGCAAAAGCCCAACAAATAAAATTAAATTTCAAAGTAGTTGTTTTTTATTTTATGTCTTTATTATTTAACTCGGCATTTGTAATGCTCTACAGCGAACGTACACGAGTGGGACTTCTACCTTCTATTGTCGGTGACTTTGTTTACATGCGATCCTTATGTTAATGTCAAACTTAAGATATTTTTATCTGTGCTTAAAATTGTAGCTTTTACTTAGTGAATTTGAGGTAGTTTAGTATATCATCTAGTATCTCAAATTGGTTTTAATGGAAATCAAATTCACGATTCCATGTAAATTGTGTTTGTTTATCAAAAATGCCAAGTTAGAAAAAATACACTATAGCTTTATTTAATTTCTTACTAAAAGCAATGACATACATACGAAAGTAACAATCTGTAGGGGACAATCCGAATGAGGAATGAACCGAAAGAAAGCTAATCGTCGTCATGTTCTTATAGTTAATTAGTATTGTCATGGCATGTATGTCATGTAAGCACGCATTTTTGAAGCATGATTGCGCACAATGCTCAATAACGCAATAACTAGCGAATTCGCCCGCATCGCCTTCGAGAATCTTCGATTGCCATATTTCATTTTCATGCGTCTATTTATGTGTTTCAATGGCGCTGTTGCGTTGCAGTACTTACCTTGAGCAGGACTTCTTATATAGGAATCAAGTTTAACGATTAGCCATATATTATTATTTAGATGTTTAATTGTATTATTTCAGTATTCTTTAATTATTCAGTGACAACTGACAAGCCTCGAGACCGAAGTTTTATCAAATACTGTCTGTAGTTTACGCGAGTAGTACACATTTAAATAAAACACTTTGAACGGTTTAAACTAGTAAAACTCATTTTAAAGAGTACTTTTAACCACGGCCCGTCGTTTCGGATGCTATGCAGCAGCCGTGGTCACGGGGAGACTATAAATAGATTTCAAATTAATTTACCTATTATTTTTCGCGTTTAAAACGTTAAAGTGCTTTATTTTGAAGTTAAATCATTCAAGTTAAATGGGTCAAAGGATGTATTTGCTGGAGAATAATAGATTATCGAAATCTAAATGTTACGACCTCCAATACGAGTAAACATGGATTTTCTTGACGCATAAATACATAACTTTGTAGAAATAACCCATAGAGGAAATATCTTCAATTAAAGATTTATGACACTGCACCTGCAATGTGCAGTCAATTTATGTTAAATAAACCTTGTTACGAGTATAAAACTGTTAAATATCACTTTTAGTAACATTAAGTTGCTACGATTTTTGACCACTCGATCGAAAGAAATTATTGTTCGCGGAGGATTCAAACCTAGGACACTTCGTGCTTAAACCTATATAAGCTACGCCTTTAAACTTAATTATGTTATCTTTATTAAATAACCATATGAATTACAATTTATAACAATCAAAACGGCGCGGGCGCATCGTTGTTTCATTCTAGCGATAAATAAAACAACTCGTTGCGAACGGTTATGAACTTGGTGTGACCCACATAGGGCTTACTCACGGATTACTCATAAACCAGTATGCAGCGTGAATGCTGATAAGGCCGAAATTATAATCTGTGCTCAATCAAATTTGCATGAATAAAAACTAGCCTTCTTTCGTGCCAATTATTTAATGACTTTTTGACAGTGTTTTTCTTTTATTTACACTAAATAAATACTTATCAAAAAGTTGTTGTAATGGCAAATATTAGGTATTTCTGAAACCCGAGTTACAGATATATGTAAGTATTTTCCTTGTGTTATATAAGCTGTAACAAATATGTAAATGGAGGATGGCCACAATCTCTTTGTGAATGGCTAAGTTTTGAATAGGTTGTTAAGTAATTCATTTAATATTTTCAATGTTTCTGAGGCTTATAAATATTTATTATTATATTGAATACGAGTACATATTATTGTTTCTAACGAACTCTCAATCGCTGGTAACGTCTACAACTTCCGTACTTCACTAACGATCGGCTTTAAAGAAAATATTTACTTCGAATACAGTTATACACATCTGCAATGTGCATCGATAATTTCACATGCAAAGATTTGTTATTTCTTTTTTATCTTTTGATTGCAATGATATGTCATAACTTTCATTGACGACAGCTCCATCTGATAAGAGTCCCGTTATAAGACTGGAAGCTTTTCACCCAGCACCGGTCATTTTCAGTCTACCTTAGTATATTACCCACACACGAGCCAAAGAATTTGTACCCAATAATAACTTGTGTTTTATAGATAGACCGACTATTGACAATTAATATACAATAGAACTCAGTATCTTAACTGAAAACTACTTCACTCACAGCTTTATGAAACTAGAGAAAAGTAGGTAGGTATATCTCGACCAGAAAAAGGGATATATCATGCTTGGAAGTGCCATGATACAATAACTTACCTAAATAATAAAAGAACACTGAACTATGTGGTACCCAAACTATTTACTACCAAATCCTATTAAAGAATCAGTTATTACTAAGAATATAAAAAAAAAATATGATATACTTGTATAATTTAGTAGAGTTAAAACTATTCTCAGTATTTGATAATCTGTATTATTTAGTATAAAATGATTTTAATATATTTTTTTGTAATGTGCTATTAGACGAGAGCATACAGAAAAAGTCGAGTGAGTTTTTGTTTTTGTGTTCATATAATGTTTGTAAAACTTTTATAATTTCTTTTTTCAAATTTATTTTACATTTATTCACATAAAATAATATTAACCTGAACATCTAACCTCGAATTCTTTGTGTCGTTCACTGTTAAGTTATCGTGAACTGGTTCACGTTGCAGACTGATAAAGAACAAGCTCACCTGGCGCCTATGACTTCCGCCAGTCTGCCGCCTGGCACCTCTGTGAGCACGTAGCCCCAGAAGAAGCAGCCCAGCAGATGGTTCTTCTGCTTTGTATCCCAATGGTAGCGGGTCTGTGTTATGTGGTCTGGGTGCTGAAAAAATGATCTACATTCAGCCACCCATAGATTTTTTCACACGTTTGTTGCTTATGCTTATCTAACTCGTTTTTTGTTGCATAAAATCTAAAGCATACATATTTATTAGAAATTGTAATAAAAATAGTTAAAGTTTAAGAGAAATATATTGTTTTAAATAAGTAACTAAATACGAGCCTACAGTGTAACAATATAAAATGTTAAGATTTTAAATTAAGATGCTACCTAATTAAAATTTATAAAATTGTGAAATGCAACGAAGCATGGCGTCCAAAAATACCAGCCAAAGTTGAGAAAGACATGATACATTTCATGAGGGATAATTAATTGGTATGTATGACTTTGACAATACGACTGCTATCTAGTCTAGTCTAGTATAAAGGCAAAAAGAGAAGATATTTTCTACAAATATATAATAGTCAGACAAAGCAACTGTGTAGTGTCGATCAGCAGTCCCGTGAGATTTTGATGACTAAGTGCTATGCACGAAGCCCTTTTTCTTGGAAGTCCAAACGCGAGTAGTGCTTTTATTTGTGCACGATCAGCTCGGAAAACTGGTAACACAATATAGGTAGTTGAGATATGGCCTATGTAAGCGGATATATTTAACGTAATCCGACACTCAGTTTTCTTTGTAAGTATGTCACTAGTACTCTGCATATTGTGTTCTTAAGACACAGGACTTACGACGGCGGGCTTCTAAGTTGTATAAAGGATAGCCAAGCTGTACGCGAGTAGTTGACATTTCAATAAAACACTTTTAACGGTTTTAAACGCAAAATATTATAGCTAACCTATTTTACGCGGTTGCTGCAAACCATCCCAATCCAAACCAAACCATCGGGCCGTAGTTGAAAATAACTAGTATATTTATTTATATAGACGTTTTCAACCGTCAAATGATTTATGTAGATGTAAAAAGCTACCCTGACTAAATAGATAACCTAGGTAAGATGCTGTCGACGAGCCCGGTAGTGAAGCAAACCCTTACCTGAGTGACATTAAGTGAGTCTGTCAGATTGGCGACGGCCTGCACATCTTTCTCGTCGAAGATCATCTCCACCACGGCTATCGTGAGGTTCACCCGCAAAGCGTAGTTCAACATGAACCCGAGGAGCACCATGAGGTTCAGTACTTGGACGCATGTTAGACAATCTGAAACAAACGGAGAAGCACGTGTCAGCATAGACAATGTAATGTGGGCATTAGTTACCTATCGATGATTCGGCGTTAGGAGAAAATATATAAGTTGAAAAATATGTAAGTTTGCAAGGTAAAAGCCAAGTTGGGAATCAAACCGATTACGTCACCAATTTGCCATTTAAATAACATCACTTTAATTACAATAATATCCTTATTTATACACAAATAACATTAATCTACACAAATCAATAAATTCTAAATTTGAATGGTTATATGACCACATAGGCCGCTCCGACGGAGTACGCCAAGGCCGAATTTTACGCTAAGTTGTTTTCTGTTTTGGCTTATAACGGTATTTAATTACAAACGTGTTTGACCAACTTTTATCAATCATTTGAAACGTAAACGTACTGTGTCCATCGCAAACTTGTTTGTGTTGAGGCCTTTATTTGGTGTTACGTCATATTAGTCTCTCGCTTTTAATGAAAAAATGCTAAATAAAGTAGAAAGCAGCGAACACAAAAATGCCAAATCGGTTATAGCAATATAATCAAATTATTAATTACTCATTGGTTCGATTCCCACGGGTTCAATATCTATACTAATATTATAAAGCTGAAGAGTTTGTTTGTTCGAACGCGCTAATCTCAGGAACTAATATTTCGAATGGAAATTTTGTTTTATGGTGGATAGACCATTTATCGAGAAAGGCTATACAACATCATGCTTCGACTCATAGGAACAAAGAAATAGTGATAAACGTGGAAAATTGTCTTTGTGGGTTTTTACCTGCGCTGCAAATCGATTCAAGAAACCAAGAATATGAATGTAAGCATGATTCTTCTTTAGATGATCTAAAAATGTCCAACCTGCGCCTATTTGTAACATTAACTCGCAAGAACGATGTGACGCGGACGGCGACGGGTAAGAGCCTAGTATTATTATATTCGTAAACATTCTATAAGTCGTCTGGACAGCCTAGATCTATTAAGGGTATCTCAGTCTGTGGATTCCTGTTCAAAGCTAAAACTCGGATTGTGAATCCTAAGTAAAGACTATTAAAGATTTAACGACTGCAGTGGCTATTTTAAATTTTACTGCCAAGGTTGAATTATCGCTGGCGATGAGAAAGCAATTTCTCTAGACTATTATGACTCGAAGCTATAACTTTGGCAAGTAGTCAACGGCGGGGGCTATGAATAGAGGCGAGATTTATTGCGTTGCCTTTGTATGCCTCGTTCATGGCGATTGATAATGTAAAAGGTTTATTTTCTAATTAAATAGTTTTTATGACGGTAGTATACAGAGGAGCTTTGGGTGCGCTCGATTGAAAGCGATATACCCCAGGCCTGGACCGTCTGGACTAGATGCGCTCTGGACGTCCAGAAATCCAGGCTGAAACCGAAACGGGACCACACTTTGCCATCTATGGACGATGCTTCGTACCTGAGCGAAATTATGATATTTCTACACCATTTTAATTAGATCATCTAGACGAAATAAAACATTAATTTATATATTAAATAATTTTTGCCAAAAGCTTTCGCAAGTGAATCTTATCGCTGTAAGTTATCAGTACGAAACCCGATAACAGCGATCCGAAAACTAATAGCAAATTATTCACACAGAAAATTCGATAGGGTCTAATGCAAACGAACTATGTGCCGTTTGCCTATACGTACAAACGAATTGTATTTCTTTACTTAATTTTTACTAGTGGGAGATACTAATGCACATTCATTATTTCTGGCGATATTACGTTGTACTTTATTCAAATGGATTTAAGATCCTAAAGATCCTAAAAACATATTTTATTAAGTTATTGTTATTGCCTCCTGATTCCTCTGTATCCGTTTCTCTTTATGTCAATAAACCTATATTAAAATACGTTACTGTAAAAATTGTGTTGCTCCTGAATAAAGTATATTTTCCTTTCAATGTCAGCGTTTGTGTGAAACAGATAAATTGTGCATTTATTTGACATATCACACATTTCATAAAAGTATATCTGTATACGGATAATTGTATATGAATTGAAATCATCGGAATTCCAATGGCTCGTCGGAATCACTCGGCGCTAATTGAAAAGTTGGCGTGGCGCCGCTGAACACGAGCGAAAGTGCCGTTAACCACAACTAATTGACAACAAAACCGATGTTTACGTGTAAAATCAATGATGTCTCCGGGCTATCGATCCGAAGTTACAAACCAAAAGCCACGTTTGTCTAAATCTACAATTCAATACAGCGGTGGGGTACAATGGGTAACTCGATGGAAGGTTTAAAATCGATTATATATTATAAAAAATTACACGGTAAGGATTTGAACCGACCACCACAGCGGTCCATGCTGTTGCTCTAAAAAATGTTGTTTTTTTAACTTACAATCGTTTTTTAATTTAAATAATGCCATTATGTGCATTAACATGTGAATAACTTAACCTAACTAAAAACTTTTCAATGGAAGATGTAATAAGCCAGCTATAAAACATGTAAACACATTCCTTATCGGAAGGCCAGAGAATATACACTCACGACTTTTCCATCTGCGGTCGGACCGACTTTATCCAAGTGTTTCAGGTGACACCTCGAAATTGGACTCACTTGACACGGGTGTGTTTTATAAAATCATAAAGTAAGGCATTGCTACCGTTGGATCAACGAGCTCCTCAAAGTATCTAATTAAAGATTTCATATTTTCTATGATTGTAAATGCTACTAAGAAATACATATGTTTAAAACTATCACTATACAGGTAGAGCAAGTATGACGTCAGACAGGGCGATTAGCACGGTCAAACAGACGTCTTCTCTTTGCCTCTTTTGTAACAATGGCGACTATGCAAATCTGAATATAGTTTTAAAGCATAACTGTAAATAAAACAAAACCGCAGGGAAAAAATGTTTTTTGCGAAGGAATAAAAAAGTTTCTCGATATAGCAAGAGTCACTTTGTAGTCTAAGAGACAGGATTTAAATAAAACAATTTCAACGGTTCGGACCGCGGAGACAGTACTTAGAAGGATATTCCGAATACGCTTCGCTTTGTTCTCACTTACCTAAGAAATCAATTACTCTATAGGAAGAAATATTTCTGGCGTATTTGAAATTCTCATCGCGTCGCTATCGGACCTTGTAAGTTGTGTTATGAACAAAACTTCCGTAATTTAATCACCAAACAGTAGTTATTTTTGTCATCGCGTGAGTTATTTTAAAACAGCAAAATACATGAGCTTCTATTGTTAAAAATTATATTAACACTAGCTGTGTCAGCGACTTCGTCCGCGTAGAATAGTTATTTTAGGCATCCAAATTTGTTTTTGCAAACCTCTTCTTTATCTTTATAAATATAAACTGTTTAGCCACGATTTCGGTCGGGTCCCATTGTTGTTCCAAGTTAGTGTTTTTTTTTAGATTATTTAAAGAGAAGAAAAATCAAACAATCTCTTCAGCTTTATATATTCGTAAAGATTTTGATATCTATATGATAGATATATGACGAAATTGGTTTTTCGACTTCTCATGGAAGACTTGATGCAACTCTATGAGTAATCTGTCCGTTGATAAGACGTTTGATATGTTTTTGTAAAAGTCGAGATTTTTTTGACGGGCTACCTTTTCCACCGGTTCTAGCACGTTTCACAAAATTAGTACTTTTTTCTGAACTATCTTAATAGAGTAAGAACTTTTTAAAGCGACCCTGTTTGATTACGGACTAGGAAATTTTGTAGCAATGATAAACTTTGCCTTATCTCTTATTACATCACCCGAGTCATTCAAGACGTCGTCATCTCTGACGTTTATCGTCAGCAGAAGTAAACAAGCCCAGTGGATGATTTTATTGCTCTGCATCTTTCTAGTTCAGAGTTCATGAAGTGCCCCACAATGATTGAATAAGTGTTCGAGAGAGTAGGACAGACAAGCATGATTATGCCGTATTTTCGTTTGTGAATCGAAAATTTTAAATAAAACACTTAAAACAGTATAAACGCAAAGTTTATCCGGTGAAGTGTTTCAGTTAAATGTGTTCTACCCGCTTAAACAAAAGACAGTAGGTAGAATTCTAAACTTATAAGAAACCTGATGGGTAATCGAACCCGAGACCCGATGACGTTTTAGCTGTGCGATTTAGCCACACATTACTATTATTCCAGCCGTCTCCAACTTGTCCATACTAAATTAATATATGTTGCATTTTTATTATCTATGATTGTATAAGAGCGACCGGGAACAGGAGTATGAGAAAAGTGTCAAGTCTTCAGACTTTAGTCGGTCAAGTTGTTTTTCCTCAAGGTAATAACAAGAGCTAGCCGGTTATACTTATGTTTAATTAAGATTTTGAATAGAACTGTAACGAAATCTATTATTACAAGTTATTACAAGTATTTTAAGTACTTAGAAGTAGATTCAATTTTGTTTCGCTCGACAATAATAACACGGTTAACTATTAAATGACTAATAAGAACGTTTACTCGTAACGAGATCTAATTCCTCGCGTAGTTGACGTTCTTGTAATCTCAACCGGAAACATGCACTTCTCACAATTAGACCCGACTTGGCCTTAGCCAATGACCTCGTGGAAGCGGTCGACTCCACTAATCCTCGAACTTGCTCCTCGGACGTCTAAATCTAGTATTCAATCTGCCATGTTTGGACTAACCGTGGTAAAATTTTAAAAGTAAGTTTAACGTTAAAAGTAAAGTAGTAGGCAGGCTTTCTATCAAAACTATATTAAAAGTGAAATTTTATTTTTCAAATATTATTTCACAATGGACATTATATGAATAAATAATTTATTTTTAATGGAAATTTTTTACGAATCGAGCGAGATATGAACCGGCATCTACAGAGTTCCGTATAAGGAGGAGCACGGAACGTTGTGGATGCCGGTTCAAGTCCCGCCAATATTGTAATTTGTTTTTTTTCAACCTAAATAGAATTTAAATCAATATAAAGCGATAGTCTGTAGTGTACGGGGCTAGTACGTACTAAAACAAAACACTTTTAATGCTCTCAAATAAGTTTCTTTAACACATCAAATGACAAATTTCTACACAAGTAGCAAGTATAATTAACCACGACACCAAAACTAAACGCAATCTTTAATCTGCGCACGCGGCACAAGCAATAGTGCATAATCTCAGTAGTGCACAAAGCATGCCAAACATCGCATTGTAGTGTTGTGCAGTTGTAAAGCGATCCATTAGCGACCGTTAATCGCTAACTCGATGCACTTGCCCGTTGTGTACCCAGTTGTCATGGTAACGGTAGTGGTCTACGAGAAATAACTGATGTATAGAACTGAGGACTCGAATCACGGCGTATGCACATTGTTTTGAGATAAAAACATAATCAAAGGGGTGTGGTAGATGTAGTTTGATGTGAGTGCAGTTGTCGCACGAGAACTGGTTTACAACTTCAAGTCAGGGTGACGAAAATGTCTATCACCATGTCACGTATAACTATTTGTATTTAAATATACAAGAGCAATGAAACATAAAAATCCTTACTACACTTTTCTTAAATACGCGAGTAGTACATGTTTAAATAAAACACTAACGGTTTAAAACGCGATATAAATTAATTTTTAATTTCAGAATACACGGCTGCTGCAAAGCATCTGAAAAGTCGGGCCGATGTTACAATAATATATCTCGCGTTTTAAAAGTTGTAAAATCTCAGGCCCCAACATCTATGTCATACGATCTACACATTAGCCCGTACACTTCGACCGAGTGAAACACAGCATAAAACAATAACCCTTCAACAGTATCAATCACACAGCTCGCACCCTAGCAACTGGTCCGTGTCTAACGCGATTTCTATAGTACTTTCACTGATTACAGCCTTCTGTGACAAGCGACGCGGGCGCAGAAGGACGCCGAGTTAAAAGGGATTATGAGCAGCTATTCGTTTTATAGGTTCCGGCCTAACTTAAAGCACAGTTATTAACACATTTGACAGACGTGTCACAGTTTTAAATAGAAAAGGCTAAGTGCGAGTCGGACTCGCGTAAGGTTCCGTACCATTGACGAAGTACACAAATTTCATATTGTTATTTTCTTAGTGTGTGCCTACCATACTAATAGAAGCTTCCCTTAAACATAAATTTTATTTTAAAAGATGGCGGCAATAGAAATAAACATCGCGATTCTTGAAATACAGCCTGATGACAGACAGCCAGACATCGAAGTCACAGAGAACCCTAAAATGAGCTGAGCTTTCTATGATTAACAGGATCACATTACTTTCATTTCAAACAGATACCTAGTTTAGTTGTGCGTAAAAAGAGCCGGCCTCAATATCACTCGCACCAATCTGACACCTGTCATTTAAATATTAAATTGAATCGTAAAACCGCTTTTGGACCTGTCGGAATTTCAATTGCAAATATTTAAAAAATAACATCTTTATGCCCCAGTTAACATTGACCCAAAATTGAAGTTTCATCTCAATTAAAACTAAGATCGACGTGCAAGTACGTTTTATTACGTTATAACCTGTTTAGAAATACTGAACACTAAAAGTGGATTTAATTCCAAAAATGTACCTACTTAAATTTTTTCATTAATGATACATGTAAAAAACGTGTCCTTATATATTTTACTAGCTGTGCCATCGACTTCGTCGGCATAGAATAGTTGTTTTGGGCACCAAATTTGTGTCTGCAAACCTCTACATCTTTATAAATTGAAGCTGCCTGCTGACATCGGTCGCGTCCTATCGCGACTCAAAAATAATTTTTCAATTCAAAGCCGTAGTTCCTGAGATTAGCGCGTTCAAACGAACAAACTCTTTATATATTAGTATAGATTAATATTTTCTCTAACCTTTCGAAACATCGATTGAAACAATAAATGATTTAAATATAGTTTTTCAATGATGATGGATTTTCCTAAATACGTTTCGGAAGTATCCGAAGAGAAGTTAACCTTGGGCCTTGGCACAAATTAAAACTGGCAACTTTGTTTACAAACATTGATATACTTTTGTATATACGTCAATTCGCTACAAAAAAAGATTTTTTAAGTTCCACGTGCGTTTTACTACTTTATTCACTTAAACTTCATGTTTATATTTGTAATCAATCAAAAATCAATAAAAAAAAGAATAGGAATAACTTGGAAACAAAATTTTTAGGACCCAGTAAATGATGAACATTTTTTCCCCCTAAAGCGGTCCTGCTGACGTTATTTTTGTGAAGTGTATCGGCGGGAATAGGTTACCGCTCGTTAGTCGTCAGTGCAAGATAGTCGCGTTTATTTTAAAAATGGCCGAGTGCCAAGTCTCACTGTGACGTCACGCGAGCAGTGGGCGCGTCGCGGTCGCTCGAAGTCGCCAGTTAAATACGTTTTATTTTATAGCAACTGATATAACAATTATAGGATCTACACCGACGGGAAGTCACGATACTATTTTATCAAGTATTCATTCTCATGGTTCGATTAAAGATTGTGCTGGCGTCATAATAGTAACGAAACAAATAGAAAATAATAGTAGAAAGCAGAAGGGATTGAATCTACTAAAATAATATTTTTAATTACAACTAATATGAGGAAGGCTGCTTACCTGTAAAGTTTCTTGGAAATGATTTTTCTGTTTTAGCCATATTGTTCGGAATGCTGCAACAAAAAAATACATTTTGGTATGATGGTAGAAATACAATAAGTTTTGTTTTATCGTGGAAACGTGTCCATTTTCTAAAGTTTTTTTTTGTGTCGAAATAGAAGAGTGATGAATTTTCTCAATTGTGTAACATACAATATTTTAATTCAAATAAAAGACGGGCAAGTGGGTAGGTACCTAATCGAATGACTTTCTGTGCAGACTCTCGACTTGGAATATAAACGTACTTTATTTTACATACTTATGTACTAGAACGTAAAATTATCACACAAGTTGAATAATTTATAGCCACGATTTTAATTTTAAATAAAGGCTACCTAGTGAACTTTACAAAACGTATTAAATTGGATAAACATTCTTGAATAAGTAATATTTTAAGCAGTACTTACTTGAGTAGGTATTAGTTACTTCATCTATAACATTACTATAGTAGTAAAGATGCAAAGTAGAATTACTAACTATACATATTTAAAAAAAAATGATAAACCTTTTTCCAAAATAACATAATAATAATGTCAACTTGTAAAATGTACTTAGATACTGTACGAAGTCGCCATTACTTTTTGTATTGGAATAAGCCGTTGTCTTGTCTCGGTGGCTGGCAAAAAGCAAATTGACTGACGCCGCCATAACGGCTCCGTCATTACGATCAAATAATTCTAATTACCAAGTCATGTGTTACAATGCAGTAATGTAGGTTGTCGACTTCACGTCTACCTATCAAAAACGTTCTCAATAAGTTCGCGACATTGACATTTAAATAAACCACTTTTAACGGTTTACGCGAAACGCGACTGGTAAATTAAAAATAAGTTAACTGATATAATTCGCTACAAAACGTTAAAAAAATATTTTTTATTTATACTCCTCGCGTAAACTATTGACAATACTTGACGTTGACGTTTTTATTTATTACACCAATTATTTAAATACAATAATACAAATCAATAGATTACGCCTGAACTATACATGGAATAAGTAATCTCGGCAAATTAGATTTAATTTACATACGATATTGTCCAACTTCTGAATGGCACGTCCGAAAAACATCTATTTTTCGCACCAATGTCAAGCTGTATACGTCATCCCATCGATCATGGAAGGCTAAGGCCATGAGTCTATGGAAGTCCTTGGAATATGATTACCTAATTCGTTTGGACTTGCGAAATAATACAATCGAATATAATTATGTACAATGTAATATTTTTTATTTTAATTCGTGTATTGTTTTTATTATTCATGCTATATTTTTGTTCTTTTTTCATATTAAAAGCATAAAAGTAAAAAACATAAAAATCAGACAAAAGATTGACTTTATAAAGATACATTTTCGAGCAGGCTATAGTAAATATGACCGAAATTTTTCTTTCGTAAGTAAGGCACGAAATTTGAGAACTTTTCACCAGTTATCGTACCTCAACACTCAAAACAGCCCTATTAAAATAAAGTAGTAAGAAACCGAATAAACGAATAGGTACATAAAAATGTTAAGCAACAGATAGGTACCTAAGTTGTTTACTTTATGAGCACTTTCGCTACTTAAATTATATTTAAGTTCTTCATAGTGCATTAAAACAATCAACGGCCGAACTAAATGCGGTATTTCCAAATGTGTAAATAACAAGGTATAGTAGTAAATAACTTTAGGTATTACCAGAAGATTTCAATTTTGTTACATAAAATTAAACTTATAGATGCTTAAAAAATACATTACTGTTAGACCTAATGCCAGTTTTTGTAACAAAACGTGTCAATTGCCAAAACTTAATTATTGCATTTTTAATACCGTACCTAGCTGGTAACTGTTTAGGAGGTACCTAACATTTTTTTATCACGCGTTGTCCCAAACCTCATTGTCCTGACTATATCGCTATTGCCGCCTTTCCGACAGCTGTTTCGGATTTTGGACAAATATGACTTTTACTTTGATTGTTATAAAGTTTTAAATTTAAAAGCACATATAATTTAACGGCGTTTGGGTATTATTCCAGAAACTAATAATAATAAACTAAATTACTATGGCCCACCGGGATTGTCATTCTAATAATATAACTGAACAATACGTCGTTTTACTAGTACCTATACACCACAATGTAGAGGTATTATATAGTGTATAAAGTTACCGGATCAATACTTATTTCAGACACTTCATTTTCATAATCTTTTAGTGTGACAAAATTCAGAAGGGAAAGTGTAATGGTTACTTACCGCTTTTTGTTATAACGAAAAGAAATGCACTAAACTAAACTTTATCAATACACTTATAGAACCTAATATATAAAATAAACTTATATTAACTTTTTAAGTAAGCAATAAAGAAGCTAAAATGAATGCGATCGAAAACGCGGATGAAGACTAGTGTACACCCTTCACCGGCAAGCGCAGAAACCCGACTAGTGGTAGTGCGATCGCCGTTCGGTGTTGCCAGTTGTCGTTTGCAAAACTATACACCGCCATGGCGTTACATCCATATTAATATGCCACTAGGCTATAACATTATGTATTATGTATATGTTTATGTATAATCATGAATCAATCAAAATATGAAATACGAAGCTCGTTTTTAAGTTGTGCATTTTATAGGATATTATATATGCCTATTTAGACAGTTTTGTAATATGTTTAGCCCTTAACAATAAATTATTAGTTAAACTTCAATAAAAAATTATAACTCCTCAAACATTCCTTCGCTTCTACGTTATTATTAATAGGTCTTAATCCTATGGCATGATTTATGTTCCGAGGCGAAATCCATTCCTATTGGCTGACGTTGGACGGGCCCCCAGCAATAAATTGATGAGTCACCAAATCGAATCCATTTCACAAATATGTATTTTAAAAGATTTAATTACATATAAAAAAAATATAAAAGACCTTGTGTTTGCGTTGTAATTATTTAATATTAAAAGTAAATGAAGGTATCAAATACTATATGGCAGAAAAAAAATTATCTACCCTCAATTAGCATACAATTTTACAACTGCCATCGAGTAACTAGCCATGTTCATTTTTCAGTCATAGGGCAAGCATATGTCGTGAAGTTGTTCTGGTTAATCATTTTATCAAATTTTAACTTATTTATATACTATGTTTTAATTTTACACGTGTATATATTTCGTGAATGTTGTTGCTCTTATGACCGTTTTAATATAATTTAATAAAGTGTAAATTTCAAGCAAGTTTAAAATGGCGTCCTCACCTTTTTTAAGTATAAAAACTCACGTGTCCGAACTGAAAAACGCAGACAAGGAATCCATAAGTGGGGTAAGCTTTTATTATTTCAATGTTATTATTCTTATTAATTTTAATTATTATACAGTACATACATGTTACCGTTAAACTGCATTAAATGCTACAGCTTTTAACAATTTCGATTAACCTATATACCATTGTACATAAAATATTTATAAAATGAAATTATTTGTTTTTATGGATTTGTTTTTTATTATTCGTGCTAAAATTTGTAGGCTTCGGAAAGTGGAACAAGTAATTCCATGACGTCCGCTGAAGACTTACAGCAATTGGCATTAATACTTGGCTTGAACAGTGTTGAAGATGTTTTTCAAGAAAGAGTCCGCGTCGACAGACGACGGTTGGAGGCTATGCTTGTTGGTAAGCGTTATACATTATGTCGGGATCAAAATATGTCTAATTGACTAACACTCCCAAATACTAATTAACTTCCTTTGTGTGTTACAGACACACTGGACGAGACTCAGACAGCGCAAGCGTTCTTTCACAAGGTCAGAGAATGAGTAACAAATATTTCAAATATACTTATAAATAGTATAATTGTATTGGTCCTAATACAAATTTGCTTTTTAAACAGGTGATGAGCGAGACAAATACTTTAATAAATTGGCCTGCTCGTCTTAAGATCGGTGCTCGTTCTAAAAAAGGTAATTTAGTTTGTTACAAAAAGTTTTTAATGTAAAAGTAATTGCAAATATTATACAATAATTATGCCTTAATTAATAATATAAATCCTCCTTAGCGCGATATATGTATGTCCTTTATTTTTAACTTTAATTGAGAAGAGACAAAAGACTTTGTTTTTAAATTATATCCATGTCGTATTAATTTAGTAGATACCTACTTACTAAAATATACATTTAATTATAAATTGCTCACTTAATATCTTGTTAGAGCAATATAAAAAGATTAAATGCAATTGTGTTGTTTAAACTACTGCGCAACGTATTTTTTTAAATAATTTCGTGAAATGGAACGATTTTTTGGCGCCAATAATCCTGGACGGGGCGCCAGTCTGGCGTTAATTATTGTTAAAATTTTAAAATGTAACTATTTTACTTTTGCGCGTCGGTTAGGGCGTATCAGTTTTGTATTTTTTTGTTTAATTATGAATTGTTAAAATTATTATTGCCTTATAATCTAGTCAGTATCATGTTAAATATTATTTGTTCGATGGAATTAGTAGCTAATGAATTAAAAAATGAAGGTGTTTATGAGTTTATTAAGGAATTGCGTTACAATAATTTTCGTGATCTCCTTTATTATAATGGTAAAATGTTTCATGTGTTAAAACTATTGAAGTAATATAGTGTATTAAGTGTCAAAATTATAGCAAGTGTCGTTTTAGATCCCCATGTTCGGATAGCTGGTCGGATCGAAGATGTGAAGCTAGCGAGGGAGAAGATTATGCAAGTACTCGACACAAGGGTATGGACATATAACATAGCTATTTAATATTTTATTCCTTTAGTGATTACGCTTCGAAGGTCATTTTCCCTAGTAATTTCTGGCAGCTTTTCGCTTCAATTCGGTGTGAATACAAAATACAATTGTCCTTACATTATAATTTGTAGCCTTTCGCATTCGGAATAAATTTTGATTCGAAAAAATAGTATCCTTGGCCTAACTTATTATTACAATTCGTATTCAGTAGTTTCTGCAAATGTTATTGTTCTCTTAAAATGAGCAGAAAGTCAGACATTTGCTTTATTATAAATACAGTTTACACACGTCTATAAATTTGCAGTTTACCAAAAACTTTATTCTACATTCCGTCATAGGCGTAATGTATATTTAATTACCATAATATAATAATAACTACTACCTACACTCTTCTTAGTTAGATAAGTAAGTAATAATGGAGTAATTGCTTATTGTCTTATAATATATTTTAGAATCATTTATTATATTGCCAAAGGCTTTTAACAATTTTTTATTTTCTTCCAGAGTAACCGAGTAACAATGAAGATCGACGTTAGCTATACAGATCATTCCCATATCATCGGAAAGGTAAGATACCTAATTTCAATAATAATAATATAAAGGCATCTCCTTCACATAGATCTCATGTAAAGTAATATTTCTGGTTCTTTATTGCCTTTCCGCCTCGCCGTTGCTGCGGCTCGATCGCCAAACGCTACGTCCTAGATTCGAATCTTAGGTTAAACAATCGTAGAATTAATGTGTCTGACTGGCGTTTGAAATACTCGACGATGAGTTTTTGTACACAATCCCAAGTAAATTATGCTATTATTTATGCTCGTGAATCGAAAATTAATGGCTAACACAAATTTATCTTTTCTATACATATTTGAAAATGCAATGATTGAACAGTCATGCGACATTTCGATTAGACAGATGCGGGTAGCTCGACAGTTTCGTGCAAACGGCACAATTACTAATAATGAGGGCTCAGGTCAGTGCTAAACTGATACACTTGGTGCTATCGAAAATGTTCGGTCTGCTTATTCCAAATTAATTGTTTAAAATAGACTACTATTTCATTATGACCCAACTACCCGAACCTCTAAATTGCGGAATCAAGTAACAAAATTAAGTAACGTCAATTGAAATAAGTCATAATTAAATCCTGCTTAACATCAACAGGGAGGCCTAACAATAAAGCGAGTGATGGAAGAGACCGGGTGCCACATCCACTTCCCGGACTCGAACCGAACGAGCGCCGTCGAGAAGAGCAACCAAGTGTCCATCGCTGGAGAAATGGAGAGAGTGGAGAGGGCTCGCGCTAGAGTTAGAGTAAGCCTTAATAACATAACTTTTGATGAGTAGCTTGGATCTTAGTACCGCTACATTTTGAAGAATAATTCGTGCTTGTATTGATTGTTGGTGGAATAGTAGAAATGAATGGTTAATAATGTATGGGTCGTAGGTTCGATGCTCAGCGAGTACAACATGATTCTATTATATATTTTTTTAACACGCTGGACTAAAGACGGTGCGAAGTTAAATAATGTAACGTTAAACACAAGCTATACCCATTTTTGAAAGTGTTTATTTTGAGTATACTTGAAAAATACAAAGTAATGCTGGAACGCATCTCAAATAAATGTATTAGGCATTTGTACCAAAGAATGTATGGAGTATATCCATTTTATCCTTTAATGTATCCGACTCTTTTTGTATTAGGCATGGTCGGGTACAATGTGTTATATATCTGGTAAAAGTATTGCGGGGTCGAAAGTTGAACCCAGGAGTTCTACAGTCCTTACACTTGTCAGTGCCGGACCGATACGTGTGGAGGCGATTACGACCACCGTTACTTGCGCTGCCGTACTCACGTACCAACTTGCTGATAAAATCCCCTCTTGTCCGTGCTATGCGTGTTATCGATAAGCTGCAAAAGGGGATCGTCATTTCTACGTGCAGCTTGGGTGAATTGACAAAAACATCACTCTATGAAATATGTCTATAATAAGTCTATCGCAATGGAATTTTTCTGTAATGGTAGAATATGTTTATAATGAAATAAATAAATAAAAATAAATACCTATACTCCTGTGATCGAGGCGTTAGTTATAAACCATGTCCCAGGCAGAAGTTAGTTTACACAGATGACATGAGGCTGCTAGAGGAAGAGTAGCCTAATTTCCAAAACGCATGATTTTCAATTAGGAGGGAAATATAAATGCGCGATTAACGTAAGCGAAAAAAAAATTGGAATATTATTTGTGTAAGAATTATGTTAACAATTTTCGGTCACTGTGTCTAAAAATGTCAGTCAAAAGATTGACTGACATTTTTAGACTATGAAAATATATGTAAATAACTCAAGTCATAATATTACAGTTAGGCTACTCTGCCTCTAGTAGCCTCATACATCTGTAGGTACTTTTAGGCATATGATAAAAATTTACATAAGACACTGCAAACCAAATTATTAGTTTTTTTATCAAGCCATAATTGTCGCTGATAAATTTGCCTACAAAATACAACGTTGCGACAATCAATTTCATTGCAACTAGAACACGTTAAGCATTGGTCAATTGAGAATTGTTAACGTCCTGCGCTGCTGATCTGGGCCTTCAATGGGTCCTTTAATATATTTGAGACTCTAGAACTTTCTAGAAACTAATTTTATATTATAGTAAGTTCATTCTCTTCTATCAAAATCAATAATTTTTGCATGTAACTGATTTATGTCTTTAAATTCACATTGATAACATTGATTGATCAGCCCCAGCTGTGGGACAATAATAGGTTGAATGAAAACTAGTAATAAGTATTTCAATAAAACACTGTAACGGTTTAAAACGTGCTATAGATTAGTTAAAGCAGTCTCCCCGTAACCACAGCAAAGCATCCGAAACGTCGGGCCGTTGTTAAAATAATTTTCAAATATGTTTAGCTAATCTATATCTCGTTTTAAACCGTTATAGTGTTTTATTTCAAAGCGTACTACTCACGTGAACTTGTGACAGTAGTGACAGTATTTAGTAAAAGGTAAATCGTTGTTAACAGAAGCGAGTAACTGTAAATGACAATACTAGTATACCTTCTTCCTCTCAGGCTTTGACACCCCTAATCTTCAGCTTCGAGTTGCCAATCGTGGCGCCTTCTCACCCACTTCCAGAAATCAACTCGCCCTATGTCATGCAGATACAACAAAAATACAACGTGCAGGTACGCAGTTTAATATTAGTGTCTAGACTGATTAAAACATGACATATTCGTTAACTTATTTTTAACTACGTCCGCTGCAATCGGAGAGCGTTGTAATTAAAAATAAATCAACTATAATATTTCGCTTTTAACAACAACAAAATACTTAGTACCTATATGTACATATATTTATTAGAATGTGCTACAACTTCTTAGTTTTAAACTAAAACTATTTTAAACTAAACAAAGAAATAGAGTACTTAATGCTTTTTCATAATAAAATTTTGTTCCTATAACTACTAATTTAGATCTCAATTCTCTTACGGCGAAGCGTAATTTTTGGTGGGATTATTTTTGGTGGGATATACAGTTACACGGAGTAGCCTTTTACTGCTTTAGCAAATCTACACTGATTATCTTATCAATTCGATTATCAAAAGATCAAACCCAAGACCAAAATATACATCCTTTCACACAAAGTAACAGAAACCAATGATTAGGTGATGATTCGCAACCGCCCGAAGCTGCACGCGAATCTGCTGGTGGTGAAGGGAGTGCAGTGGGAGGTGCAGGCCACCATGGAGGCCACGAGCCTTCTCATCAACTACATGTGTGGCCAGTTTGCTGTAAGTTTTATGTGACGATTTGACAATGCAAATAAAATGAATGGAATTTTGAAGCGTGCTAAAATTGAAGCTAAAGTATCTAATAAAGCTAATTAATATTACGGCACCAATATTATTCCGTATTTCTTCTAAAATATAAAAACAGCGATATATTATTCTCAAAATAGATAATCAATATCGTCGTTTGTTGGAGTTGCTCGAAACAAATTAACAGGCTTCGGTTTTTCAATGTTTCATGCTTACTTAATAAACGGAGAATGAATTGGTATGGTGGGTATATACATAATTAAGTTGATAATTGGCATACAACAGAAGTAAGTAGTTACTTACTATAATAATGATAACGTTACAGAACCAAACTCAAGTCCAAATGTCACTCGAGATATCTCCCATGCACCACCCCGTGGTGATCGGCCGCGGGGCGGACCAACTGAAGGTGATCATGAAAGGCACCGGAGCCCAGGTCATGTTCCCGGACGCGGAAGATCCGAACATACCCATTCTGCGCAAGAGTTGTGTCACGATCACCGGGCAGATCCAAGATGTGTATGCGGCGAGGCAGCAACTGGTCGTGAGTTATATGTACCCTGATACTTACACTCCTAAATGAATTGACGCCCAAACGGCTAGACAGCTTTTGATGAAATATAACCTTACACTACTTGCATCCCGAAAAATAAAATAAATGTTTAAAGAGAATTGGTCTATCTACATAATATATAATACATATATGTATATTGGTATATACACAATATACATTTAAATACAACACTAACGGTTTTGTAAATTATACACGGGGAGTCGGTGGTCACGGGAGGACTGAAGATGAAGGGTGTCCCTATTGTCCTGGTCATATCGGCTACGTTAGCGTCCGAAACGTTGCGTCGTAGTTAAAATAAATAATTGTAGTAAAGTAAAGTAAAGTTTTTAGTGGTATATGAATTATTAATGCATTTAACACGAACCTCTACTCATTCAGGGAAGCCTTCCCCTCGTTCTGATATTTGACGCCGCGGACGATGCGCCATCCCGTTTCGACGTCGAGAACGTGACAGAGCTCATGCAGAAGTATAACGTGTTCATCAGCGTGCGCAGGAGACCGAAGCAGGGCATCGTGTCAGTCGTCATCAAGGGAATAGAGAGATGCGCCGGTGAGGATACATTATGCATTTATCTGTAATCCGTTTGCAAAGCCTTAAGCCGTAGTTAACTATGCTTTCTTTGAATTGCAACCTAGGAATTACAGTACATAAAACAACGGTAGAAGGACTGTCGAAGTTGTTTTATAGTATTTATTTATTTAATAAGGCTTACTAACTTAGTATAATAAAAACCTCCTTTTAAATTAAATATTGTACTTAAAAATGAAAGTACTTACTTCAGAAAATACTGGGCTCGTTCAAAACTTGCCAAATCAAATAGCCTGTAGCCAAAATAGATCGACAGCGAATTTTGCTTAGATATTACGAGGCTTGGCTATTGTACCTACCATGAAGTGACACTCATGCTTGCCAGTCCTCTTTACCTTGAAAAAAACTAATTGATACAATTAGTGTCTTCTCAATTTATCATATCACCAGGAATAAAATCTACAACTAACGATTGTCTATGATTTTTATTATACAATTTATAAATTTAACAATTTTCTTGATTTAGGCGACATCTATGAAGCACGGCGCGAACTAATCGGGCATAAAGAATCCTCGATCACAGCTGAGATCCCAGAGTCGTACAACATCCCCAACGTCCCCAACGCTATTCCCAACTTCGGCGTGTTCAACCCCTTCTCCCCCTCGCACAGCAGCATGGGCAACTCGCCGTGCTCCCCCCTACATCAAGGTAAGGGAGGAGCTACTTACAGCAGTGCTGCTGCCTACGTCAGAATAATTTAACTTGATTTAACAGTGGAGTCACTTTTATTTTATTATTAAATATAACATAAATACAGTATGTATTAACAAAGAAAGAACAGAATATGAAAATTAACGCTATTAACTTTATCAAATTTTCTACAGTATACATAATTTGATAAAAATACATTTCGTTGATTTACAACTCTTTTTCAAATGTTTTTTAACTATATTGAAGGACATGGCGACTTTCGGCAGCCCGATGTACGGGCAACACCCGCCCACCCCGGGGGGTTACCCGGCCCCAATATCACCGGTGACCTTAGCCCCACCAGTGATGGGTGCTTGGATGATACCGTCCCCGCAAGCCTCCACCAGTCAGTTCCACTTTCCGATGCCTAACCAAGCTGTTATTTATAATAACCAACCCACTTGGAATCGTAAGTCCTTTTTAAATATCGATGTCTGTCTAAATAAAACACTTTAACGGTTTAAAACGCAATATATTAGTTAAACTTATTTGAAAATGATTTTTAACTTCGGCCCGACGTTTCGGATGCTTTGCAGCAGCCGTGGTCACGGGGAGACCATCCGTGACCACGGCATAAGTTTAACTAATATGTCGCGTTTTAAACCGTTTAAGTGTTTTATTTAAATGTGTACTACTCGCGTGCAAAAAAATCTATTCCAAGCGTACAAAAACGCGGGTTTGACTAGCACAAACGTAAGGTTTTAAAAGGTTTTGTTATTTTGTTTTAGCCATGTCTAACAACGGTGATATGAACAGCATGCAGACGATGCTTCAACAACAATACAACATGACGGGACCGAGCACGAGTGAAGGCAGACCGGTAAGGACGTTTTACTTCACCGGACTCTACACATATTTTTACTACTGAAAAAAAGGAGATGCAAATTTAATTTTAACAAGGGCTGCTAAGCTTGTGGAGGGAGTTTTTTTATGACAGAGGACAGAACAGCGTGAGGTTTTCTTGGTGGAAGGTGAAATACCCCTAGCCGTAAACAATATGAGCTATCCTGTATATACCTATATACCTATCTTGACTTACACATTTGTAAATTCGCAGGCTAAAACTGAAACGCGATTACTTTACGTTTGGGATTGTTCGTGACCCAGATGGGTTTTCATTAACCTCCCATATATCCTTATAGTAGGAAAAATTCGCGTTCTCGATATTGTTTTTCTTTTAGCATTCGCAACAATGCGCTCGCGCATTTGCGTCCAATATGTTATTCCGTGCTAAAATTACCCGCGCGTTCGCCCCGAGCCTATATAAACCCCGGACAGAGTGTCGCGTATTTCAAATGCCGAGCTTTTGTACCAATGATCTCATTTTACGAATTTTTTAAATCGATTTTTTATATTTACGACTATACGTCAGGAATGCGCAAGCGCAATGGGTGAGTTATTTGCTCTATTAATTATGGCAACCAATTTTTTTAACGAGCTTTTATGTATTATACTTTTGTGAAAATAGGTGCATTTATCCTTTATTTATATTTTAATTTATGAAGGGATAATACTGTTATGAAAGATTAATCTCAGGATCCGTTTTTTTCAGACTGTCCTTGGTATTTCATAACAAATACTCCCTTAAAAGTTGATTTTTGTCATCTCTTTTGTAACAATGCTTGATTGATTCGTTGTTTATTGTGCTAGAATTTTGAGTCTTTCTCCATATTTTTTAAAGGCATGCCAACAAATAGTATTTTTTCTTTTCAGTTGGGTTATATGTTAAGTACAATAAATAATGTATGTAAAATAGTTTATGGTTATTCTGTCTACCTGTAATTGTTTTACCTGAATAAAATAAGGCGTGCAAACATTTATAAGTCTTTTATTGTGGTTTTTATTTCTGAAAATCTGCAAAGCAGTATTGAACTACACCAAAACACATGCCTCCATCATTCTACACTCTAGCTCCTAATCTAGTTTCCCTCTTACTTAGCTTATTATTATAATCCGACTAGATGAATAAAATTTGTATTTCGCAGATAATATTGAATCAGCTACTGAACAACAGCTCTGCTGGCAGCAGCGGTTACCAGAGCAACTTCACAGGCAGTTCTGTTTCCATCGATACGCAGAATATATCTAGTATGTTTTATTATCACGGAAATTGATTATTAAAAATTTAATTAAGCGTCGGTTGTTTAAAAGTAATAAGATAATAATAAACTTTAATTGTTCCATTTTTTTGTAAATTCAAAAAACATTTTTTAAATAGGTGGTGGCGATGGAAGTGTGGCCAGTCCGCTAGTATCGCCCATCAGCAGGACGGCCAACAGCCCCGCACCTTCCACCGACGACCGCTCTCAACAGGGTAAGAAATACCACCAAAACACATAAAAAGGCTTTGAGTAGAGTATCTGGGTATCTGACACTCTACTAATTTATAAATTTAACATTTAATTGAGATTTTTCTGTGCTGCATTAAGTAAAATTTGTTGAAGCCTAAGTAATATATCGGTGACATATCCGGTAGTGCACACTTTGTGCATCTACGCACATTCCTTAACCGAATTAATGTTCAAATTATTAGAGTCCTTTGTACGACGAATAGCGATACTTTTCAGAGCTAGTAAACCTTATATCAGAGTTGAAGACCTGCGACCGTCGCGCGGTGGGTTGCGAGAAGAAAACGCTCGAGACCCTCACGAAGATTTCGCCGATATCCGACTACCGCCAGTTGCAGCAGGAAGCTTCTAAGGTGTGTTTTCTTCCGCTTGTGTGTTTGTTACGCTGGTGTATACTGTAAACTCTATAATAACTTTTTCTTATCTTTACTTTTCAGGCCATGCAAGAACACGTCGGGAACGGATATCGGGTGCCTAACACCAAGTGGTCAGGGCATTACTTCAGCAACACCTCGCCAGCCACGATCAACCTGACTGATCCTGAGAATACTACGGTGAGTCCTCGCTTACCCTAAGTTGTTTTGCTGAATCAAATCGTTGATAATAAATTTAAGTAGGTATGTATCTAGTAAGTATTATCTGTAGTTTTAGTAGTAACATTTTTAACGGTTTAAAACACAAAATACATTAGTTAACTGAACTACAATTATTTATTTTAACTATGACCCGGTGTTGAGGATGGTAACGCAGTAGATATGACATTGACAATAGGGACTGTTGCAAAGACTGTTGCAACCGAAACATCGGGCCGTAGTTAAAATAGTTGTAAATAATTTAATTTCGCATTTTAAACCGTTAAAATTATTTTATGCGACTGTGCTTCACGTGTAAACCATACCTAATGTACATATAACTTTACCTGCTTAAAAACGTTAGCATAGAGGTAATACTAATAAAAATACATATTTAGCCTGAGAAACGTTGGAAGCGGCCTGATCTAAGCCGTCCTAACATCGTCGAGAATAGCCCCAGTCCCAGCAAAAACAGCGCCCCCGGGACTAAGCAGTGCCGCTACCAGCAGCTGTACGACATGCTGCTGGACATCGGCTTGGGAAAATATCTCGGTGAGTGTCAAACATCATCTGCGCAACATTTGTAAATTAATTTACATAGGTTCAGCCTTTCATCCGTAAATTTCAGAACAAACTTTATACAATGTTATGTACCGAAATAAAGACTACATGTTATTAATTACAATAAAAGTCGAAGAAGTTACCAAATGTAACACTATTTACAAATAATGTTTATATTATATACATGTAAAATAAGCAAACGTTTCGGAATTCCTTTCGATTGCAGACCTGTTCAAGAAGCACGAACTGGATCTATCAACATTTGCGTCGCTGAACGAAGCGGATTTAATTGAGATTGGTGTTTCTGCTTTCGGCGCCCGCAGGAAGATGCTGCTAGTCATCGCAGGTCAGACTTTACTTTTAAGAAAAGGATATACAATTTTGATTTTGTCCAGTTTTGAACCGACATGATGAGTCTTAAAATATTTTTCAGAGTAATGAAAAAATACTTGCTTAGGCATAGACATAGTGAGGTAAATACATTTTAAAATACCTTTCATTTCCTCAGAGCTGCAAAAACAAGCGGGCGACAAAGCCTTTAAAGGGAACGGGAACACCAAGGATCGTAAGGTGATAAATTCGCCCCCTAAGTACAACACGGCGGCGATCACTCAAGACAAGTGGTAGACCCCCTCTACGCTTATGAGATATGAGCTGGCCTCATAGATAGGCTAAAACAATCGATTAGTATGCCTTAGTTAAGTTTCAATTGTTGATGGAATTAAGTTTATCGGAGTGATGAAGTTGTCGAGCGAATAAATGGAATGGTCTCATAAGCGTACCTTGAGTCACCCTATCGTCCACGGGCGGTGTCCAAAATGGATACCAACATATTAAATACTCAAATTAAATTTTTCGATACCGTCTCTGGACCGATAGCATAGGTAGATTGATTTTTATTTTTGTAACGCAAATACATTTACTGATCTCTAATGCTTAAGACTGATCGAAACGTACGCCGCGACCGCAACTGTGGCCAAAGCGTATGTGAAATCATAGATTTAATAGAATTTTTAAACGTAGCTCAAAGCGAACGACAGTTTGATCTCGAATAGACTAGTTGTTGAAGTAAACAGGCCGAGTGCCATTAAAATAGTTTTAGTTTAGTTAAGGAGCATGTTTTACTTTTTGATTATTCCCCACGAACCCAACGAATTACGACCGAGATAAATGATAGATCAGTTTTTAACGCTTGATTAGATTTTGAGTTATCGTCCGATTTGAAAGCCAATTAGTACTTTTGATCACATATTTTGATTATAATATGTATTGCTAAAAGTTCACGGCGTTATTTTTAAGAACGATTATATTCGATACGCGTGCCATTTTTATTGACCCTATGTTTATTTTGAGGCAAATCAGATTACGATCGTTCTTACGAAAAACCTGCGATTGGCATATTATGACAAGTATTAAAAATCACTGTTGGACAAAAAATAATGTGACCGATGTTTCGAGCAAAATTTTAATCAAATAACTTTTTGATATGTCTTTTCTGTAATTTTAAGGGCATTTTTATTTTAACACCTAACATTCGTACTAATATTTATAAGTAAATCACTATTACTGCAAAGTTTTAATTCGAAATAGCTGCGACCTTTTACTCACTTACAGCACGATCACCATGTTATTATGAATTAAACCTTTTTTGTAATTTTTAGTTTTAAGATCGTATTTTAATCATTAACTGCTGATTATGAAATATGTCAAGCAATTTATTATGATGTGGTTTAAAAGATTATAAAATCGGTGTTTTAGTTTTTCGTTTTTACCTTATTAGTGATTCGCAGATTTTTATTGTTTTGAGAAAGTTTTGCACGATTATTTTTAAGTTTTGCTCTCTGATTAAAATTTTTTAAATTCCATGTTTTTTCATTTCTTGCACCCCAGTCCCCAGTTATAATTGTTATTATCACCAGGGTCTTTTGGGTAGTTTTTAAAGTTAAATAGAACGTACTGCTAATTGAAATAAAAGGAAATGTTACGTTATTCAGAAAATATTAGTAAATGGATCTTGTTCAAGTCATTTATCTTATAGAAAGTTTACGGCACAAGATTCTAATGAAATCTCAAAAATAAAAAAATACTTATATAAACAGTTAAATATGTAATTTTTATAGGTTTTAAAAAGCTGTGCGATAATATTATATATATTTTCAAAGTCCTTAGCCAATCCTTAGAGATTTAAAAAATATTGTCAATTGTCAGTGTCAGTTGTCACAATCACGCTGTATCTATATAGACATTTACGTTGTGTATAATTCATACGGGGTTGTGATTGTATGATAATTTGCAGATTACGAAAAAGTCGTTAAAAAAACATCAACTAAGTAAAAATTAATAATGGGTAACGCTAGCGCCAAATCGGTGGAAATAAAAGCCCCGGAGGCACCTGTGCCAGCGAATGCTGAAAAACCAAAGCTGAAGCCGTGCTGTGCTTGTCCAGAAACTAAAAGAGCTCGAGATGCTTGGTAAGGTTATTCTGGTTTCGGTTTTTATTACGTAATTTCTAAAATGTTTGTGCAATCTTCCTTTATGACGAAAGTTAAATATTCATAACCTTTATTCTTGGACTAACCTCATGCAAATTATGTTATCGAAGTCATAATCCTAAAAGGTGGTAAGGATGTCGGACTTTAAAAATGTACTAAGAGTTTCCATTTCCACTTAAATTCACACATAGACTGTGAATATAAATGCGAACAAGTGTTTAGTAAAATCTGGTATTGCCCATAATCAAACTCAAACTCAAACCATTTATTTCACAAGACAGAATAAATAACTTAAATATAAGCTTAAATAACTAACATTTATGAAAAAAGTGAAAGAAGAAAAAACAAACAAAAAATAGAAACTTGGACGAGTGCTTCTGAAATGGGGAAAAGCACTCGGCATGTGCTTCACCACCCAGAGTAGAGGAGAAGCGTCAAATCAAATATATAAACACACCTTGTAATCTGTATTGTATTGTTGCCATATATTGTGTCCCCTACGTATTCAATTGGATGTCTATAAAATGTATTTTTTATCATTCTAGCATAATAGAACGAGGGGAAGAAGAATGTGGACCTCTTATTGAAGAACACAAGGCCTGTATGAGAAAAATGGGATTCAACATCTAGGTATACAAATGATAATTAGAAAATTTAAATTAACCTTTTCTAATTCTGTGTCCACTGCAATATAATTTCATTTGGAAGTTATTAAATGGGTGTCTAATTGTCAACAAGAAAATGTCTTTGCCATAATACATAAAAAAGTAAACATTTGTTAAGACAAAATATATTTGTTAAATTATTTAAACTTAGTCTTGGTTATATTTTAATTGTAGCTGGACACATGCATTGCTATTTTTATTATATAAGGTTTTATTAGGCATTTGCCAAAGAAAATTTCTTATTTGTGATTGTAGTTGTACTTAGCATTATATTGTTGATCCTTCAGGATCCGCATTAATTGTGATTTGCACATATTTTGTATTTATTGTAAATAAACATATAGTCTTATATTAACTTAGAACTATATTTTACTTAAACCCAATAAAAATTTTATTGCTTAAACTATAATCTCCTTATTATATTTAGGGGATATATACTATACTTAGGAGAGAGATAATTAGAATCTTGAACAAAAGGTAAATATTGTTGATGTAATGGGTAGTTCTACTAGTTAATTAATTAAGTTCTGAAATATACAGAGAAATCTATGTAACAGTTATATAACAATGGATATAAACAATCTAACAAGGTCAAGATTCACGAGACAAATTTGTTAGCGAACATGGTAACAATAATTTTCATTTTATCTATTTAAGTTCAACTACTCCTGATATTAGATATTTACGTTACAATAAACACAACATCACGATTATCAATCTCGATTGAACCTCCGACATCAATGGTCCTCTTTTATACAGAAGTAAAATTAATATAATGCGTTCTAAAAGGAATAAAACAAACAAAAGTGGAATTGAATCTGCTGCCAGTTCGTTTCAATCGGTGGACAGTTATGGGTAAGTAAACTTCATTTTATTTACTTTTCAGGAACTAGATTACTTTATCCCCCTTAAAATATTGCAGAAGCAGAGATATGTGATTTTAAATTATGAAAAACTAGACGGGAAGATTTGGCAATAAAATACGTAAACTTTTAAACCGACGCATTATATTGTATATATATGTATTGATTTTTTTTAAGTTTTAACTGTAAGAAACGTTTCGTATGTCAGAAAATTATTTTACTTGGCAATATTTATTATGTTAAAAGTGGTTGATTCTTGCAAAAATATCAATGATTTGTATGAAGTCGTATAGAGTACCGAAGTACTTATTAACCGTAAACAATTCAGATAGGACGAGTAATCGATATTATTTTTAAACATAATCCTTAACAAAAATGTTGTTAACAGCTTACAGTCCAATTTATTAATAGACTATTAACCCACAGGCCATTTAGTATGATGAAATATTGGACCATAGTTGCATTAAATTTATAATAACTAAGAATTCTAAAACGTCTTAAAAATTCGTAAGTTGATAAGTTAAATATCAACTACTTTTAATCTCGTTACGTACTTTGGGGCAATGACCCAATTTTACTTATCACTGTGTCGATTATTATACTAGGTCCCCACCTATATATAATTTTTTGCAATGTACATTATGTAAATTACATCCACAGTTCCCATGATTTACTTATATCAAAAAATATAATTTAAAAAAAGGATTTATTTCCTTCAAGTTGACCTCTATACTAATCTTGATCTAACTAAACACAAAACGCTTATTTTTATCGCTTATAGTGAAATTTAAAATTACTTATACCTCTTAACATAAAGGAAGAATATTTTACACTTCATTGGTGGTTAAGAGGTCGCGCTGCTTTACGTCATGGTATCGTACAAAAGTACACACTTTGTTGCGAATTTAAATTAATTATGACGTGCTCAATATTTATGGATCATTACTTGTAACGACTTCTTAATACAATTTATCGCGAGATCAAGGTCTCTGGCGCGCAGTTGCCACCAATCTTGACACAAAATAAGATATTGCATTCTCTTGTCAGAAAAGATTTATTGGTCCAGGAATAACTGTCCTCAATTTTAAGGCATTGAATTAACTTAGATAGTTTGAACCTGTCATAGGTACCTACATACTTAGTGATTTAGTTTTCTTTCAATCGTCATTACAAAACTGCCTGAAGATGGCGAACATCTAAGACATAGTCATTCATTCATTTTTTGGTCGAATTAGAAAAGACATGGCACAACTCCTGGACGCCACTAGGCCAGATGCTGAGACGGTACACAAACTTTTAGCCCAGTTTATGTTAGAAATGATAAAACTATTCGTTATCAGATTTACAACATCGCGTGTTGTGGCAATGTTTACAAATGTGAAACGTTCAAATTAATTACTATGTTGTTGAAGCCAGATTATATATATATTTGCCTTCGAGTCCCAGGTTTCAATCCGGGTCTGTAAATAAATTCGTTTTATTATGGTTTTTATATTATGTAACAGAGTATTTGGAAGCACCTGTTCCGACTTCTCAGAATGCGAAGAAGGTGAAAATAGAAAACGGACTTGCAGCTACAGGTAAATATATTTTAGTTGTTCATGTAAAGCTTAAGAAAATAAAAATATGTTATGCATATCAAATGTTAAGTCTGTTGATAAATTTTTACGCCTTGCCGCGACTGGATATAATTTCTTATTTAACTTTTAAAGGTATGTTATACTAGAAAAACTATTGTTTTAAACGTACTTATTGTACGACGTGAATTATTTTGGTAGACTCATTTTATTTTGCTTTCAGTAATTCGTGTGTCCCGACGAGTGGCGCCAGTTACCACAGTATGAAGGATCGCGAGACTGTTCCTCTGTTGTTGACGCCCAATTACAACACCCCCTATAAGAGCTTACACTGCAATAGTTCGGACACCTTAGTACGTATAAGACGCGAACCGTATTTATTATTATTTTTTTATAAATTATGTTTTAATAAAAAAAATCTGTTTTACCCTTCGTGATTTCTTCCATGAAATTCACTTATAAGTATGGAATTAATTTATATTAGTACTAATGTATAAAGCTAAATAGTTTTTTGATTGTTTGAACGCGCTAATCTCACAAACGACTGGTTAGAATTGAAAAATTATTTTTAAATATCGCACTATGACTAATAATATAATTTTAATATGTAATAAATTCTTAAGTTAATTTCAGTAGAAACACTTAACGGTAAATATGTTACCTAATTTATTATATCTACAGCCCGATGTTTCGGATGCTGATAAACGGCATAACGGTAAACGAAAAAACACTTCTGTAAGGACCTAGCCAATTTCTGCAATTACAATTACGGGGAAATAAATTGAGTAAGGCTTTCACGGCCATCGATCAGCATATTATTGTCTTTCGGGCTGTTCGGACAATGTGAGCGAGAAGAGGTTCTCGACGTTTCGCCATCACGTGTGGACGGCATCTTCAGGAGATGTTGACTCCTCGATTGCTCGAAGAATTGTGATTCAACAATTCTTCGAGCAATCGAGGAGTCGGAGCCGAACAGCCTGAAAGACAATAATATGCAATTACGGGGAAACCGATAGCGCCAATTTAGCAGACTTATTTCTAAAATTAGGGCCTCCCTCAATTATCAATGACCCCGTGACCACGGCTACTAAAGCATCCGGAATTCGGGCCGTAGTTAAGATAAAAATAAGTTACCGGGTATATTTGACTTTTTAAACTACTACTGTTTAAGTAGATAGTGTTTTTTCGTTTATTTAACAACTTTAATGATAATAATAAATTGCTGTTTTTTATTCGTAGGGCCCAGGAGAGCTGTCGGACACAGATATTATAGCTACGTACAAACGCACTTATGACAAACCTATCAAATCGCAGATGACAAAGCAAAGCTCGTTAGTCACCATGTAAGTCAACTGTACCAGTGTATATACGAATAAAGTATACATTAGCAGTTTGTTACATGTTGTATATCTTTCTAGAAGAATTAATATTTGGGCTAACTGAGAGTTACAGATAAGTCTAGACATATTCATTCTGATTACTTTAATCGCGCTTGATGACGTGAATTTTAAACAAATGTACTGATTGTCTCTGAGGATCAATGGTTAAGTACACTTCCTAGAGGTTTTAAGATTAAATCCCAGGGAAATTTTATAGTAAACATCGACACAGAAGTCTGATCAACTACTGCTCTATAGAAAAGAAGAGCTACGAAAAACATCCATAGAAATGTGTCAAATCGAAAAAATATTTGAGTCGGACAGGACTCGAACCGGCATCGTCAGCGTTCCGTGCTCTTGCTCTAACCAATTGAGTTTCCGAGTCTAAAAGTAAATACGTTATTTCAGCTTCTCAATATGGAACACGATAATGGGTTCATCTCTGCTGACGATGGCGTGGGGCGTAGAACGAGCTGGTCTGCCGGCGGCGTTGCTGCTCGTCGGCCTGATGGCGGCTCTTTGTCTCTTTACCGCGTACCTTTTAATACGCGTTAATGCTTACCACGGTGAGTGTACTTTATCTTGAGAAATAGTTTCTGTATGACTAAGGGGGTGACGTATACCTAGAACTTTCAAGTGCCATTTAAAACTGAACCTTCTTGGGAAGCAGATGTCTAACTCAGTCTTATAACAAAAAAATATGAATATGTGTGTGTTGTGGTTGGCTTGAGTCTTGACTATTTGGCGGAAGTTGTCATAAATGTACGACATTTTAAATGTTGTTTTACTAAAGTTGAAAGTAGTTTGATTGACTATACCTTGCGTTGCGGCTCTAAAGTATAACGGACCACAGGAACGGGACAATTGGCTAAAAAAAAAGTGATATTTAAACAAGAGCGTGTAACAGTAATGAAAAGTTTTGAATTTAAATAAGCGTCAGAATACCTTTTTTAAAAGTCCTCTAGGGTTCTTCTGGAGTTCAGAAATGCTGGCTTACTATGTCTCTTTGTATCTTCTATCTCGTAGGTGGTGACAGTTTTGAGGTGCCTTCCCTGTGCCGCGCCCTCCTCGGTCCGACGGCAGAAGTAATTGCGCACGCGTTCAGCCTTCTGGTTCTCACGGGCGCTAACGTCGTCTACTGGATCCTAATAACTAATTTTCTTTACTACACCGTTAATTATTTTATTGGTAAGATGTTTAGCTTCTTTTTGATTACGTTGGTGCTCTAAGTACTAATGGCGCAAACACAGTAAAAAATGAGAGAAACCGTTAAAGTTATTATTCATTGCTGTTTGTATTGAGGAGTTAAAAAACGGTTTAAAACTCGAAATATTGTTTTTTGTTGTTGCTTGTTTTTAAAAGTATACATTGGAATGTTTCAGAGGAACCCTTGGTGAATGCGACGAGCCTCAATTCCTCAGTGCTATGCCCTAAGCAGGAGTTGATTCCAGGGTCCAGCAGCGAAAGCCACGATCCCTCGCCGTACTGGGGCCTCCACACGACCGTCCCGCTCTACGTAGCGGTCATCGTATTCCCGTTATTAAACTTTAGAAATGTGTCGTTCTTTACGAAGTTTAATTCTTTAGGTACGTCTTTCATTTGTTTAAAATAAATTAACCCTCCTGTCTGGCCTCATAGACTATATTCCTCCATGCTTTTTCTTTCTCACTCTATCCTATATCTGTCCCTCTCTTACGATTAAGGTTGTCCGACCCACGAGCTCTCTTAATAAGCAGCAGCCTTCGAAGTTGCTGAAGTAAGCGATTCGGTGTACGGAAAAGGCCGATCCCGTAGTGTTTCAAAAACAATAAAGGAAACCCCGTGAGACTGGCGTCGTCAATCGTAATCATTAATTGAATTTTTTCCCAGAACACTAAAAAAAAAGTCCTTCCACCTTCGTTCTCACTACAAAGAAGCCGAAGCTTAACTCTCAATTCATTTTGCAGGTACGCTGTCCGTCCTCTACCTCCTGATCTTCGTGGTGGTGAAGAGCGCGTCGTGGGGTGTCAACTTGAACGTGCCGATGACGTCTCGAGGGGGTCTGGACGCGGCGGTGCTGAGCGGGATGTTGGCGCTGTCTTTTTACATCCACAACATCATAGTTACTATTATGAGTAATAATAAGAGGCAGGATAAAAATGTAAGTATTAGTGAAACATTAAATAAAAAACTTGCAACGGTTTAAAACGCGAAATATGTAAGCTAAACTTACTCCCTCGCCCCATAGCCCTAGCTGCTGCAAATTATCCAAAAGTCGGGTCGTAGTTAAAACAGATAAAAAGTAACTTTAACTAATACGTTTCGCGTTTTAAACTGTTTAAAATGTTTTAATGAAATATATACTCCTAACGTAAATTGTAGACAAGTCAATATATATGCTCTCTAATAATATCTGCTCTCTCTAAAGTACCAAATTAAAAGCTTTGTATAGCGTGGTCAGTTGCTTTGCTTTACACCCTTCACTTGGTGAGTTGGAACGGTTTATAACTTTTTTTTGTAAGAGGCCAGTCACAATTAGATAAACCGTTAAAGTTAATTAATATATCTTGACATATTTATATATACCGTTAGCAAAAAATCATAGATAAAATATGTCCTCAGGGTCGCGACCTCTCGATAGCGTTCCTGCTGGTGACAGTCACGTACACAGTGGTCGGAGCCGTGTTCTACGTCTGCTTTCCACTAGCCAAGAGCTGCATTGAGGATGTAAGTGTGGAACTACTGACCTAGATATCGATTATAAAAAATGTTCAGGTTTAAGCCTTGATATCGATCGATTTTATAATCGGTTTTTAAATTAAATCAGCTGTGGGATCAAAGAACATAGCAAGTGATAAAGGAAATGTTTTTTGTTCCAGAATATTCTAAATAATTTCGAAATGCACGACGTGATGACGGTTGTCGCGAGAGCATTGTTATTGTTTCAAGTGAGTATAACCCTTTAAGACACAGGAGGACAGACAAGGCAGGGTTGACTTGATGGAAGGTGCTTTCAATTCAGTAGTTTTTAATCGACTTTCAATTCGATGGGCTGTCGACCCTGTTCCCTGTCATTGAGAGATCCACAGGAATCAAAACCGTTCACAGCGTTTTCATTTGTGGACGATCGTTCGTGAGCCGGACAGAACCACTCATTTCTCCTTTTATTATTAGCCATTCATGCTAACATTGTACGAACTGTTAGATCATTGTTTTTTATATTTTACTAGGAAATTACGATTTTTTTATTTCTAATCATGAATATTGAACTCCAGGTGATAACCGTCTACCCACTGGTTGTGTTTATGCTAAGGACAGAAGCAGTTCTGCTGCTTCCACTGAAGGACTCCAGGAAGTTGACGTTTGTAATGAACTTGTTGTTAATAAGTGTTAGCATTCTCGTCGCTTGCTTGTGCCCCAACGTTGGTACTATTATCAGGTAAAAACTACGACTTTTATTTAACTATACGCATATGCATAATATATATATATATATATAAAACACAATATTCCCATACAAAAAATTAAATTTTTACTCACCATTAATTAATAGTAACAGGTAGACCTTCCAATAAGTAAAACATAATTAAATAAAACACTTTAAGGGTTTAAAAAGCGAAATATATTACTTAAACTTGATTAAAAATTATTTTTTAGTACGGCCCGACGTTTCGTAGGCCTTGCAGAAGCCGTAGTCACGGGGAGACTAAATATGGAGGTTGTCTCTGACGTCATAGTAAAAAACCTATACGCTAGCGCCATCTGTTCTGTCGAAGTTGTTAAGTTGTTATTGGGCGAAACGGATCCTTGCTGAATTGACTTAGTCGCGTTTTAACCCTTTGAAGTGTTTTATTTAAATGTGTACTACATGTACACACACGTAAACTACAGACAGTATTTAGCACTGATGAAATCAAATTATCAATTCATGCTGACCGGTCCAAAATCTGACTAACTGACATTATAAATATTATTTCAGATATACAGGCGCTGTGAGCGGCCTAGTCCACGTCTTCACTCTTCCGTCTCTCTTGTACATGCGATCCTTGCAACTTCGTGGGAAACTCACTCTCATAAAAGGACTGTTCTATACGTCGATTATCGTCTTCGGGACCGGCAACCTGATCATGCAGTTCTTTATAACATAAAATACTCTATTAACGCAAGTCTTAATATTATCTGGAGATATCCGAAAGCCAAATAGGCCAACGGCGCATCTAGTTTAGATGGCTGGGTTAACCTACAATCAAAAGTATCTCATGCTTACCTGTCCTCTAACAAACATCTCTGAGGTCGTAGTTAGATATTAGTTAGTAATAGGATGTTTAGTGTACAAATATAATCTTATTAGCTCTCTACACCTTTAGCTAATTCGAAATTAAGAAAAACGAGAAATCAATGTAAAATACAAGAGTTAATATGTATACTACTTAAATAACTATATTGAGCAAAGGACACTATTATGGGTATAATATTAAAGTGTCGAAAATAATTAGGTACAAGTTACAATCATATATCTAGTCATGAAATAGGATAAGAATATGGAAATAAAACACGTATGTGAAATCTCGTTTTAATTAACAAAATCTTCACAAATCATAACAAATATTATCTTTGGTCATCCAAAAACTTTACAACATATAAAATTTTATAATAAAATAGAAAAATATAAATAAACTCTCCTATAATGTAGTTGCAACAAGTAGATACACAAATTCGTTTTAACACTTAACATTCTAACAAAAATGATTAAAAAGTTTTAGCTTAGTAAGTATAATTGATCTTAGTTCAAGTTATCTTAACTCGCTTAGACTAAAACTTATTTTTTACGTGATGACGGTGGGCTGTTCCCGGCCAGTGTACTTTTGCAGCTGCGACATTTGCAGCGCAACAGCAATTAGAGGAGCGAGCTTCTCCTGAGCTGACCCCAAGACATCGCTAGCCTCGTAGGAATCTATATATAACCTGGACAACCAAAACTTTTTCAATAAGCAACGAACACCTTTAACGGTTTAAAACTAAATAGTTACTAGACGAGGTGACCGCTATCTTCAGGTTGCAGTTAATATAAATTTAAAATGAGTGATCTAATATATTTCACGTTTGACACCGTTAAAAGTGTTTTATTTAAATGTGTACTAATTGCGTAAACTACAGACTATACTTAATAAGTAATAATATAAATGTCATCTCGGGTTAACAACATATTGCTTTTAGTTGCTGTCTGTTTCAGGAGTAGAAATAATTAAAACTAAAATAGGACTTACCTAACAGTCGCTCCCGAGCTGCCAGTTCCACTCAGGCGCATGACGATACGCGACCCGTCTTTAAACACTATACGAAGACCCTATAACACAAGAATGATTTTTTCTCTAAATACCCACCCACTAACTAGTTATTTCGTGATAACGCGGGACAAAGAGATACATAAATGAAAAGTAATTACCAATAATTGAACTGTTTTTACCTGTTTCATGGCAACACTACGGTCCACTGGGTCCATATAAGAAAAGTTATCCGCGACCGACACCACGTAGCTCTTTCCACCAGCCGAGTGACTGGAACCCACGAATCCAGCTGACGTCATCTTTTTCTCCAACTCTTGCATCATCTCATTACATGGGTCGCTGGCGCATTCTTCGTAGTCATATCTAGGTAGAACAAGTACCTTTTTACAAAAGTCATGGTGGAAACCAACCTAAAGATTACTTATTATCCTACATTTAACCGAAAAATTATCATACATTTAACGGTTTAAAACGCGAAAGATATTACATTACTTTTAACTACAACTTTATCGTTTCTGACTACCTCCGTAACCGTCTCTGCTGCAAACTGTTAAAAAATTTTAAAGTTAACAAAATTTATTTCGCGTTTTATGTGCATAGATATATTCATATGTTTTACCTCGTGAAGTAATTCCTGCCAAACTGTTTCCAATGGTTGGTCAATATCTCTTCAACGGACAGCCCAGTTGCGGCAAGAACCGAGAGCCAAGCCAGGGCCGCCCACAAACCGTCTTTCTCTCTTACGTGGTCTGAACCAGTGCCGAAACTCTCTTCACCGCAGAGGGAGAGACGCCCAGCGTCCATCAGATTACCGAAGTATTTCCAACCTACAAAGTTAAGAAACATTATTCAATTTGTTGAGTAATCCTTTACGTGTTTCTTAGTCTGCAGCGACAGTTGCTACCTGTTGGCACTTGGAAGAGCTCCTTGCCGGTGGCAGCGGCGACTCTGTCGACGGCGGCAGCGGTGGGCATACTCCGAGCGTAACCTTTGACTCCTGTCTTCTGGAAGTAAGGGATATGCTGCAGGTTGTTGGCCAAGACCGCTAGCGAGTCCGACGGAGTGACGAAAAACGCATCGCGACCGATTATCATGTTACGGTCGCCTGCAATCAAAAATAAAATAATACAGTTGGTTTTTCCTGATAAAACTGAGTGTAATTGTTGGAATCACTTTTTATTTAAAAGCATTATACTTAATATTATAAAGGAAAAGGAAAGTAAAGGAAAATAATATAAGTAGCTTTTCCTATTCTCTTTTAAGAGAGAAAAGGACAGGTGGGCAATGAGTTTTTCTTGTAAAGTTAAGTGATTCAGCTATATAGGAAGTAAATTAGGTTCAACCTTTTTTGACTCGGAGTATGTGGATTATACTTCTACAACAAAATTTTCTTATAATATGCCATAATAGTCTCAAATAACTCACCATCACCATCAAACGCTGCTCCAAAGTCGAAATCTCCATTCTTAACAGCATTAACGAGATCAGCAGCATATGTTAAATTGGGGTCTGGATGGGCTCCACCAAAATCTTCAAGTGGTATAATCCTTCTGACATTATTCTCGGAAGCTCTTAACTCATCTATGAAGATTCTCTTAACATATGGGCCGGTTACTAAAAAAAATATAAAGTAAGGAAATTATGAGATATTTCATAATGACACTTGTACACTGAAATTTTCGATTTCATTGCAATTAAACTACTGAGCCTTGGAGTAGTAATGTAAAGTAAATTAATTATGAATCAATAAGACGTCAAACATTTTTATAATTAAAATGCAGTACTATTTTTTATAAATCACATTAAGAAATAAAAATAGATTTAATTGCATTTTTATCATGAATGTTCTAAGTGGAACCAAAATAGAATATTATTAATTTTAATATAATCAATTTTTTAATGATTCTTACCCCCATTCATAGCATCAATAAGAACATTAAATGGTTTTCTTTTTTCTGATCCTTGTATGAGAGATCTAATCTTTGGAAAATCAAAGATCTCTTTCATATAATCCACATAGTCCTTAACAGAATCTATTATTTCTACTACAAACTCTTGATCTTCAACCTAAAACACATGTTACAATTTTTAGTTGAAAGGACATCAAGTAAATAATAAAGGTAATAGATAATTTTTAAACACAGCAATTTATTTTTGGTTCAGGACAAAAATTGTCTTATTGTTCAGCTATGGAGGAACTGGGCTTTAATTTAGGGAAACACAAATAGATATTTGCGAGGCAGAGTACAGAAATGTATCTTTGAAGTGGGACTTGTTAAACTTAGTCTACCTTGAATTTTTGCACCCCAACTTTGTCTATGTTACATTTTATGTCTTTAACAATCTTATATTCCTTTATAGCAGTACTAATTTTATATATCTCGTTTGTTGTATTGTCCGGAGCAGGGCCTCCATTGCTGCAGTTGAATTTTATTCCAAAGTCATTGTCTATACCACCAGGGTTATGTGAAGCGGTGAGGACTATACCACCTGAAATTAATAAAGGAACCAGGGTGAGACATATATGTATAATTTCCAAGGCTACCACCAGATGATAAGTATTTTATAATTGTTATCATTATCAAAAGTATAATCTATTACAAAAATATTTTTTGATAATTCCATTCAAAGTTTTAATAATTATAACTACATTAATTCACATAAGCACTACTTGAACAAACTATAATTAATATTTACCTAAAGTTTTATACTTTCTGATGATGTGAGATACGGCTGGAGTAGACAGTATGCCATTCTGACCAACTAATAGTTTTGCCACCTTAAAAATATATAGTTATAACTATAAATTTCGCTTATTATTTTGTTATATTTTCCAGAGGTACCTACTACTACTAGGTAGGTAGGTGACTATTTAAAAATTCTTACCTTATTTCCAGCGGCGATCTTTATAATTGTATCAACGACTTCCTTAACTAAGTACCGACCATCACCGCCGACTACAAGCGTGGAACCAAGTATGGAATCCTTATTGGCATCCAGGATACTTTGAATGAAGTTTTCTGTATAATTCTCTTGCAAAAACACCTTAACTTTTTTACGTAAACCGCTTGTCCCCGGCTTTTGTCCTTCATAAGGGTTTGTGCTAACAGTAGTCACGCTCGACATTTTCATAAATTAAAAAACCCTTTTAGACGCAATGAGTATTACCGGAGATTTAAAGCTATCTGAGATGCTGTCGAAAGGTCGAGAAAAGTCAAGGAAGAATTATTAAGTCCACTAGTTGCGAGACACATTCACACAACCAAACAAAACATTACACTGATTACAGCTGTTAACACAGGCACAGTGTGCCAATGTCAAAGAAGGTCGCCGCTATCACAAGTTGCCAGTAACAATTAAGTGATAAGTTTGCTAGTAGCATTTCTTTTTGTGTTAAGAAAAAATAATTCACAATATATAGTATGTCGACATAAGTGTTGAAATACAAAGAAAAAGAACAAAATATTTATTAGGTTTATAAAAGTTCTGAAAATTCTTCTAAAAACTATAAAATAATACTTATACTATTGGAGAATAATATCATATCGTTTTTATCTTTGTTATTTAAGCCTTTTGACCAGTAGCTAAACAATCTATAAATTAGTGAGAAAAAGCAAAAACATCTTCTTAGGTGCATGACTTTCCCACTCTAAATGGAATCTGTTAATGTCATTAAATTAAACATTGATATGTTTTAATAAAAATAACAAGTGTTAATTGTCATTATCATATAATGAAACAACATGACATTAGTAATTTAGCCCGGGAAAATTCAAAATTGTAATAAATTAGAAAACGAAACACCTCACTTGACTAACAGTGCTTTATTTGAGGAAAAAAATTAAATCGTTAAAGAATACGTACTATTCAAGAATTTCTTTTAATGAGTGACCGATAAGACAATGTTTTGCATTACAACACCTTTAATTTGAATAAATTTGATAATTAATCGAAAAACGCTTGTTTTTGTGCATACATACATTGTAGTGTGAAAAAGTTGTATATCACCTTTAAGATACCATCTGGGCAGAAGCAAAAAGTGTAGTTATTGTTCAGCATAATACATTGAAATTATACAAATGGCATAATAATTAAGCGCCGGCGAAACAGGCACGTTCAGATCGTGGTCGGCGAGGCAATTTGTTTGTTGCCAAACTCATTCAGTCTATTCACGCACCTCGCAAGTTAAATACTTATTAAAAGCAGTGTTTAGGTAATATTTCTCGTGTGTCAATATTATGTTTTAATAAGCCAATATTAAGGAAAGGTAAGATTAAAGTTTTTTTATTACTACTTCAACGGACTTTTGATTGGTGCTTCAGACGAATTCGATTTCGTGACCCTAAGCTATCGTAATGCAATCCGATCTGAATATCTAAATCCAAAAAAGAGTGAATAGCGCATTTTGTTTCAATGGTTTGTCTACGTTGGGTTATATCACTTTCCATCTAGGGTACCACATAAGTCTGTCTGAAAATACTCTCTATATATAATTGTGTTCGTTAAAAAAACTTTTTTTAAAGGCTCTTGATAATCATATACTTTGACTAAAATCTTTCAAACTGTGACGTACGTAATTTGATGAATAATTCAAATTCATACTTGACGATTACCATAAATCAACGTAAAAACGTCAATAAGCAAAGATAAGGAGATTTATTTTGGAACAGTCTTATCAATTCGCGAACCACCTTACAAAGTCAAAAGTATTACATTTAATGTATAGGTAGTACCTCGTGTTAACTAAGTATACATACATACTTTATATATTTCATTTTATGTACAGTGTTGCTGATCTACTATTGCACTTGTTGTTGCGTGGTTCAATAAACTCAAGTGCCGCTTACTTGCAACCAGCGGTTAAGCAATCCGGTACTTTATTTTTATGAAATACGATGTGAATATGTGTAAACAATGACCACGTGTTTTCGACTGGTTGCTCTACTAATTTAGGGTAGGGTAGGCAGGTATTAACGGGTCGAACGAACCACTGTTCAAAATTAGAAAAGCCGTAATGTGTAAAAATCCATTACATACATAATCTTTTACATAGATCTTAGGACACGCGTCTGTATATAATTAAACACATTATAATAATACATTTTACAACGAAAACTTGATTACCTTGAGGTGATTGCGAAGCCGACTGATGGAACGGTGTATTTCCACACAGCTTTGTTGTTTAAATTCGTTGTACCTACAATTTATTTTTTTAGAGATGTGACTCGAACCCCGGCCATTCGATATACCACATCGCTTGTAAAACTGTTTTTTTTTGTTAAATCAATACATGTATAATAAAGTATTACTTAACAGTGTACTCAGTTGAGTTGAAAAATTCGATATTTCGGAGGCATCTCGAACCCCGACCTCTGAGAACAACCGCGTCATCGATTTTTTATGTCTAAAATACATTTTAGTTTCAATTTTTGCATTATGATGATGAAGCCGTCGGATTTGAGTTGGAGAAATATTTATACCATTTATGATTGACCTGGCATCGAAAAGATGAAGTCAAAATTTTTTGAAATGAATGCACAATCATTAAAACGTGTGTAAAAGTGGAAAACATTCATCTAGTATAAAACATGGCGTAGCAAACCAATGAAACAATTTTTATATGAAACTAGCTGTGCCCGCGACTACGTCCGCGTGGAATAGTGACTTGTTTGTTTATTAATTTATGTAAGGGCGCATTTAGGGCAGCTAATCTATGTTGTAAGTGCTATTTTACCGCAACACTCTCACCTCACATCACTCCTGCTCTAACTCCCACACTCACTCCCACTCCCACTCCTATTCCCAAAAACCCAAAGAAGAAAGTTTTATTGTTTAAGCTTCAAAAAACTACGAATTTCCATACACCTTTTCACCCCCCTCCCCTAACCACTTCCAACCCCCTTTTTCGCAATAAAAAGCCTATGTCCTTTCTCAGGGTCCATCTGTATACACATTCAAATCCTTTCAGGAGTTCTGGCGTGAAAGAGTAACTGACAGACAGACAGAGTTACTAATAAGCCAGGCGGTGTTATTCTTAACAATAGTAAAATTATGTGTAAAAATATTCTTTAAGTTAACAATAAACATCTTTGCAGATTACCAGAACATAATGTCTATACTTCGAACGATTTGTGTGTACTTCCGCCTCTTTTGGGATAGCGTTCTGGACTTCGTGTTTTCGCTGTATTGGGAATGTAAGAAGCAAAAGATACCAGATTTAGATAGAAACCATGCCTTCCTCGCCCAAAGTGCAGTGAGTTTGGCCAGGAAAATTAAAAATAAGGAGTTGAAGTCTGAAGATTTAGTTAGAGCTGTTATAGAGAGAATAAAACAGGTGAGGTAAATGAGTTAGTAATTAAATTAGATTTTTTTAGTATTTAACACTGGTGTTTAGACGAGCTAAGAATATTGAACAGGTTGTGGGTTTCGATCCCCACCGGGTCCTACATTTGTCTAAAAAAAAAATGTTTCTGACTTCGTCTGGAAATCTGGTGGTGGTGGTATCAATAGGTGGTAGGAATTTCTAAATCCCGTGCGGGTGACGAACTGCCGTCCACTGATGAAAATTCGCGAAGTTTAATCGCGTTGCGGTGTCAGTCGATCGCCTTCCGAATATTCCAAAGCCAAAATAAGGCGTATCTTGTTTAGATTCTATAGGCTATATATATAGGTACTTCGCCTATCATCGAGTGAATCTCATGCATTATTAGATAAAGAACATTTGCTTGTGAAGATATATCTTTAGTTTATTACTTTAGGTAAATCCTATATTAAACGCAGTTGTCGCTGAGCGCTATGAAGCAGCTTTGGAAGAAGCCAGAGAGGTAGATCGGCGGATTGATGCTGGTCTATCGGAAGAAATGGCAAATAAACCTTTCTTGGGTATGGTAACTTCTAAAAGCTTCCATAATAAAACATGCTTTTTGAATATCAATCTAACAATCTTGAAGTTATTTTGAAAATTTTAATAGCAAAGTTAAAAAATATGATGCACACGATGGCACTATATAAAAAATAAAAATCGAAAATATATTGAAAAAATTTACGACTCGGCCAGGCCTTGAACCGGCATCGTCAACGTTCCGTGCTGTTGCTCTCATCATTCTCGGTGGTACTCAAGTGGTAGCAACAACACGGAGCGCAGGGGATGCCGGTTCAAACCCTGCCGTAGTCTTAATTTTTTTTCGATTTATCCACTCGATTTTAAATTTAGTAATCTTATATTCAGGTGTGCCATTTACGACAAAAGAAAGTCAAGCCATGAAAGGCATGCCTTTGACTCTCGGTCTGTGGTGTAGACGGAACGAAAAAGGGTCGGAGGACAGCGAAGGGATAGTCAGGATGAAGAATGCTGGAGCCATTCCAATAGCAGCGACGAACTTACCGGAACTTCTGATATGGTAAGGAAGCGGAAAATTCCAGAGCGTTAAAAGACACTTTGCTTTTTTTTCTGAGTGGAATGGTTACTGTTGGTTGACTGCTAAAATAAATAAAACCCTAAACGTCTTTCGCCATGGTGTGTGTGTAAATATTTTCATTTTAATTTGATACACTTTTGATATTTATGATTTGTTTCAATAAAACACTTTTAACAGATTAAAACGCGCAAAATAATTGACATAAGGTAACTAATATATGTATATACTATATATTATAATATATTAGTTAACTTATGTCAATTATTTTAACTATGGTCCGACGACTGGGATGCTTTACAGAAGTTATGGTCATATATATTTTTCGAGTTTTAAACCGGTAAACGTGTTCTACTCGTGATGTGTATACATCTATAGTAGTCTGTATTACCAAGGTGTTGAATATTTAGGCAAGAAACGCGCAACCCCGTGTACGGCATGACGAAGAATCCTCAGCACACTGGTCGTACTCCTGGAGGCTCCAGCGGGGCTGAAGCGGCCCTCACTGCCTCCTATGCGACTCCTATTAGCCTGTGTAAGTTGTGTGTTGTGTTTATCTCTATATGCTATCAGTATCAAAGGAAAGTACGAAATACAATCTATACTATTGTTTTAAAGCTGAAGAGTTGAGTTTGTTTATTTGAACGCACTCATCTCAGGAATTACTGGTTAAACATTTTTCTTTGTTGGAGGTACCATTTACCTAGAAAGTCTATAAAACATCAGGCTGCGAACAATATGAGCAAAAAAAACACTGTGGGAAATGTAAAAAAAATCTAAAAAAATGTACGCAATATTATATCAGACAGACTATCTTTTAAGAATAACTTGCAAGAACCGTTTTTACGGTAATCAAATGAGGTCAAATTACTTTATATGACGAAATTACTTTTGCCAGGTCAGTTAATTATAAAATATTTCTCACGTGATTAACTCATATTGTATTTAAATAAAACACTTTAACGGTTTAACACGCGATATATTTTAGCTTCGGATGCTTTGCAGCAGCCGTAGTCACGGGAGGACGTCGGGCCGTAGTTAAAAATAATTCAAACAAGTTTAACTAAAATATATCGCCTTTTAAACCGTAAAAGTGTTTTATTTACATGTGTACTACTCGCGTAAACTACAGACAGTACATATTATATTGTATTACATAAATACTTTGTCAAAGTTGGCCAAAGTTTGTGCTTTTTTAAACCTTCGGACACTGGTCGCTAAATGCTTATAAACCTTTCCGATGGGCATCAGGTTCGGACATCGGTGGCTCTACTCGCATGCCGGCCTTCTATTGCGGAATGTTTGGACACCACCCGACAGCAAACACCACAAATATGAGAGGTACGTAAACGAAATGGTCTCATAATCGGCAATTCTTTTGTTTTATGTTGGTCCTTCAGGTCTGCTTGCCTAATCGATTTTGAAACAGAATATTCAAGAGCTGCATTCTGCTCGACTCAAAACAGTTTTTTTAATAATATAAGACACACAAACATGGGAAGGCTATTTGCTATAAAACACGTTGTTGACTAGGAGCGAAGATACAAGATGTGACAAGAATCGGGAAAATTATTCATCATTATGGGTTTCCGAAGCGTACGCTGCAAAAACGGTCCAAGATACCAAAAAAATGTATCGAAGAATGATTCCTCTTTAAATGACAAACTTCTAAAAAAAAGTCCGCGACGCTATATGACTATCTTTTAAGATGAACTTGTAAGAACGATGGGAAGGGACGCGACCGACGTCGTGGCTAACAGTTAAAGTTTATAATGATGACGGGATTTGCAAAAACGAATTACGACGCCCAAAATGATGATTCTCACGGACGAAGTCGCTGGCACCACCAAAGCGCCCGACGAAATTTAGGATGAAACAGGTTAAAGCCTAAATAAACAACTTTTAAAACTTTTTGAATATTGTATGAAATTCTCTACTTTTACTGCATACAAAGTAGACAATAATTTTCACGGATTATATATTCGTGTAATGTGGCATAAAGTAATCGTGACAATTCCACTTCCCCCCTTCAGGCGTCCTCTTTCGCGACGGAAACGAAGACTCAATGTTTTGTCTCGGCTTCATTTCCAAACACGTGGAGGACTTAGCTCCGCTCACCAAGATCTTAGCTGGAGAAAAATCTGATAAGCTGCAGTTAGATAGACAAGTTGATATTAGGACTGTGAAGTTCTATTACATGGAGACGAGTCATGACTGCCTCGTCAGTCCTTTGCGCTCAGAAATGACGCAAGCAATGAGCAGGTAACAAATATTTTCGCGTTTTCAAAGTTAGACAGAACTCCACTTCACGTCCTCTAACCGGCTTCTATACTATTAAGAGATTTATTATTTCAGCGTCGTCCAAAACATAAAAGAAACCCTCAAAGTGGAAGTCCATCCTTATTATCACAAAGGTTTTGATAACATGTACCGATTATGGTGTTACTGGATGAGCAAGGAACCAGGAAACTACTTTAAACTCGCCACTAACAGTGATGTGGAACTCAACGCTTGGAAAGAATTGGGTAAAAAGGTAAAAATTAAATCTAGCTGGATAGTTTCCAATTTAATGTTAGTGCCAATCTTACCTTTTATTTATCTTTCAGATGATTGGCTTGAGCAAACATTGTCTCTTCCTGATTCTAAGATGTTTGGAGTTGAGGATGTTGCCTCAACTGAACACCGAGTGGGCAGAGAAGATTACCCAAGACATGAAAGATGATCTCGCTGTAAGTGTTTTTGCACACGGCATACAAGGGACTACTTCAAATATATGACAAATTATTGAGATCGATTGACAATTAAATTTCGTTTCCAGGAGAAGCTGGGTGACAACGGAGTGCTTTTGATGCCGAGTGCTCCCCACCCCGCTCCCTACCATTACTCGTGCTTCTTCAGACCTTTTAACTTCGCGTATTTTGGAGTCGTCAATGCCCTCAAACATCCAGCGACGCAGGTAAAGCGGTATTTTACTATTGTTCGATCTAGATCTTTAAATCAAATTTAAAAGAAATAAATATGAAAGCCGGATCAAAAGTAGAATGACTAGACTTCTAATACTGATTTCATAAATTCAGCGTCACTGCTACAAAAAACAAACTTTGTGTACATAGTAGTACTATAGACTAGAACGACAATATATGTCTGCTCCGGTAGATTGGCAGTAGGAGGAGGAGTGGTGCGGTAGTTTACTCCAGAGTTTCAGCAAAGGGACTGTCTGTTTCAGGTTCCCATAGGCACCAACAGCCGTGGAATCCCATTAGGCCTTCAAGTTCTATCCACTCCATACAATGACGTCGTCTGTCTTGAAGTTGCTAAATATCTCGAGAAGGAATTCGGTGGCGCAATTATGCCTTGTGATCTTAAATAAATAGCCTTAATGCAATATGATAGCAAATACAAATGCCCAAGTACGTATACTCGTAAAAAATAGATGCTTAGATAAATAGACATAAAAACGTAAACAAAATGGAGGTTAGGGTCAAGAAATATCTAGGAACATAAAATATATTTAAGCGTCTTTATAAATTGTCTTAAAGAGCTTAAACGTGAAAGAGATCTAAGATAATAAACATGAGAGATTAAATCATATTTTTAAGGAACCACCATTACTTTCTCCTTTCCTCATTAGACTCGATTCTAGAATAACTACGTTTTACACATCATAAACGCTACGGTTAGAGTGAAAGTTGTAAGTTAATGTTAAAGTGTTGGTGTTTCTGAATTATTGCGAAATCACGAGTTTTATTGAATCGAATTTTATCATTTATATTTCGTCTGTGGCCATTGGACGTCGTCAACTTGTCATTGTCATAAAAACAATAAATATACGCCGTTAAAAACTTCCTAATTAATTTATTACGAATCAACAGTAAAGTGTGAAATGTAATTGTATTATGATTAACTAAGTTATTTTCTGCATCGCGCATTCGGTGCAGCTAGTTTGATATACAGTGAGTGTTATTAGTATCGAGTGAACTTTGTTACGTGTGCGCGCTAGTAAATTGAATATTCCATAGTGCTGAAGTGAATTTGAATTGCAAATAATTTAACAATGTCGACAGACACCGATAAAGCTGTAAACAAAAAGGAGGTAAGTGCCAGGTTTTATACGAGAAAGATCTATCGCGAATTTGCTTTCGTCATGAAGTGAAGAACAAGTTTAGTTGCGGGCTTATAGCAATTAGCATATTGTGACCTTCTGGCTTTTCTCTACTAATCCTAATGTATATATTATAGTATCGAACATTGATTTTATTTCATATCTAATGGATTGTGAAGTAAGCGTGTGTACATTTTCAGAGTAATAAGGCGAGCAAGATACTCAAAGGAGTAACTATAAACATGTTGAAACAATTATTCTTTTGTTTCCGATTGTATCTGGATATTTTGATAGATTTTATCTTCTCACTGTACTGGGATGGACAGCGGAGAACCATACCATCTTTGGAAAAGAAGCATAGTCTTTTGAAGGAGAGTGCAACAACTCTTGCTGCTAAAATAAGAACTAAAGAGTTGAAGGCTAGAGATGTAGTCAGCGCTTGCATTGAAAGAATAAAAGTAGTAAGTATAAGAAGAAAATGTAATAATGTAACTTGAATAAAGTAAATATTTGTTTTAAAAGATAAGTTGTAATATCTGTACCATTTTGTAGGTGAACCCTTATCTAAATGCTATGACAGATGAGAGATTTGATGACGCTTTAAAAGATGCAGAAGAAGTGGACAGAATGATTGAGAATGGTCTATCTGAGGAAGAGTTCAAAAAGAAACCTTTTCTAGGTGGGGAATTAGTGCATAAAGCATTCTTTTAAATTAGAATTAAATCACTAAAAACACCTAACGATACAGATGCAGTAGGGATCCATAAGGCTCCTTTAAACCTTTCTTGTAATTAGATTCTTATTGGCACCCAAAGTAGCTGTACTAAAAGATGAACAAAACATACTGTCACATGTATACCAGTGTATATATTAAAATAGTACATAAAAAACATAATTGCACTTACTAAAACTCGGCTAGGAGCATCAATTATATATAAATAGACTTAAGTTGCTATTTTTTGCCATTATCTCATATTAAAAGTGCGAGGTAGATTGCTTGGCTACCAAAACATATTATTGTAGTAAAGTTTTGATTTAATACTAAATCAAATGCTTAATATAGCATCAATTACACTTGGATTTTGTACATGGCTAATATTAAAACTTTTAACTTGTAAAAAATGCAAATGAGATTTAGTAAAAAGCCAAGTGATGCAGCCAAAGTTACAGTGTAGGTTATATGAAGTGCATGTTCTGATGTTAATGTATAATCTCTGTCGTAACAACTTTCTTTTTTGTTACTTGAAGTTAAAACCAATTGTTAATTCAATTTTGTTAAGTAAATAGTTTTATTGATGGTTTTAAGGTGTCCCATTTACCGCCAAGGAAAGTCACGCGGTGAAGGGAATGTTGCATACGTTAGGTATAATCTCACGACGCGGTGCGCGGGCGCAAGACGACGCGGAATGCGTACGACTACTGAGGGAAGCTGGCGCAATACCAGTCGCCGTGACTAATGTACCTGAAATCAATAAATGGTATTTATTATATTTTTCCAATTACGCCTTTATGAAATTGGTAAACTTTAACTAATCGTAGTTTAGCATAGGTTTGATAATAAAAATCACACATAAATAATGATCGTATGTAGGTAGTTTATTAGTAGTAGGCAGCGAAATATATTTTATCTGTCCCTGTTGCTAATTGAATTGTTACGTGTACGGTAAGACAAGACAAAAACGGTTGGGTCTAATTTCAAAATTTTAAGAGTTTAACGTCCTATACCTTTGTATGAAGTTTAACCAAAATTATAAATGTGATACAATAAGCATTGTATGTAAATATTGACCCGACACGTTTAGTTCTCATATTGTTTATTGTGAATATCACAACATGTAATGAACGATCCACATTAACCAGTTTCCATTGAGTAATCCGCATAATTGCTACAAAACTGGGTAAAAATGTCAAAACGCGACCTCATAAGGTCAATGAACTTTGGTGCGTTCATGAGGCTGAAGTAATTATTATTCATGCACCGTTTGTCTTTTTTGTCGGTTTTTTAACAGTCCCTATAGGACTTGGTCATTACAGATTTTCACATGGGCTTAGATTTGAAAAATATTTTTTTAAACATTTTATTCGGTGATCTCTTGGTACGCACAAAACTATCAGAGTCCTAGAAAATCACATTTTCATCAGAATTTATACGACTACAAGCAATGTCTGTAGTTTACGCGAACAGTGCACATTTTAATAAAACACTTTTAACGGTTTAAAACACGCTTGTGACTTCGTCTGCGTGGAATATTGCTCCTAACGGTCGCAGCCTTTTTTCGCAAAAATGTTCAATTCGAACCAGTAATTCCTGAGATAAGTGTGTTTAATCAAAAACATATAATGTTAGTAAGATTTTTTATAACGGCCCTTTAAACTAAAAATTATACGACTCATATGTATTGTGTAAGACTCTCGCGGCTACTTTGCACAGCTCCTTAGGTTTCCGTGCTGTCGGGCCGTCGTAATTACGAAGTACGAGAAAAGCCCCAAAACCCATGTATCTTAAACCACTTATACCACTTGCAATTTCTGCAGGCAAGAGACCCGCAACATGCTTTTCGGTCAGACGAACAACCCTTACCACACGGGGCGAACAGTTGGGGGGTTCTAGCGGGGGCGAAGCTGCACTTTGCGCCGCTCTAGCCAGCCCTATTTCCATTTGTGAGTACTTAAGCATTCATAATTTAACGAAACCCTAAAAGGGTTGCCCCCATTCCAGCTTACATACTAATATAAACTCAGTTTTTACCAACTTACTCAACGTACCTGCATAACATCGTAGGCTCGATGCAGGTAGGTCTGACAATAGGTTAGTCCTTGCGACTGGGACGCGAAGCGGCGGAGGCTGATGGCGCTTCCGGACGTATCGATCTGGGACGTATAGTGCCAGATAACCTAAGATGACAGCACTAAGCCCCTAATACTTTTATTAGGTACATCTCCCTTCTTACCCTTAGCTCGTTGCACCCCATAATTCCCATTAAAAATAAAGTAGGTATACCTATACCCCCTTTATATAGTATAACTCATTATTAATGTTAGGTGGTAAAAGATTTCCCATCAAAGTAGTTTCCCCATTAGGTATGATGTTTATTATAAATCACTCTTACAGCCATAATATATGAATTAATAATTCTTGATTTGATTCTGCCTCACAGTGCTTATTGGGCTGTAAAAAATTTTTAGGTTCCGACATCGGCGGCTCCACCAGAATGCCAGCATTCAGTTGCGGATTGTATGGTCTCAATCCAACAGCGGGACACACTAGTCTTAAAGGTAAATCCAATTTGCTTGGTCTAAACAATGTTTATATTCTTTGACCATACTCCTTTAACAAAGGCTCATGATGCATCAGCATTTTTATAGCTAGTCATATATAATTCTTCATTTGCTTACTAGACAGAAATAAATTCAATATAATTGGCATTTTAATATGATTACTTTTTATACGGACAGAACAATACCATCGACTTGTCGAACATTTAAATTCTTTGACCGCAACCATCTGATCTGAAGTTCTGGATTTGGATCCAGGAGAAAAGGGGATATGCTGTTCAGGTGGACAGAACGCAAGGCCATTCACGCCTTTAGTTAATATTAATCTGTGAATGGGACAAAAAATATGTCTGCCCCGTAGTGCACAAAAGGGAAGGGGAAAATGCCACCCCCCCTAAGTGTAAGTGATAATATTGATTAAAACCATAACTGTTGCAGGTTCTGTACTTCGCACCGGCAAGGACCCCAGTATGGCCTGCATTGGCTTCATAAGTAAACATCTAGACGACCTGGCGCCTCTAACCAAGATTGTGGCTGGAGAAAAGGCGCATCTGTTGGCCTTAGATAGAAACATAAACATTAAGGTATAGCATACGATCGCCATTAGTATTTCCCACTACTGGGACTGAAAATGGGTGATTTATAGAAATAATTTATTAATGTTGTAAGTTATTGTGTGTAGTTTATGCTAATTATATTTAAACACAACGGTTTAACACGCCAAGTGTATTAGTTAATTTTTTTTTTGATTGATGTTTTAATAACACACCATGACCCAGCTAGTTCCTTCAAATACCAAATACGAATAGAGTGATGCCGCTAGCTAAATGATGTTATTTCAGGATATAAAGTATTTTTACGTTGAGAGCGCAAAAGACCTGCGCGTGAGTCCCATTTGCTCCGACCTCAGGAAAGCTATGAAGAGGTAAACATTTTATTTTTTTTATGATAGAGGAGGACAGGCGAGCGTGGTTCACCTGGTGGTAGACGAAATACCCCAGCCATAAAACATCTGAACCTATTTTGATTTTGGATATTCGGAAATCCACCGACTAAAATCAAAATGCTTTTAGACTTTTCATCTGTAAACGGTGTTTCGTGACCCAGACTCAAATTCCATATTCCTAACCACCTGTTTTAGAAAAAATAGAAATTGTTTAGTAAAAAGTTGCACGTGATGGTATCGAGCCCGCAAAGATTTTAGTAGCGTTTTTAATACGTATGATCGTATGACAAATATTATGTACCGAAATGGTTAATTTAATATTCAACTCATCTTTCAGGGTGATATCCCGCCTGAGCGACGAGACTGTCGGCGAGAACTCGCCTCGCCCCTACTACCACAACGGCCTCGACTACATGTACTCGCTCTGGCGACACGCGATGACAAAGGAGAGCGACTGTTTCGCCAAATTGCTTCTAGACAACGCCGGCGAAGCGAACGGCCTAACTGAACTCGGGAAGAAGGTACTAACATGCTAAAAAATAACAGTCTTTTGATTAAGCAATTATTTTTTTAAATACATTCAGACAGAGAAACAGAGAATAAATACATACAGAGATTCCGTCGGGTTCCGAACCACAGTCCACAGATGAATTCTGTAGATTTCCAATTATCAAAAGCCAACAAGTAAGACGACAGCGCATCTATTTTAGGTGTTATATTGCTGGGGTATTCCAGCCCTACGAGTGGCTAGCTTTATTAACCGCGCGTTAACGACTTCCGCCCCTAAATAATTAAAGTATCTCGGCTTATCCCACTTGCCTGGCAGAGTTTTGTACTACTACTACTCATATTATATTAGGCTCAATTGAAGCTGTTTCTTAAAATAATATTGTATGTAATGTTTCGATCCCTTCATTTGCAGCTCTTAGGAACCTCGTCCTTCACTTTGGCCGCTGTAATCAAATTGCTCGACGACCAAGTCCTGCCGCCTGTCGACAAAGAGTGGGCTGACAAACTGACCTTGCCGCTGAAGGACGATTTAACGGTATCATTTATTATTGACAACTTAATTATTATGACTGGCTTGTTGGTGAAATCATAGCAACCCACGACCCGATGGTTAATAATTCCATCCTTGCCAGGCCCAACATGTAATTAATTTATCACTTATACGAAGCACCGTCCATGGAGGGAAAAGCCGTGAAGTTTAATCGTTTTTACACAATTTACAAAATGCAACCGGCATTGTGTAAATTTCTGAAAACCCAAAACCATAATAGGTAGATAGCGCATCTTGATAAAGGCGTCATATGGCCAAGTAAAACTCCTCATAAAAAATACTCGTAATACATTTTAAGGTTTTATTACGCAAAACCAAAGTTTCCAATAGTCACTGTGCTCAACTGAAATGTCGACCTGTGTCCATCTCATTATTTCAAGCTATGTAATATGACAAGGGAGCTTGAAACCGTGCCATTGGCGTTACTTATGAAGATTATCTTATCTTATCTCAAAATCTTTTATTTTATATTTCAGACCGCGTTAGGTACAAATGGAGTTCTTCTGTTTCCATCCGCACCGCTCCCGGCGCCCTACCACTACAGCCCTTATCTGCGTCCTTTCAATTTCGCCTACTGGGGCATTCTCAACGTCTTGCACCTGCCAACGATGCAGGTAAGCTCAAACAAATATATCGTCCATCGTACAAAAGACTTCTGAAAAATATATAGGGTCAGGTAGGGAGCATTTTCGCCCTTCGTTTGTCCATCCCTGTCAATTTCTAAATCTCTAAACTCTGATATTCTTATTTATCTCGTTTCCCAGATCTTCTCTAGAAACGGTTTTAATGGTGAACAATTTCTTTTTCCAGATTCCATTAGGCTTAAACGCAGAGGGGATTCCCCTCGGTATTCAAATCGTGGCTGGACCTCGTCAAGATGCGTTGTGCGTGGCCGTGGCTAAACATCTGCACACCATGTTCGGTGGTTTTGTAGCACCCTGTACAGTGCAGGAATAGCGTGTTTCAAATTGCTGAATAATCCTACTTAGCGAGGTTTTGCTATTAAGTATTTAACCGCGTATTAACAAACGTTTTAAATCATCATAATGCATTCGGAATTATTTTCGGCGTGTATAATTGTACTGTACTTGTGTTTATACATGCACATCTTGCGCAAGATCGATAAGTTGAAAAATCGACGATAACGTGTAGGTCATGGTAGTTTAATTGGTTAGAGCAACAAACGCTGTGAACGCCGGTTCAAGTCCTGCCCGTGTTGTTACTTTTTAAAACTAAAATCGATTTTTAATTTTTGTATTTGCATTCCAAAGAGACATTTTTTTGTAAAAATTTGTTGTAAATTTAGAAATGGGATATGGAGTTTCCATCGAGACCAAAATACATTGATTTTATATTTCTTGTTTAAAATGTTGTATATTTTGTAATAGTTTATTGTCTTCGATGTCGACTGTGTTTTTATGTAAACGGGATGTTATTTGACGGTGATGGTTGTGAAGTATTTCTAAAGCTTTATTTAACGTTTTATATTCTTTGTTTTTCTATTATAACCTTTCCTATATTTAGTCATGTCATTGCCGTTGATAATAATTTTGCGGGTATTATATTTTGTGTCCTTGTTGCCACCACTAGTCTTGATATAGTTTTCAACTAACACAGTAGGACATTAGTAGTAGTAGTAACTACGAAAGCTATAAAATTGCTTCGCTCGTTTAATCTGAAGTGAAATAAAATGTAGGAAAATGAAAAGAGAATAGAAAGTACAAGTACGAGAGAAAAATCATATATTTAATATCAGTTAACACGCCCCGAGCTCGCGCCGGCGCCACACGGACTTAACCTTACGATATTCACAATAATTATTGTACATTCGGTATTTGTGCCAGATCTATCGCTACGTTAAACATTAACTCGTCACAGCTATGCTTCTAATTTTATTATCGGGTAAATTCATAATATTCGTTAACAATTACTTCGTCTAATTCCTAGTCGAGAACTAACGGAGACATCTTGTCCGTACGTCGACTTATCGCGACCGTAACACGCGAAACGTCACTGACACAGTATCACTGCGGTCACAATGGAATGATTCATTTAAACTATACTATTTACGACAACCGGGACTCTAATAATAATCGGGACAGCGATCGAAGCCGTCGACAACTACGAGTCATAATAAAATCTATTTTTTCAATATAACTCTAATTCTGTACAAAACATCAGACCATAGTTGGATTTTGAACCCTATCGACATTACTATATGGCACCCTGTTCTACGAAATCTAATTTAACATTAGGGCTGCGGCTAAGGATCGACGTTCGACGAGAGTACGTCACGCAGGTGGCAATGGATCGCTGCAAGTCTACGAAATAAACGATAGTTACAGCGACTACACTCCATACAAAATCTTACTTCTCCGGATAAAGCCGTGACGTAGTCTCGTCATATTCTATAGAGCGGGCAATTTGTGCCCACATGGACGAAAGCGAAAGCCGGGTGCCCTTCGACGGCGGCTCTGCGTCGACCGCCGAAGATCTACTTCCTGCGCATCAGCTGTGCGCGCGCCTCGCCCGCGCCACGTCGGCGAGTCGTCAGGCGCCCGTCGCGCGGCACTTGCACGCGAGTATCGCGCACACGATCCTGCGCAGGAGCGTCGCCGGCTTGGCGTAGTCCCAGCGCGTGGGCGGGTCGTTGTAGGTGCGCGGTGCGGTCGTGTCGAGGATGTGCTGGAGGTCTCTGGCCGGTGTGCGTGACGTGCGCGTCGCGCTCACGTACCGCGTGGGCGGTGTCGGTGACGTCACGGGTGCGGGGGCGTGTTCTGGGGCGTGGCCTCAGCTCGGGAACTTGTTGTAGAGCGCGTAGTGCAGCTCGTAGCCGGAGAAGCGGCAGTACTGGGCCTCCTTTTGCTCGAACGCGTTCAGGGAGTGGAATGTCTTCAGCTCGCGAAGGGCCTCGGATGCCGGCGCGTCCTGTTAGCATGAAAGACAATGTTTAATAAGTTTTTTTTTAAGACGTACCTTCTGCACATAATGACAAAAGATGAAGTTGTAGTGGTTCACGTACCGGAGTGTGGAAGATGGTGAGCACGAACTTGGCGGGACGGAAGGCTGCCAGCACGGCGGAGAGCACGCGCTCGTAGCACGCGGCGGACACGTTCGACTCGAACGACACGTACGAGCAAGAAGGTTCGGGAGTTATGTGAATGGTCATGTAGCAGCCCTGGAGGGACAATTCAATTTCAAGAATCAAACTTATCGGTTTCAGTCCGTGGATTTCACAATTTGGAAATCTACATACAGTGACTTTCAATTCTAAATAGTACGAGGTAGCCCTTTGTTATAAAAATCCCTACTCACATCTTTAGCGACTCCGTTCATCGAGTAGCCACATGGGTCAAAGAGGTAGTCGTCGATCACCATGCCCGGGATGATCTGGTCGATTCCTGAAGCCTAAATGTAGTTACACGTTAATCAAACGTTCATTTTAATATGTTTAAACGTCCAATAAACGAACACAGCTTTGACTTACCCGAGTGGCTTGTGCGGCGTCGGCCGAAGCGGCCCGAGTGAAGATGTCCATGACGGCGGGGTCCAAGTCCGACATCAGGATCTCGATGGTCTGGTCCGGCTCCCCCCCTTCGCGCCCGTCGCTCACTTCGCGTTGCTCCTTCTCCAGCGCGTCGACGGTGCCTATTAATGCACATTATTCGCCAATAAAGTATTGCTTTTTACTAATATAATGGCAAGGTAGCGTATGTATTAATTATGGTGAGGTTAGATGATGGCCAATATTGTCTGGGCCTAAAAAGCCTGACAGAGATGGAAATAAGAAATGAAGCTCGTTAATTGATAACGGAAAGTGTAATATGTGAATGTTTCCAAAAGTAACTTCATTGTTAATGATTTCTTAAACTGCAAAGCGTAAGACATTCTTCAATCCAAATAGATTTTTAATAAATTTAGGTTTTAGTTATATTCATAATATTGTGTGAATCTCTCTGAGCGCATAGCGTGTCAGCTAGCAGACTAATCCAGCACTGAGCGGTGAGCGTACCTTCGAGTGGCAGCAGCGTGTACAGGTACCAGCAATCCTTCTCGGGGCCCATTATGTACGCTCGGCCGTCGCCGAAGAACGAGTCCAGGAGCTCGACCTGAAGAAAATCATTCATTCTTGTATTATCCCGATAAATCAATTTTCGATATTGTAAGAAGAAATACTTGGGTTTTCGGCGTTCGGCGACTTCCATTAATGCTGCTAGAAGCAGAGTAGCCTAACTGCAATTTTGTGACTTGACTTACTTATACATATTTATAATGTCTAAACATTTTAATCTACAATAGCACAGTGACCAAGAATAGTTATTCTTAATCATAATTCTTACACAAATTATAGTTAAACTCATTTTCGTTTAAGTTAATTGCGTATTTTTAGTTACCTCCTTATTGAAAATCGAGTTTTTTGTTATTAGGCCGTTCTGCCTCTAGCAGCCTCAAAGACTAGGCCCCGCAAAATGGCCGCGAAAGCACATTTTAAAATACTATCCTTAGCTAAGAAAGGAAGTTTCTTAAAGTTAACTTTGGCAACGATATAAATGATTAGTTGGTCATCTGTATATACGCAAACTACAAATGTCAATTTTGCGCGTCATCTAAATTTTGTTTACTTTTCTTTTGATCAAATAAGCAATGGCAATGTTGGCCTGCAGGTGTCTGTTCTAAGAAGTGCAGGCAACGCCTTAGCGTAAACAAAATCGTTAAAATAACATCCGCACTCACAAGTACAACAAAGTTGTCTTGTGAAGCCTTGACTGATTAAGTTTTATTTTCCGATAACTGCCTTGTTAGTCTAATAGTTAAGAACGATTCGACAAGACTGAGATCACGACGCTCTCAGGTTCGAATCCCGAATAAAGCAAAATGTTAAACCATCCGTCCTAGTTATCATCACTCCCTGAGTTGCGACGGCAATCCCATAAACCCACACTGGACCAGCGCGGTGGGTCTTATCCCTCTCTTTAACAAGACATCGCAGTCCCATCGATGGGACATAAAAGGTTGAATCGACGATATATATTATTAATTTAATTTTCCTCGTTGAGAATTAAATGAGGAAAATAAATCTTGGTTTTTAACATGATCGTTATAAAATGTAATTATATTTGAACAGAGGAAAGTGTGTTTACCTACACAATTGAGTATGAGTACAGTCCTATACTGTTTTAACGCAATACTAAGAATCGAGAAAATATAGGTTTAACACAAATCGAAGAAACCGAACAACTTCGTTAAAGCCACAAATTAGGCACAAACGTTCTTTGAGTAACAAAGCAATCCCTTACTTCCAAAGAAATTGTAAGACTACTCGCAACGCAATAATTTCGATTTTTTTCAGATAAGGTTAACTACGACGAATCAAAATAATTAACACCCGTAACGAATAGAAAATGTACTGCGCAAATATCGTAACATATATTTTGACTAATTGTAAAAACGTGGTAAGATAGGCCAAGATGGCCCATCTACACAACAAAGCTCACCTCTGAATCAAAGTTGTCGTGGGGCTTCAACTGCGCTTCGGGTCTCGCGAACTCGCGTCGCGAATAGAACACGTTCTGCACGCGAGCGTAGCCGGCCGTCTCCCGAGCGAGCGCCAGCACTGCGCGCACGCATCGCAGCGGCGTCGTCTTGCCGCACGTCTTCAGGATCCAGCGACGACGGGACACGAACATGCTGCTCTCGCTGAAATAACATTGCCCTATATTTACCATTCATACATACTCAATTCAGAGAGTTGGCAAAATAACATCATTACTTTTATTTGTATGTAAGCATCGACGATGGTTTGGAGGCAATCCTGTCTTGCAGGTATTAGTTAGATTATATATAAATAAATAAATGTATACTTAATACTATAAAGTTAAAGAGTTTGTTTGTTTGAACGTGCTAATCTTAAGAACTACTGGGTAATATGAAACATAATCACGGAAAAAAATACTAATTTTTAACGGTTCAATATTCATGATAAATAGTATTATTCCTTGTAAATGTGTTCTACACGCGTAAACTAGAGACAGTATTTAGTATTATTCTACTTACGTACGTACGTACTTTTTAAAAATCATATAAAAAATCTAAGTCTAAATAAATATCTTTATTTAGATTTTTTTTTATCTTTGCGACGGTATGAATTCACAAGAACTGTTTTTATGGTAATCGAATTTTGTTTAAAATACTTCATATGGCAAAATAGCGTTTGCCAGGTCAGCTAGTAAATATATATTTTTTTCAATTCGTATTTTGTTTATTTCCAGCCACCACTAAAGCCTAGTTGCTGTTGGACAAAACGCCGAGATTAGTTTATCTGTCCTGTTTCGTATAACGATGGCCACGTAAGGGAATCTCCTTCGTTTGTCAGTTACTGATCGTCGGAGAGTTGGAGATAAATTCGCAAGACCTTGACAGCGAAGCGTCAGCGAACAACTAACAGGAATTATCTTCACGAAAACAAACATCATTGTTCGAACGATAAAAGTGTTTGCTGTCTCCGAGGCATTTTGTTGTTGTGATAATAAGGCTCTGCTTCAACGAAGCACAGACTATAATTGCGACATTGCTATACGTCATACTATGTACCTATATTGGTAAGGGGAGATCTCGGGAATTTGATGCAAACCATTCGAAACCTCATGCCGAATTAACTATAATTAACTAATATATGTCGCGTTTTAAACCGTTAAAGTTATTTATTTAATTGTGTACTACTTGCGTCACCTACAGACAGTATTTAGGTACGATGTTCTGGGTGATTTATAGATACGTCTGTTTGTTTAGGCGTTTGAAGTGCATAAGCAATGTCCTTCATAATCGTAATGTTAGATAAGGTGTCTACTGTTCGCATGTATCCTGTGCCGCGATCCATCTGTAAGTAAGTTGTAAACAAAGCTTAAGTGTAACTGCGTCACGGCGTGCAGGCGCGCAGGCCCCGATCGATACCATTGTAACCTACCCACTGTTATATCTAGAGCCTGTACCGTACATCACATACGCCTGTAACCAAAAGTAGGTATCTAAACTATTTGCTCTACGTCCTCAAATACACATATATTATATAGATACAGAGTTTCCCTCAAGAAAGGTAGAATTTTACTTTAAATCTGACACATTAGCTCTCACATATTATACAAAATTTCCCTACGCTGAATAACATAAAAAATGTAAGTAAATTGTTAATTTTCCTAAGTAAACAGTTCGAACAAAATTTCCAGCTAACGCAATTAGCGAGATTGTAATATTCCGTAAAAGATGTGTACACGTCACGACGGTGTAATATTTTACAGTAACATGAGGTAGCGTAGGTCTCAAGCAAAGTCTAATCGTATATACACTGACCCTAGCTTAATTTATGAAACTATAAAAGCGTTTAGAAGCGCATTTAGTTCCCGTTCAAGTTTTGGAATTCAACTTTTTTCTATAACATCACATTCTTGGGCGGGTTATTTATCGGGTTTGACTTCGGTTCGATTCCCTGTATAATACAAATCCTAAAACCGCCGACACGAAGTAAGGCGGAACTCGTCTACCCGAGTCACGTCGAAACCCATGAGGTGCTGATGGGAAGAAATTGGCAAACACCGCGAGTTTATTTATACCTGTTACAATTTCTGATCGTGACTAATGCAGTACATGTTGTTGCAGTCGAATTCACAGAGCCTGCACAACTCAAGAAAAATAACATCCATAAAAAAGAGAGACTTACAAGCGTCGCTGACCTCAAATAATAAACGAAACGACAGTTCTAACCATGATTTATGAAGACGGCCTAAACTCTGCACTGTTCGCCAAAAATTGTCTAGTCTCCGACCTCACTGGGGATGGCCCTCGAGCGCAGTTATTTAAATTCTGACCGTTCGCGCTGATCCGGACCGTTTTTGTGCACAATTCAGTTACAATACAGAAGCAAGATTCTACATCGATTCTTACCCGTTTAAATTGAATGTAAACAATTTTCCTTATGTTTACCAAACTTAAGGTGTATATAGAGTCATCACTTCTATGATCATAGGACTTAGATTTTGCCGTGAAGAGAAACCATAGATTGTGGTTATTACCCAACCGTTACAAAAATATATTATTAAACGAGAAAATATCTGTGAAGCACTAACAATGCGCGTATTCTATTTTAAAACGATAAACATAGAATTTTAACAATTTTGGGCTAATAATAAACAAATGCGTTCAAGTGTCACTAGACCCAACTTGAGTCTAGTACTCAAATTTATAATTTTTAGATCTGAATGTAAATTGGTCGGTAGAAATATCGAAGATTCGTCCCGATCCAGAACGACCGCATATTGGTTAGATGAAACATCAAAATTTACAACTCCTAACGTGCTGTCTATAGTTTACGCGAGTAGTACACATTTAAATAAAACATTTTAACGGTTTAAAACGCGATATATTAGTTAAACTCATTTGAAAATGATTTTTAAATGTATTTAAACTCCTAACGTGGTCAATCGCGATTGCTAAATACGAACATTTCATTTCAACCTTGCCAATGTTAAGGCCAAGAGTTGAATTAGTCTTGTGTGATTTCGCAACAGCTGTGTCACAGCGAGTAGCAACAGATCGTTGAAAAAATATCTTAATACTAACACGAGTCCAAATAGTTACTAATTTCCGTAATCTTAAGTTTACAATATTATCTATACTTATATAATAAAGCTGAAGGGTTCGCTTATTTGCGTGAATTGAAACATTATTTTTGTGTTCGTTGGATCATTTCTCGATCAGCACTTTAGGCTATTAAACATAATGCTGTAATCAACAGAAGCGAAGAAAAGAGGTAAATGTGAAAAACGTAGGTAAAATTATTCATCTTTGAGAGCCATGTACGAAATAATGGTTGGTAACAGCTATAAATTACAAAGCTGAGGTTCTTTGGAAATATAAATAATATGATGTCCATATATAATAACTTTTCCTCACGCACTAAGTCGCGGACACAGCTAGTGTTTATATATTTGCGTACTCCAGCTTCCCATCTTTAGTGAAGTAGAATCTTCGGGTCTGCTTAAATTAGTTTGTACAATAATGTCCAAGAATTAAAAGGGAAAAGTTAAACTCACACTATTGTTTTGCTAAAATGTATTTTCTTAAATAAAACAGTTTGACGATTATAAACGCGAAATATAATAGTTCGTTTATTTTTCAACTACGTCCCCGGCGTTTCAGATGCCTCGCAGCCGTTGTCATGTTGAGCGCGTCTGTTCTCAAAGCTTTTCATTACTGTTTTTCCGGTAACAACTGTGTCACAAATCACGCAACCGACAATGGTATAATAAACAAGCATAGATCCCATCGGAGCCCGACGCCCAGTACGCATGCGCACTCTCCACCTTGACCTTAGCACGGAGCCTGCCACCGCGACCTCAGGCCAGGGGAAACGGAGTGCCCACTTAGACGAAGCTCGAACGCCACTACGACATTTGTACGACTTTCCGTCTTCGCTTAAAATGCAACGATTCTGGAGGTTGAGTAGAGCTATTTTTACATACGAGAAATGGTGCTATTTTCGTAACATTGTTTTAACATGTGGTGCTAAGTTAGTATTTTTCGCCATGTCTTTTGTCGGGCATGGAGGGAAATTCTTGAGTCGGTTTCTCTAATAAATTTTACCTTAAACACGTCGTTTCTTCAGACTACTGTGCCCTGCCAGACCGAAACAATTTATCATTTTAAAATAGGATCTCTCGCGCTTGTCTTGGCGATCTACACGGGCAGTCGAACTTCCTCAATGAGTATTTAATACAATCTACATGATACATTTCCATCCATATTATAATTGCTACTGTAGCTGTAGCTTTGCTTAGGTTCTGTCTCATTTTCTCCAATAATAAGATATTGATTAATTATCTGTTACATTTCTTGTCTGACAAAGAAGAAAACAAAGTATCCTTAAATAAATTTACTTCAACTTAATTGCTCGGAAGGTTGTCATCTCAAACTTGAATTCGGTTCAAAAAAGTACAGTCGTGTCGAAATGCATAAATGTCAATGACCGCTTATCGTTGATCGATCGTTGACGTGTACTCGCGTCGCAATTACATAATGCTTACGTTTGGCTGAACATCTTCCAGAAAAATATTATTTTTAGCCTTTTGAAGTTCGGTACGAAAAGACAGACAGCTGCGCAAATGTGTGAGATTCAAATGTATATGAAAATATCTCATTAATCCACAGATGAAAAAGTCGTTGGCAACGCCAAAATAGGCCGACAGCGCATCTCGTTGAGATGTTATATGGCTTGGGTATTTCAACTTCCATCGTCCTTGTCTCTTCTCATCTATCGTAAAAAATCTTTTAATTTAAATTTATCTTCAAAATTAATTATTACTATATAAGATTTTCGTTCCGACTGTACGCCGACACAGAACCACGAAATTATGATAAGACAATATTTTATTACTGCACAAATCACAAATATATAAGAATGGCGCAAAATAATGCTATCGGCTTATTTAAATTGTGTACATCAGATTTTAATAACTCAATATAATTTGTAATAATGAGACGCCAGTACAATTTCTTATCACCTTCTAGAACAAAATGACGAAGCGTTCTTATCAGAACTTCAGGAATTTAGTAAAAAAATCTTTTTACAAACACACTTGATTTATCACTGAATTGATAAAACCAATCGTAGGTTAAAGTATAACTGTTAACATTATACAATTTGC